GTGGCCAACAGCGTGCAGCACCAGAAGTGTTAATGTAAAGCTCCGATACGGCCCCACGAAAAACCCAAAATCGCCATGGTTATCAGTTACAAACTGAGAATGTTTTATACTACCCGCCCCAGAGGAGAGTATGGGGCAAAAACACAAAACGTCCCACCGCCCGGAGGACTCCGGTTTGCCCGACATCATGCTCTTTTTTGAGAGGCCTGTGGAGCAAATACCACCCAAGATGGAGCTCGAGGCTCAAAGCAAGGCAGAGATCTCTGAAGACTCCCACTAGGATGAAGAATCCAGAGGCACTATCATAGTCAATATAGATGTCACAGCATGGTCTGCTATTATGGCCAGATCCAGAGCCCTGGGGTTGATGCACTTCGAAAACTGCTCAGTGGCCCTGAACGCAGTGGCCTTCCTGCTCAGTGGCCTTCCATTTGCAGACTTAGCAGAGAGAAGACAGTTGGCCCAATTGCCAAGCAGCTGAGAGATCACTCAGTCAGGTACCGCTGGGGGATAAAAAGTTCTCTCATAGTCTCCAAAGGGGATACATCACTCCCCTTAACCTCTGCCGACAACTCAACAAGTTTCCTCCAGAGGCTGGACCTGACCGAAGAGCTACCTTCGACAACCAAGACCTGGCTGGCAGATAGAGAGTCGCAGAATGACTCTATGGAGGGAGCTTCATGGTCTCAAGTCACACAATCTGGAGTGGCCATTCGCCGTCTTAAATTTAAGCCCTGAAGTCCAAGATAAAATTTGTAGGCTTTACACAACCTCAGGGTTGAAGCGCTACAGCAGTGGCCTAATAACCTCCATAAGGGCCTACGTCTACCTGTGTGCTCAGCACATCTCAGAATCTTGTTACCATACATTACTTTATTATATTATTCTATTTTTATTATTTTTATTTTATTAATCTCACTGTTAATAATCTGTGTGGACCAAACCTGTTATGTGTTCGCCTATAGAGAGACGAGAGCCCAATAGCACAAGTAGCCCTGGACGCACAACAGATAGAAATGTTCTTTTCTTCTATCTCTTATTAAAATACGCATAGGCAAGACATGTTCTCTACTGCAATATAATCTCATCCCACTTGTACCTTTTCTCATATATTGCTATGATTGTATGCCTTGTGTACTAAAATCCAATAAAATACAAATTGATAAAAAAAAAAATACTAGACAGTCTGGTGATTTATGACTACGTAAACTGATATACTTGAAAAAGCTGTATCTTTTACCGTCTAACCAAAATAAAGAATGGGGGGAAATGAACATACCATGAAAAAAACAAAACCTATTGCAAAAGTTTTAGGTGATTTCGATATTTTATGACGATGTTCTTCTTTTATTAATTTTGAGATGAATGTACTTGTGAATGCATATATCTAACGAACGTTGCAATATTTGATTGTTCACTATTATAGTTGTGGGTTGGGAGCATTTTGAGATTTTTTTAATAGCATTTAAATGCTGGCAGGTTGTCATAGCTTACTGATGCGGTTGACTGATAAATACTTAGCCTTGGCAAGTTTAGTGTGGTTTGTGAAGGCATCACACAGTTTTTAATATTAAGAGATATAATTTTCCTATCAGCATATAGACCTTCATTTTTATAACTATTGGGTTGTGGGGATTTGTTTTTACTATTTGAAAACAGATTATTATTATTACTACTATCTATTTCTATGGGCAAAAATGAGGTCTCACTTGCATTGCTTGTCATCGCTGGACCTATCGAATAACTGTAATTATTGGTGTATTTTATATTATATGTTTTTGGAGCCTATTCCCATGGGCAAATAGATGTGGTCAAAAAAGGCATCAGCTGGCTCCTGATACCTCTATATACTATTACATTTTGTTTTAGAGGAAAATATTGCTCGGCTGACATAAATATAGATGGAGAGTATTTTATAAAACCCTGCAAAGCACGTTCTTATTATTGAAAAGGAAAACACATTCAGTTATCTCATTCATTTATATAAAAATTAACAAGCAGGTGCTTGCATGACATCATATATGTGAGCAATCTGATCAATTCACCCATTGAAAGCTAATGGAGACCAGAGACTGGCCGAGGGAGTGTCATCATTTCCTGGTTAAAGATCACGTCACTGGAACACTGTCAGAGTCTAATGGGGTTTATTCAATAAATCAGAAAATATGGTGAATTTTAAGGAGCCCTAGAGATGGCATGCAAACTATTCGTTTTAAAATCGTACTCACACTGTATTAACTAGTTAACATGTCCCGACGCTTTAACTATTTTGTGTGCACGATAATAGTTAACTCATGGACACAATCGACTAAATTGTGCGTACAAGATAACTCTATAGTGGGCAGCAGGTCTTGGAATGGCACTAACCGCTCTCCCTGCAATAAATATATCCTGGCATTTGCCCTTAGAAATTGTAAAGTAAGATGTTTTCAGTAGATCTTAGGTATGTCTATTTGCACATATAACTGTCCCTTTAAATCACTGTAGAAATGTGCTGTATCTATTGAACAAATTAATCCCCATTCACCTAAACTCAACAGAAATCCCCACTGACAAGAACATCTTAGCATTTAATGACATATAACGGACACACTTTCATTCATTAACCGGCTGTCCAGCAGGGGCTTATGCATCACATTTCAAAAGATCGAACTGCATGCGAGGCTCTTAAAGAGTGTTTAATCATTTCCTTGTTCAGTATTATAGAAGAGCTCACAATCCTATTATAGTAGGACAGATCATAAAAAAATAAGATAAAACAAAACCAAACTAATCTACAATTCAGTTCATTTTTTCAAATGCTGGGTGATTGATAAGGATCATTAAAAGTTCCACCAATAAGTATTAGCGTAGGAAAAGCTTTGCTGATTTCCATTATCTTTTAAGAAAACAATGATCTGAGGAGAGAGTGGGCAGTGTACAGTCCATAAGAGGATTTTATGATAACCTCTATTTATACACTTTTCAACAAGACATTTATTCATATTGGTTTAAATCATGCTCTGACTGAGAGTGATGGGAGTTGAAGCCTGAAGCAAGCATTCACTGTATTTACTCTTACCTCCTTTCATTTATCAGTGTGTCGGGGGTCAATGGGGATATTTGCCCTGATTGGGGAAGTGTCCTTAAGCAGGGCAAGTCAGTGATCATCAGAGGAGGAAGACGGCGGACCTGGAGCAGCAGATGAGGAGCTGGAATGGAACTCCCTAATGTGATCGCAATGGGGGAGCGGAGTCCAGGGTAAGTGGCTACAGGTTCCCTTTAAGTAAAAGAATTATAGTGTCATTAATTGATGATGGTTCTTTGCTTGAAAGAAAAAAGGTTTTGGAACTCTAGAGAAGGGTAGCCAAAAGCTAGTGTCCCTGCTGTCATGCCACTTCAACTGCCATGATGCTTTGAAAGCCCTAAGAGAGTGCAGGTTTTTCTTATCTCATATAGATGGAATTTCCCTTAGATTGTAAACTCATGGGCTATCTAGCTATCTACTTTGTATTTTTACTTTAATGGATAGATCCCATAGTTTGTTTTAGCTTTATATTGTGCTATCTTTTTCCATAATTGTACAGCGCTGCAGAATATGTGAGCACCTTACATATGCCAGTAATATTAATAGTATCACAAGGTGCAAAATCAGAGCAATCCTGGAAGCCTTCCTATCACAGAAACATGTACAGGGTGCATTCCTCAACTAAAGCCTTCTTGTATTGGTTCTGCCATGCTTTACAATATTGTTTGTGCTATAAAATACCTGTATCGAACTATTTCATCTCAGTTTGTTGGAGTTGATTTATCAAGGCAAAAGCAGATGTTTTTCTGCTACAAAGTGCTGAATAAGGCAATCACCATGGAAACCAATAGAATGTCTCATCATTTAGCACCTTGCATCCAAAAGAGCACCTGTTTTACCTTAATAAATCTCTCCCATAATATTGTCTCAGGAATGATCTAAAACCATGTGCATTTCCTTTCCTTAGCGGGATCCTGCCTAGCCTACACTGATATGCGTTGATGTGTGGTCTAATTTTCACTCACATTACAGGACCTGCATTAAACTAAACTGTCATATCTCTGTAACGCTGAGCAACCATCCCTGACCAGAGAACAATATAAAATTAAAGGACCACTATAGGCACCCAGACCACTTCAGCTTAATGAAGTGGTCTGGGAGCCAGGTCCACCTGGGATTAACCCTTTTTTCTGTAAAACTGCTATGTTTACCTATGGGTTAATCCAGCCTCTAGTGGCTGTCTCATTGACAGCCGCTAGAGGGCTTCCGCGCTTCTCACTGTGATTTTCACAGTGAGAACACGCCAGCGTCCATAGGAAAGCATTGATAATTGAGAATGCTTTCCTATGGACTGGCTGAATGCGCGCACGGCTCTTGCCGCGCATGCGCATTCAGCCGGTGACGGAAGAAGAGGGAGGAGAGGAGGAGGAGAGTCCCCCGCCCAGCGCTGGAGAAAGAGGTACGTTTAACCCCTTCCACCCCCTAGACCCCGGCGGGAGGGGGACCCTGAGGGTGGGGGGCACACTCAGGGCACTATAGTGCCAGGAAAGCGAGTATGTTTTCCTGGCACTATAGTGGTCCTTTAATAAAACGACAGAAAGTACAGTGCTGCGGAATTTGTTGGCACTAATAATAATAATAATAATAAAAGCATTACATTTAAAAAGTTGTAAAAAATTTAAAAAAAAAAACTGTTATTTTTTTCAATATTATTATTATTTCAGGCGTGTGTTAGATTTGGTTATTTTATTTTTTTATTTATAAAAAAAATGAAAGATCTGAGCAGCAGCCCCTGAGCAGGTTAACAGACCCTCTATGAATCCTCCCTGGACAAGAGACACACGTCTGTCTGCTGCTGGAGGTCCATGACGTCACCCCTTTCTAGGCGTGTCCCTCGGATCTGGGGGAACGTTCTATCGGGGCGTGGCCTGGAGCTCGCTCTCCGCCCCGCATGCTGGACATGGTGTTGGATGGGTGGAGTCGCCCAGTCGCCGGCAGCCTGCTTGCGAGAAGCGGGAGGCGAGTACTAGGGCGCTAGAAGCATGCTCCCAGCCCAGCTCAGCCAGCAGATGAACTGCAGATCACGGGCTCAGGATTACATGCAAGCTGCACAGACACTCTGCTGCTCTATCTAACAGTCAGGTAGGTCCTTCCCATTCACCTGCACAGAGCTGCATTGACTTGGACTGGCGACCAACTTTCTACCTCTCATAGCCCATGCTAGCCCCGAGGCAGGATTATTCTCAGTATTGCAATGCCTTGAAGGACCCTGGAAAGTTAATGGCAAACTCCTAATTCTTTGCTGATCTCTCATTTTGGCACATATGGACTTTAATTCAAACTCAGCTGATGATGTCTTTTGCTCCTTTTTGATTTTGGAGAGTTTCATCATGTTAAGGTGGCAATATATTTTTGGGATGATGGATGCCTCCACACTGCCTTGTGTCTTAAAATCAGATTCATCTCGCATTTTGTAGCCTGTAACCTGGCATATAATGTGTGATAGGATGTGCTGTCTTCTCAATGTAGATACAGTCTAGTCACAGGGGAGTCTATGCAATCAAGTTTGGGTACAGATGTATCGACTTGCACATTGCTGTCAACTCGCTGGTGTGAATCGCTGGATAATGAACACATTCCCATGTCTTTCTCAGGGGAACATAGTTTATTACAGAGCTTTACACACACACACTCAGCTCAGGGGATCTGACAGAATTGGGGTGCTATCCAAAGCCCCAGCTTCCTCAGAGCTTGATACTAAAGAGCAGATTATTTTGCATGATCTCATACAGTCTAAGCCTTGTTATACAGTGAGTAAAATAGAAATGTACCTCGATCACATATGACTTCCTTTTAAATGACCTATGTCTTTTTTTATTTTACTCTTTTGGTCTTCAGCTCATTCTATTTTTGCAAATAAAACAAAAAAATAACAACGCACACCTCAAATAAAAAAAAACAAACATTAGCTCTTATTTAAAAAAAAATAAAAATGTGTTAATGTCTTTTTTTTTTTTTCAAGACAACGAATTCTGTTGTTTCATTCATTTTATAGTGTTCTTATTAATGTACAAATAGTCTCCTTAAAGTGATTTATGCTTGGAAAATAAATGACAAGCCATTTCTAAAAGCCATTTTAATGCATACATAAATATTTCGCTTGCCATCACACATGCAGGTGCTGTAAATCTTGGATATAGCTAATACGTTTATACACATAAATCTTTAAACAGCTTGCAAATCACCAGGTAATGAATGATACATCAGACAAATGTGACTGCCTTCCGATCAGCTTCATTCTAGGAATGCATGTCCTGCTAAGAGTTTATTGTACAGTATACAGTTTAATAGATCTAAGCATTGATGCATCCATGAGAAGGACAGCAGGTAATTGGAACTTTGGGCATAAAGAAATGAAAAATATATTTAGTTATTTTTAGCTTTAAGATGTTAGCTGCTTCCTCTAAAGAAGAGAATATCCTACTTAAGCACATTTCATTGCTTTTAATTTGTAGCAGTTTAGTATTACAGAAACTCCTTTGCCAATTAAGACCTTCTTTTTTTTTTTTTTTTATAATTTTGTTGGCTGGTATTGATTCTTCTGCAAACTTTATAAACTCTGGCAGATTGGCACAATATTAAGGTGTCAGAGGTTGACTTGAGTGCAGATTGGTGATGCGCAAAATTAATCAGAGCTCCAATGATCTAGCCTGTGATGATGACACAGACCTTGCTAACAATTATAGATAAAATTAGGAGAGTGCGTTAATTTATGGAGCTTCAGTTCCAATTGTGAGGACATTTGACTTCAACACCCTGAATGCTCTTCCAGCTGTTGCGCAGCAAAGTATTGTGGGAATTGTTGTCCAAAACATCTGGGGAGGTGGGAGACAGCTGCTGCAGTTGGTCCTCACCCCAGGATGATTTTATTGATTAAGGTTATTGATTACATGAAATTGACTTTCTGCTCATGCATTCCTATAGGCTGGCTGTTCACTGGTCCTGGGGACACGAAAGAGTACCACGGTGTGCAGGCCACTGGACAAAAGCATGCAACCGGAGGATGTCTAAGGCTGTTGGGGGCTGCAGATTTTCCCCTTGTCAAGGGATCCCTATGGGAATGCTTGCCCTGTGGTGTTCACTAAGCTTTTTCCTGGTGACTGTGAGTGGAGTCCCAGCAGCCAGGCTACCTATCACAGAGGCCAAGGAGGACAGAGGGAACAGAAAAACTGCAGGTAAGAAGGAAGGGACATGGGAACACCCTTTAACAGTTTACTCTTGGTTTCGCAAACATGCACATGTGTTCTAGCCTGGGATTGAAAAATCTTTTTTTTTTTTTCTGTTGCTGTGATTGTACGGAGGTCATGGTTTGTTTGACATGGAGCCTGCTTATGGATTGAGCTGTTCTTGTGAAATGCAAATGTGTGTGTTGTTTCTGGTGTGCCCTGTGAGAATAGCAGGGGGGATATTGTTTGAGGACACTAATTAATCATTTGGGTAGTTAAGTTGCACATTAACTCTTTACTGGTTAATAGAACCTTGCATTGAATTTTAAATTGATTTTTGCATCGATCATTTGTGCAGAATGTTGTAATGCACTCAGCTGTGAATGGACAATGGTACATTTAGATTTTGGAGCAAAAGAACATTGTCAAAAAAGGAACAGGGGGTGTACACGCACAACGTGTTATAAGTCTTAGTGTTTTTCAGGAGAAAACCATCCACAGTTGATTGTGTGAAGATTAGGCACTAAAGTGTGAAAAATGTCAACGTGACATTATTTGTCAGATTATTGGGCAATTTATTGGAAATTTTCATGTAAAGATTTAAGAGTACAGAACATAAGGAATCATCCATACAAATATCAGTCTAATAAGTACCATTTGTACAAATAAAATATAAATTATGTAATTGCTTAAAGTGTCGCCCCACTCATTTTCACAATGTGTATTTGTAAATCTCACATAAAGTAAACATTTTTCGACCTGGGCATTATTCAGTAAACTGAGAATTAAATTACCTGAATTGGAGAATGTTTCCAATTATCATAAAATTAGCATTTCTCTTGTCAGGTGGATTCTCAGTTTAGTGAATAAACCCTTTTTTATCATCATCATCATCGTCTTTGTGATGGTCTACTGAGTTTTGTTTTTTTCTGTCTAACACTGTGGTATACCGCAGTATACATTGCAGTTATATTTCACTTTTGTCTCATTAAACCCCCTCGCGGTTTGTTAATGACAGCACATACCTTCATATGAATTGTACTTGCTTGTTGCCTTTATAGATCACTTTGTCCTTCACCAGTTCCCTAACTATCTACCATACAGTTTGCACCTTGGTGAATACATTTTTTTACATGGTTAATGAAGTTGGTTTCTTAAGAGACATGTCTTGTCTCTATTCTGGGAAGATCTCATAAGACGTTTATTTACCTGTGTCTTTTTCAAGTACAATCCAATTAATGTATGAAAAGACAGTTTTCTTATCTTGTCTTTTATCTAGAACAATTGTCCATTTGGACAAAATATTCACATACTGATTGTGTTATGTCTAGTTTTTTCCAAAATCTGCAACACTTTATCTTTGCAGAGTCATTTGCGTGCACAAAATTCCAGGTGATCTCTAGAACAGTGACTTTTGAGCCCGTGGGTCAGGATTCAAACTAAGGTCCCCCTATGAATTTCAGTAGGTCCCCAAAGTCCCCAGACAACAGCCCAGAATAAATGAATCAATTAGTGCAACAGCATTGCCCTCCCTAGTGCAACTGACTATATCTGTAACACTGCTAACAAACTGAGTGTTTTGCTGGACACAAGTTTGCTATGTTTTATAACTGTTGTGGATGACATAATTGATATAATATTAAAATTAGAGAAGGGGTCACAAGCTTTAGACCATCCACCTAAGCAGGTCCCTGTCAAAAAAGGTTAAAAGTCGTTGCAAAAGACACACCGGTACCTTTCCACATTCATTTGATAAAATACTATCACAGATGAAAGTAATGTGGAAATGTATTCGCTCTGTTAAAATTGCAAAACAAAACAGAAAGGTTGGTTTGTTCACAATCAGTTTGTTTGGAAAGTTAGTTTTGTAAATGGTTAATTTTATGTGTAGCCCCAGCATCTATTAATGTGCTCAAAATGTATCGTGTTTGAGGGCTACTGTAAAATCAGCATGGCTGTACTTGTTACCTTCACTTTATCATATATTTTTTTTCAGAAGACGCAAACACCATGTATTTTAAAAAAGTTGTTAAACTTTGGCCATGCTTAAACTGGAGCAGTCAGTGAGAACGTTCCTTTTGGTTTTCACTGTGATTGCTCCACATTTAGGAATTTGCACCTAACATAACCCTCTATAACATAAGGACTGCTTTACTGAGTGGAAACAAGGCATCTTGGCATTTTATACATAAAATACCATGCTTTCGCAGTGCTGTTGGCTGAGCAATGTGGGAATTGTAGTCCGTAGCTGTTTGGAGTGACAGAGGATGGATGGAATGCAGTGTGGCTCTTGAAAGTAAATGCTCCATCGACAGATAGTTGCAGTGAGGTGAATTGCACCTTTGTTTTTTGCCTTTCTTTAAGCAGAGACTGTGACAGGCAGTGCTGTCATAAAATAATTACCTCTACCTTTGTCGGGAAGAAAGTGAGCCTGCTGAAATCAATGTGAATAAAAGAGTAATTACTGCCTTCTGAGAATTGGGATAAAGCATGCTTTAGGCATATTGTACTGTTCCCGTTATATCCTATTTTTACACGAAAAAAATGTTACATCATTTAAATATAATATGCCCTGGGTGGGTGTACAAAGGTACGCTTTGTGTCCATCATTAAATGCTTCTCCTCGTTTTGTGGGAAATGCCATCGCTAATAAGGTTTTGCCAATCTGCAAGCATCAACTACCACACCTATCACATTCAGCCAGAAGGTCTAAACCCTTCCAAAGGTCTGCAGGTGCTCTAATTGTCCATTGTTGGCATTTTATATGACTTTCTGTATTCTTAAAAACGTAAGATACGTATCTATGACTAATGCACCCTTTTTATATAAGAAAAAAACCAAAATGCAATATTCTAGTGATACTTGACTTAATTATGTTCAGCATTTTATAATTTTGCTTACATTTATTATGTTTATTTGTATTGTCTTCAGCTCTTTGTGTGATATTGGGCATGTATTCAATAAATAGCAATTTGTGGAGACTTACAAACTGATTTCTAAACATATAACCAGAATAGATTGTTGGAAAAACTACCCAACTCAGCTAAATGGATATTTTTTTCCAATGCAACTATTTTAGCCTCAGTCCTGCAGCTCTCGAGTCACCACAACTTGCTGTTTAGTGACTATGCCCCAATTAAGGTAAATGGATGCACAGTGCTTTTAAGTGGTTTATTCTCTAAATGGTAAATTTTGGTCATATGACATGGGATTTTTAAATGTAAGCCAATATAACAAATATTATATATATATATAAACAAAATCTCCAACTGAGCTTTTTCCAGTTTACTATTTTTACCTACTTCTCCAAATCCCATTATCATTTTATCACAGTTCACTTTATAGCAGGCCTGTCCAACCTGCGGCCCCCCAGATGTTGCTGAACTACAACTCCCATTATTCTTTCAATTAAACAGATTGCCAGGGAATCATGGGAGTTGTAGTTCAGCAACATCTGGGGGGCCGCAGGTTGGACAGCCCTGATTTATAGTAAATACGTCCCTAAATGGTATTCATTTACATGTAAAATGTGTGTCTGTGATATGAGCCCCCCTCTCTCTGTCTGGCTCTGTCTCTGTTTCCCGTAGTGGTTTTGTCAGTATTAATTAAATAACAGCAGTGTATTGAGACAGATTATGTATCCTCGCTTGTTAGAATGTATACAATCAGCGTCTGACATGCTAAGTGCCAGTTCATTGCTGATTTGTGTTTGATCTTCGTCTTGAGACATTGTGACACAGGGTTAATATTTGGCCAAGCCCATACCTTGCAAGTAGGAAAATTCTGCTGTGGGTCCTGGAAAAATCTAGAGCCTGGGGAGTAAAAAATCATACATTTTTTTTTTTCTGTTTAAAATTGGTGTCACTTAATGATGGTCCTCAGCTGCCTGCCCCATCCTGTGTTTATTTTATCGTGGTTCTGCAATGGAACTAGTGTGTGTGTGTGTGTGTGTGTGTGTGTGTGTGTGTGTGTGTATGTATATATATCCTTGGTGTATATAGGTGATTCCTCTACACAAATTAATGACACGTGGCATCTAAATTATAGTGTAAATTACATTGCGACTGACAGACGTGTTAACAAAGGCTAGCAATCATTCCCAAAACGTTTAGTTCATTCCTCAACTGTGGATAAGCCAATTATGCATAGTTCTGCTTTGACAACATAATGGCTGTATAAATAACATGCGATGATGGAGCAATATGGGCAGAGCTTTAACACCAGCACAAAGCTCTAAAGGATTGGATAAAGCCAGGCTGACCAAAACAATGCCCCTCGCCATCATGGCTGTGCGTCATGAGAGCTGTAGGCTGTGGGCAAATCTGTGTGCAAAAGGTTACATTATCATGTTTATATTTAAACACCTAGAACATTGTGATCTTTCACTTAGACACCCACCCACTGGATGGAAATGAGTAGGCATCCTTATTATTCGTGGCAATCGAAGGGTTAAGTTCCTGACTCACTCGAATATATGTGATATAAATCTTACTCCAACCTCTGCTCTGAAGGTTTGCACTGTTATTAAGCATGCAGTATTGAGCAGCTACAACTCCTGATGTAGTTCGTTGGCAGTTTGAGAATGTAATACAGACACATCCAGTCCTGACGGTCCAGATACTGATGCACTACATTTCCCAGAATGCTCTGCCTGCTGCCACCCTGTCCTATAATGTATATTTGGAACAACACCATCCTGTTATAGGTAGGGTGGTGGATTAAAGGTTGCCAGAAAACTCAAAGAAAATCCTTCTTTTTCTTTTTTTTCTAAGCATTAAGTTGGATTGCATGAAAGGCGAGCTCTTTTAGTCAAATGGACCATGTGTTATTAGCTCATTAGAGAGCCTTGTTGTTCAGTAGATTTTGCGTTTACACTCTAAGGCTTTATTTTTCATAAAGGGGGCCTGGATAGATTTTCCCCAGTGATCTAATGCTCCACACGGGGCAATGAACACTATAACAGCTACCGCTTTGTCCTGTTTCTCTGCTACATAAAACACACATTGAATGAAGGCAGTCTGGAGGTATGTGTGTGTTTGCTAATATGAATGCTACCCATTAGTGGATATAGAATAGGTGTAGATTTTCATATCCCCGCAGGGAGGTGTCCAATTCTTGGCAGGAAGAAGGCAGATGGCGTTCTTATTGAATAGATTCCAAGTTTGAAACACACAAGAGGCCTCAACTGGGCTATTTTTCCCCCTTCTTCCTCAGAAGCTGCTGCTACTGCAGCAAGAACAATGTTTTCGTTTTTTTTTTCCCGTTCCTGGTTTTTATGAAAGAAATTGGAGGGGCAAGGCCTATTTTAAATGTGTATGCCATTCACGGGCCATGACAGGGATTGCTTGGGAGGTCAGCAAGTTCTTTGAATAGAATTGACCGCGAGCTTTAGGCATTCAAGCCAGAATAGAAATCTGTGTGATGAAAAACGGCAGTGAGGGGAGGGAACCTTTTCAATTTGCATGGGTATCTAGATAAAGATATTAACACTAAGTCATTTGTCAGTGAACACAATGGCTGCCCTGATTTCTAAACGCGCTGATAGAAATCGCAGCATTGCACCTTGTTAATTTCCACTGGCATTAATAATGTTTTAATGTATAGAACTGTCAAAACAACAAAACGCTATTTTTTTTTTCCTTGCGTTCCCCATGGGCATTCTAGTGAGTGAACAACTTAAAGTATTGTGAGGTGTCACTCATGTGAATAACATATGCAAAAAAAAACCCTCTTTTCGAGTCGCAGAAAATGCACTCCTTGCGTTTAGTGCATTTCGTTCGTCCTTCTGGCATAACAGTTTAAATATTGCGCTATTAGTAAACTGATCCATTAAATAGTGATCAGATAGTTGCAAACTATGTGACTGTGTGAAAGAGAACTCAGGGACATCTTAATCACATTTAAACATTTTGGTGCTTCAGGTAATATTTCAGTCCTGTGTGATATGTTGAAGACTATTACATGGGAACAGAAGTTAAAAATCATTCTCTAACCTTTTCTGTTCGATCCTGGCATAAAATATATCTGTGATCATTTTAATTGTCTAGCAGGGAAATTCACTAAAGGTAGATTTCAAATTTAAGGCCAATCTAGCAAAATTGGGAGAATAGCTAAAAAGTTTGGCTATTTTTTTCAATAGTGTTTCAAATTCACTTTGAGTGAACCTTGAATTCCTATTTTAGTGAATAACTGTTGAAATTAAATGCTGTGGGAGACATCTGAGGTCAGCGGAGGCAAGGATTGAAAACAGGATTTAACCTTTTGAGACCCAGGCCTCCCAAAATCAAAAAGCTTCTGTCTCTGCTGTTTTCTGCCAAAATTAATAATTTGTGACTTGCACAATGACCTTTGCATACTTGTTGTTACCTATCCCTTGATAACATAACCTACAGCTTTTGTGATGTCTTTTCACACCCTGAGGCTGAAGATAAATCATTGCACATTGCTATTTTTCCACATATTTTCGGCACTGTGCATCCAGTTCTACATACCTGGCTACATTAATTTGCAGATAGGGAGTGCTAGGGGTGATAATCTGTTCTAACCTCTTATTTTCTCCTCTATTGAATGTCTCTGGTGGTTCTGTTCATTAGCTTGAAAGTGATAGCAGTGGAATTGTTCAAAAAAGTGTTACTTCATCCAAAAAAACAGGGTGCTGGTCTACAACCAATGAAAAAGTAGATAAAATAAAGGTATAGTTTACCTCCGCTCCAGCGCCGAGTCCAAATTCTCCTTGTGTTCCGCCTCTCCTCTTTTGATGTCACGCCCTCTCGCTGGATGGAGATTTTATGTCCATTAGGGCGTGCTGAGGGGAGGACGTGGGCAACATAGAGGGGCGAGCTGGACTACCATTGGATGCCTGTTTCCAGCATGTTGTGGGCTGGCTAATAACGCCCCAATAATTCTGGCAGAGGTGCAGTTACACCTCCGGGAGCAGAGGGGTTAAATTCTGTTTGTGCAGCATTACTTAGCGAAACACTGCACATACAGACTCCAAGCACCATGACCACTTCAAATCACTGACATGGTCATGATTCTTAAAGTATCCCTTTAAGTATTTTTGCTATGATACTCAGTCAGCCTAAAGCAGTCATTACTGGTTTATGGCATACGGAAAAATCACTAGGGAAATGTTCATTTAAATTCTATCTGAAAATATTATGAACAAAGACATTAATTTGTTACTACACACTTATGACACACCTAGAGGATCATTTGTATCCATTTAATTTTTTTTTTAAAATAAATAGCCAAAAAAGCCAAAAGTTATTACCCGTGTTTCGATTGAAAATAAAAAACATTTTGGCATTCCTCTTATTAAAGTGGCATTGCACCAGGTTTGCATAGTCTGATGTGGAATAACCGTTTTGGGACAAATTCTGCAGGTTCACCATACATTCCGCAGCGCTGTACAATGGGTCTAACAGACACATAATTGTAACCAGACGAGTTGGACACATAGGAACAGAGGGGTTGAGGGCCCTGCTCAATGAGCTTACATGCTAAAATGACACAAAAGGTAAGGGATGGGTAGAAAGTGAATATGCCCATTCCCGTCTTATTCATTCGTGATTAATACAGCAGTGTACCATAACTGTGTCTACCCAAGCATGTATGCTGTACTAACTCATAATTATTCATCTGATTCAGGAACATTGTTTTTTTAATATATATTTTGTTACTTTTTATTTTACTGCAACCTGTTTAATCCTGCAGCAGTACGAGCCACGAGGAGCTAGGCAAGTCAAATAAACATATACACGTTTGGTCTTGCATAGTCATAATCGTAAATTAATGTTGTAGAACACTGGAAATTAGAATTCCTTTTTGTTTATTCTCAAGGTTTGACTAGTAAATTTATTGCAGTTTGGTTTGTTATATAATGTTTATATTATGTAATATGATTTTTTTATATAAACTACTCACTATATTCGGCAGAACTGTACAGTGTGTTCCCTATGTAAAATAAATACACATACGTACTCATCTACGTACTGTGTAAGAATATTAAATATTTTAATGAGTGGAAAGATACTGAAAATGACACAAATGCTCTTAAAGAGATCGCTTGTACCTTGCTCTAGTTATAGTGCAGGGTGTCTTGGGTTCTCATTTTTTTTATTTTTATTGGTTCTCTTTCCTGGCTTTCGAAGTATGGCCCCATTGCTGCCCCTTTATACTGCGGGATTTTAAAGGACCACTATAGTGCCAGGAAAACATACTTGTTTTCCTGGCACTATAGTGCCCTAAGGGACCCCCTCCCGCCAGGCTCTGGGGAGAGGAAAGGGTTAAAATCTTACCTTTCTCCAGGGCCGGGCAGGGAGCTCTCCTCCTCCTCGCCGCCTCTTCTCCTCCTCTTCGGCTGAATGCGCATGTGCGGCAGGAGCTGCGCGCGCATTCAGCCAGTCTCATAGGAAAGCATTCATAATGCTTTCCTATGGACACTTGCGTCTTCTCACTGTGATTTTCTGGCTGGATTAACCTATTTATAAACACAGCAGTTTCTCTGAAACTGCTATGTTTATAAAAAAAAATGGGTTAACCCTACCTGGACCAGGCACCCAGACCACTTCATTAAGCTGAAGTGGTCTGGGTGCCTAGAGTGGTCCTTTAACTTGAATGACAGCAATAGACCGTGAACACCAATGGTGGATTAGTCCAGAGTTTGCAAACCTTTATTTAATTCATTCACAAAAATCCTGTAGTGTTCTGTAGCTAAATCTTTTTAGGAACAGCAACTCTTCACAAAAATCCTTCCAGAAAAGGGATAAACAAAGAGGTTTGTAGGATATTATAAAAAAAATGTAATTGCACTTTGGCCATACTTGACAACTGTCTCGAATTTAGCAAAACAGTCCTGATTGTATCCCCATATCTCATCATCCTAGTTGTTTTTTGTTTGGTTTAAATTGAGGAATTCTCTTTTGTATGGCAATGGATGTAATAGAAACATTTATCTGGATATACAAACAAAGCCATTAAAAAGATCATCTGTATTCAGAAAAAAGGTACTGCATATATTGAATAAGGTATCTAGAGCCTAAACGCTCTCCGGGCATCATGGGAAATGTAGTTTCCAAATATTTATAGTGCCAAGGTTAGCAATTGTTACTCTTGGGCTATACGAACCATATCTAATTTCAGTGTCAATCTCCATCTGATACCTTGCATGTGCTCTTTGAATCAATGTTGCAGAGATTGGCCTGAACTCTTGCATTAATCTGGGTTGTTTATTATCTTGTCAAATCTTTATAAAAGCCTGGCCTATGATTAGAACAAAAGTTGGTATTGTTTGATTCACTTTTTTGTTGCTGCATTCTTTATTTAAAGGAACACTATAGAGTCGGGAATACAAGCATGTATTCCTGACCCTGTAGTGTTAAAATCACATGTAGGGTCCCCAGCCCACATTGCCCCCTTAAATAAGTTTAAAAAAAAATCACCTTTTTTTCCAGTGTTAGGTGGATCAGCGGCCGCTGGCTCTGCCGCCAATCCACCTCTTTGGTGGTTGGCCAATCGCGATGCTTTGGCTAAATGCCACCGTAGCCAATCAGCATTTCCTCATAGAGATGCATTGATTTAATGCATCTCTACGGGGAGCGTTCATCGTCTCCATATTAAGAATTCATTGGAATTGAACAATTGGTCATGGTGGGAAATGTTAAAATCCCCACCCTGGTTTTAGATGGGCTAATCTAATTTCCATGCATGTGCATTGCTCTTTAAAAGTCCAGCCATTTAAACTTAATCCGAATAAAGTTGGTGTTTATTCAGATGAAGTTATGTTGTCTGGAGTGTTTATTTTTTTTTTTTTTTTTATTCTTTTGCAATAAATGAGCATTTACCGAAACAATTTCATATGCAAACAAACCATTTTGATGTTTCAGATCATATCACCTGATCTTTAAGCTTATAGCGGACATAGTATGTCAAGTTGGTGAAATCCCCACATGGCCCACATCAGAACACAAAAAGCTTGTCCAGGAATGGGTTAACACATTTGCATTGATCAGTAACCCATGCAGTGCAGAATTCCTCTGTGGTCTCTAATTAAAAGCATGACATGATTTTGATTAGTACAATGCTTATCTGCAAGATTAATTACCACTACCTTCTTATCTTGGGAGAGACAAGCTTTCATGTCTGATAAGAGCTGAAAACACTTGGGATATATTCAGGACAGTAGAATCCACTGGAAGAGAACCACTGTGCCGTGATTTATTAACTCTGCATTCTGAGTGCCTTTAATTCATTCAGACCAACCTTTACAGTTCCAGTTTGAGTAGGGAGCTGTTAACAGAGGATGTCAAACAGAGAAAGGTTTATTCACTAAACAGTAAAATGTATTGGATAGAAGAACGAATTTCAAAATGTAAAGAGACACTATAGTCACCAGAACCACTTAAAGGGACACTATAGTCACCTGAACAACTTTAGCTTAATGAAGCAGTTTTGGTGTATAGAACTTGCACCTGCAGCCTCACTGCTCAATCCTCTGCCATTTAGGAGTTAAATCCCTTTGTTTATGAAACCTAGTCACACCTCCCTGCATGTGACTTGCACAGCCTTCCATAAACACTTCCTGTAAAGAGAGCCCTATTTAGGCTTTCTTTATTGCAAGTGTATGTGATTAAAGTTCAATTTAGAGATTGAGATACAATTATTTAAGGTAAATTACATCTGTTTGAAAGTGAAACCAGTTTTTTTTTTCATGCAGGCTCTGTCAGTCATAGCCAGGGGAGGTGTGGCTAGGGCTGCATAAAGAGAAACAAAGTGATTTAACTCCTAAATGACAGTGAATTGAGCAGTGAAATTGCAGGGGAATGATCTATACACTAAAACTGCTTTATTTAGCTAAAGTAATTTAGGTGACTATAGTGTTCCTTTAATGTACTGATTCTGGTGTCTATAGCCTGTCCCTCCAGGTTTTTCAATGTAAACAATGTATTTTCAGAGGCAAGGCAGGGTTTACATTGCTGTCTAGTAGCCACCTCTATTGGCAGTCACTCAGATGGCCACTAGAGGTGCAAACAACCCTTTAAACACTATAGTGTTCCTGTAAGCCAACCATCCAAATTGAACAAATAGCGAAAATTAAGAATTTCTCCAAATCACTTTTTTAGCTTAAAGTTACACTCCAAGTACCATAACCACTATGTGTACCTACAGTGGTTATGGTGCTTGGAGTGTTACTTTAAAGTGACAATCTAAATAGCTTAAACTCTACAGGTAGATTTACTAGTTATGCAGTCAGTTGTCTCTGATTGCCAGCTCCCATTTTTTACGAACCTGTTTGTGAGTAGTTTGACAAAGACTGTCTCCTCTGCAGCCGCATTTAGAATGTGGAACTTACACTTCATCCAGGCTAAGAGCACTGAGCTAACTGGCAGCCATGCTCTCCAACAATTTGACAATGAACCAGGGGAACAACAAACAGCCTTTTTACACGTCGAGCTGTAGTATGTTTGATTTGCTTTGTGTCTCTGTAAATGTTGCAATACCATTAGACAAAATGCTGAAACAAACTCTCTGCATACCGAATTCTTATTTCAAATAGAATCAAACCCATACTTTGGTCTAAAGGCTATGGGTAAACAGGTTGATATCATATGTTCATACTGCTCTGTGGATTTTAATCAGCTATTCAGTACATGAAGCATACTGGTATTTTTGAGGTGTGTGTATGTGTGTATATATATATATATACATTTGTAAGGCCATAAATCTAACAGAATGTTTGCGGTTTCCTGTCCATTTTTGTTGTCCTCTGTCTAGCTCCCTATATATATGTATTTTTTTCCTTACGAGTTTATTACAGGTCAATTACAATAAGGGGGCTGTGGCGAGCAGGCGTCTATACAAATAGTGGGGTTACATGTACACAGGAGGTGAAACGCAGTGCTGACATAACCTGTTAATTGATCTTTGACACTTTCCATCCCATGCCAAGATAATTGGAGTGTAATTGCTTTTTTAAATCTTCCCCTCGCATTCCATATCCAAAAATAAAACAAGTTTCTAAAGGCAGAAGAAATTGTCTTCAGGTGCAGTCAAAACAGAGCATATCATCTAGTTAATAACGTTCTTGGTTTAAGTAAAAATTTGCATAGATAACATTTTTTTTAAATAGTGACAACTTTATAAATTGTAATTTTTCCTTTTTAAAAAAACAAACTGTTGTCATGGTGATTTTAGAACCATGTGAATGTACTTCATCATTTGAGCAGATCATTTATTATAAGTAAATACATTTATGAAATTTGCTTTATGCGTATATTTGATTTTGTTTTGACCAAACTGGTTTCTCAGTGCAGTGTTTTTTTGTTTAATATACAAAGTGTTTATGAAGAATTGTCAAGAAAATAAAATTCTTGTGTCAAGTACACAAATGGATATTGCAGGAGTCTGTTGGCTGGGCTTTATACTGTTTTAGGAGATTTTAATGAATCATAGTGATAGTTCTCATACCTATAATTAAACAGGGATGTGTGAAAGATTGAACTTTATGGTTTGGGATTATTTTGCAACTTGGACTTTGCTGTTACTGTAGGAATCTATTCACAAAATTATGGATTGTAGTAAAGTAAAAAATCAGTTGCAAAAACTTGTTGGTTTGGAACCATAGGTCCTTGATTTAAATGGACACTATGGGGCCATGAACACAAACATGTATTCCTGACCTTATAGTGTTAAAACCACTATCTTCCACTCCTTAAAACCACTATCTACTTTTATTCCAGTCTGCTGGTGCAGGCTCTGCCCCTGATCCGCCTTCTTAGCTGACAACATCATAAGTTATGGACTCAGCCAACCACAATGCTTTACCATAGAAAAGCATTGGATTGGCTGAGATTGCCAAGGAGGTGGGCCTTCGGGGCAGAACCTGGCCAATCAGCATCGCCTCATAGAGATGCATTAAAGCAATTCCTCTCTGTGAGTAAATTTCAGTATCTCCATGCAGAGGGTGGAGACACTTAATAACAGTGCTACACACTGTGCAGCACTGCCCCAGGAAGCACTTCTAGTAGCCATTTGAGGAGTTGCCAGTGGAGGTATCTATAGGCTGTTTTTGAAAAGACAATGTTTACTGCAAAACGCCTGAAGGGAATGATTCTACTCACCAGAACAAATACAATAAACTGTAGTTGTTCTTGGGACTATTGTGTCTCTTTAATTACCTTTCCACATGATTTATCTATAACATTTCTCATAGACTTGAATGGTGACTTCAGTAGTGAATCATTTGGACCTCAATTTAATATTTTTGGATACGCTTATGAAATAAGGTAATCAGTGAATCACAGTTTATTATTACTGAAATCAGATTATGATCACATTGATAACACTGTTACATAAAACTGTTACCCATTGATAACCGACTGTAGACAGTAATTGTAATATTTTCGACAACTCGGCTAATTTGAACAAAATTATTCAAGCTGATATCCACTCATAGTGTAGTTATTACAGACCAAACTCTGTCTACAATTTTTCTTAATTATCATGAAAAAGAACCCTAATTAGCTTAATTCTGTGGATTTTTAGTTCTTTTGAAAGGAGTTAGACACTTTTATATTTGGCAAAATACCAGCATAAATTACTTTATGACAATGTAAAGGCACATGAAACACATTTTTGAGGATAGAATCCGTTTCATTGAAAGCTCAGACAAGAAAAAAGCAGATGACCTCGGCAATAGCACAGTCCTCCCTTCTCCCGTTCTTAGTCTCTAATCTTTTGAAATACAGCCCTTCAGAATTCTAATGTGCTCTACACAGAATCCATTTATGTTGACGCTCTTTACATCACAGGAAATATTGGATGTGCCTTTATTTACTGGCCTTTAATCATGGGATTACCTAGGCTTTGAGTTACTGGTCTAATTCATTGCAATGATACCCATACTCCAGCTGCTGGGCTGCGAGATAGTCATCCCTGCGAGTGTCATTGGGTCAACCTTCCCAGATGAGGAGGTAGGTAGCCTATCTATCTATCTATCTATCTATTAATCTATCTATCTATCTATCTATCTATCTATCTATATCATTGGATTTATGTGTCATTTGATCTATCAATTATTTAATCTGTATATGGTTCGATCTGCATATCAGTTGTTTGATCTGAGATTCAATCTGTCAATCTGTGTTTCTATGGTTTGATTTATCTATAGATTATTTGAACACTGTTTGATCGATCTATGATTTGATTTGTCCACAAATGTGATCTATCAGTGCTTTCCTTTTATCTGCAAACTGTTTACGCTATCTGATTGTATTTATCCGAATCTATATCTGTACTTGTCTATATATGGTTTGATCTACGTATCGATCTTTGTGATCCATCTATCACTTGGTCCATGTTTTGTCCTGTTTATCTATGGTTTGATCTACTTATAGTTTTATCAATTTGTCAACTGCCTGATCAATGGATCTTCATGTGTCAGTTCCTTTCCATCTGCTCATTAGAGTAAGAAAAAGTATTACTTTGGCCAAATACAGCCTTTGGTAACGAGATGATGTGCGCGTCTATGAGAACGACCTGTTACATCATTGGAATTACAGCTTTTTGGCGGGTGCAGGGTGTTATAAATACTTACATGTTTTCCTCTGCTGTATTTCTGATATGTGGCACTTTATTATTGATAGTAAAATTATTTTCCTTACAGGTACAAGCACCCTTAGGCTCTGTGATCTACTTTAGTCTAACATTCCCAGAATGCTTGCAAAGACAAAGGCATGCTATGAGTTGTGTCTACAGCTTCTGCAATGCTGCGAGTCTCACACTCATTAGGTCCCTCTTCGAATAGGGAGGGATACCAAGCAATCCAGGGTTCAAGGCCCGCAGGTTAATATAGGCCACGTCCATGTTTTCCTAAACCCCTTTAATTCACTTCTTCACACTGATGGACAACATATAAAAAACACTGCCCTTCTCTTTGTAGAATTCAACGGTTTCATGAAGAAAATAGAGGAGGAATCCTTTTATTCCTTAACAGATTTCCTTGCAACAATGTATTCGTCATACAACGAGGCAGAGCTTTTATGAACTGCTTATCAGTATGAGGAAGTGTATGTAATATGTTTAAACTGGGAACCGAAATCACAAACACAGCCGAAAGCTCAGCACGAATGAGTTTAGTTTGGTACATGTGCATTTCATAGTATATCGTTTGGCAGTAATTCCCTTTAATTAAGATTAATTGTGACAGTGGTGTGAGCATTGTCTAGAAATTGTCTGTTGTATATCTGGAAATTCCCTCCAGGTAAATTCACCTTTACTTTTCCTTCGTCCGTACGTTGTGCACCAATATTTTTTTCATGCCTCAACTTTCGAACTTTGATCATGGTAGTTTCAGAATTTTGTGGCTGGCATAATTTGTAAAAGTGCCAATTTTTTATTATGAGATGTTTAGATGTGGTTCTGTTTACATGCAATGAATACATCTCTTCGTGCCTACAAATTCTCCATTACACAGTATCAGAGTTTTATATGTAACGAATAAATAAACAGATAAATATTGCTATCGAATAATCTGACAAATCATCATGGGAGTTGTAGTTGCCACCTTTTGTAAGCCTTTGTTAAGGGACTTTGATTAGTATTGTTAAAGATTATTCTCCAGGTGCCCAAATATTATTGCACAGTTTGTTTGTTTTTTGTTTTTATAACGTATATTTTAGAATTACATGTTTTTTTTTTTAAATATTGTTTTTCAGTTATTTACATTGTTTTTTTTTTGTTTATTTTATAACGATTTGTTTTGCTTAGAATGTCCATCCTTTCTGTCCCATTTGGTTTTCCAGCACATTGCATCTAAAGATGCACTGCAACTGTTACGTTTCTCCTAAAGTTGAGAATAAAATACCAAAGCAGTCGGGAGATATACATAAGATAAAGCAGGGGAACTACTTTGTCTCCCATAAGTGACACGTTTTTACAAACTGTAGCCAAGGCAGAGGTTCAAGCAGCTTCCATATCTTGCCTTTTGCCATCACTTTTCTCAAGCAATGGCTGGCTCGACTTGGCATCTTCTTCCATATCTTAACAAGGATGATCATCTTTGTAATATCTTGGAATCATGCAGAATCTTTCATAGACGTCCATTTTGAATTACTGCACATGCATAAGAGTACATCAGAGACATTATCCCTGAAGATAAATCCATGAGGAGCTTAAACGATATATAACTACCTTTTTCCCTCTAATCGGTGGCACCACCACAAATGCAGACATGTCATCTTGCAGATATTGAGGCCAAGATCATGACTTAGTGTAAATTCCTTCCTTTCTTTTCCCTCCTTTTTTTTGTTGTTTTTGGTACCTTGATTGCTATTTGTTATTGCCTTTCTTTGTGTCCGGTGGCACACGACGCCTGGCACCTCTCTACGGTATTGGAGGCTTCTGAGAAAATAAATAACTAACTGCTTTACTACGGTTATTTCCACTTTATTTTAATTTGTGCGTAAGTATAAATGATATAAAGTCTTTACAAGTCCCTGGAATAATTTTCATTTTGAAACTAGGACACTCGTAGCTGGAATGACAATTAATTCTCCCTGAATATGGTCCCAGTTGGAGGCCTGGTTTGAAAAGGCTGCAAACTCTCTGTGTACAACATTAACTCTGAAGAGCCTTTGCTTCCGTTTTTAATTAGCGAGCCAGTAAAATTTAGCTTATTGTGCAATTTCTGGAGCTTTGTCCAAGACGATATCTTAAGGTTTGCTCAGTCTCCTTGTGACAAGGCTGTTCTTCATTTATTTTTTTTATTTTTTTTGGTTTTCTTTAGTAGGGAAGCTTTTTTTTTTTTTTTTTTTTACAGGATATGTAGGATTAAGTCCATTGTGCTGTGGGTATTTAGAGCCAGCTGCCTACATCAAGTTAAGATTAGGTAGTGCACATTAGAACATTAAGTTGAAGTGAAGTCCGGATTTGGTTTTTGCATAGCTATGAATCAAAGATGAGGAAAGTTTAGGAAGCAGCTCTGTGGTATCTGATGGACGCAGATTTTTCTGAATGTATTTACAGCAAAATAACATTGTTATTGTAGTATCAGTGCCTAGGTACAAATAGCCTGAACACCATGTTTTTACTAAGCACAGTGATGTACTACAATGAAGTACATTTCAATAGCAATTTTCACTTTAATTCATCCACCTGCCTCTCTCTGACAGGATTAGCCTTTCAATGGTCTTATCACTTAAACAGATAATTTCTTGAAATTATATTGTTTAATTTACTGCAGTATTTTAAAAAAAGCTTGACAGTGTTAAAGATAGTTTCCATAATATACAGACAGATGCGGTAGGGAGGCACGCAGTATTCTGGAGTTAGCGTATTCTGGAGTTAGCGTATTCTGGAGTTAGCGTATTCTGGAGTTAGCGTATTCTGGAGTTAGCGTATTCTGGAGTTAGCGTATTCTGGAGCTAACGTATTCTGGAGCTAACGTATTCTGGAGCTAACGGTTTCAAACTTCACTTACACTATTTCAGACTTTATGTAGAGTTGCAAAAGCTAGTTCATTGCTTATTTTGTGTATTCTTTCTCTGATTCCGTTTTTGTAATGTCTTATAGTACAGAATGAGTTTTGGGCCAGCACTAAAGCAAATCTCAAAGGTTTAAAATTGTACAAGATGATGAATAACATGAAACAAAACATATAAAAGCTATTTTTTAAGGAGCAAATCTACAGCAATGTTCTAAAAGTGATTTGCATGGGTATCGTTAGTCCACTGTTTTGCTTTGTCTTATTTTTGTTCCTATATAATTCCTGTAGTGTGATCCGTAAGTTATAGAACAGGAAGTTGGTATTGTGTATTGAGAATGAATTACAGGAGATGTACTTGGTTCCATACGGGTAACACTGGAGTGGAGATACAGTGAGTGCATTTAATAGGGGTGCAGTACTTACAAAGGTTTCTACACAGTAAAACATGGAGGCTGAAGGAAATAATGAATGTAGTGGATTCTCTTGTAAGGTTATCTTTACGTTTTGTCCGATATAGCTAAGTTGTGTTAACTTGGTCCTTCATCCTTTTTTCCCTTCAATTTAGCTTTAATTTTCCAAAATAACTTTTTAATTTGACTCTATAAATTGAATAAGCCCCCTAGTAAAGTAAATAACAAAAAATCCGACTGCTGAACCATTAGAAAAACCGTAGAATCCTGTAGAATGATTTAATCCTTTTTATTTACAGACACATTTTTTTGTGTGGCAGATCTGTTTAAAATGCTGTGCAGTTGTCCTGGTGCCTCGAATTGTCTATGCTCACATTCTTTATAAAGTAAATCCCTTTTAGTGCAAATAGCAACTCTCGCAGCCTCCTCTTTTCTACAAATATCCTCTTTAGCACAGATGTGACTGGAATACAAACTTTTTTATTGTAAGAAAAGCACCTTGCAAATTGCACCATGGGACACAGTCACATATCACTGTCACGATCACTGGCATGTCATCCCCTGGTCCTTTCTGTACATGGGTTAAAGCAGAATTTCAATGGAAACTTCAACTGTAAAATGACATGTAGTTAAACATATAAGTGAGTCATACTACTTATTCAGAGGCTTTGGCTCTACCAATTGAGCAGGGTTTATCAGTGTTTTTTTTTTTTTTTTTAATCTTAGACTTGTAATCTACCTGAAACCTGTGATGCAATTTACCTGCTAATACATTTGATCTCAGGATAAAACATGAGTAATATACATTCATACTTCCCTGATTTTCAACTGGGGAAAAAACATGTGGATCTCACTATTTTTTTTTTTTTTTAAAGAGATAGTAATCCTAATAAAAAGTCTGGTTTAGATTCGTGAACATATCTTTCAACGTTCAAGTATGTATAAAAGTTATGTCTCTTTTACATCTCTTGCTCCAAGATTTCTGCATGTACGATGGCTTGAATTACCGGTAGTTTATTTGTACCTGTGACTTTTCTTATCAGTGACCATAGGTTGATTTCTTGTAGAATTATACTTGGTTTAGAATGAAAAGCAACCAATCAGAATGAAGCTTTCAAACAAAATGGTTGTTACATTTTTTTATTTTTTATTATTCATTCTTTCCCACGTGGTTCACGGGCATGGGAGGCCTGACAATCTAGATCGCCGTCTGGATCAGTAATGTGCAGGGTTTTGGGCTACAGCTTGAAGACACCAGTCTTCTGCTGTGAAAGCCAACAGAGGTATGATGGAACCCCTCCAGAGTAGTGAACCAAAGTGAATCACCAGGCAAGAATTGTGCAGTGTCTTTGCTGGCCCAGCACTTTGTGGGTTAATGCTTGAGCAAGAGGTAAATATTCTCAATGCTCTCCAGGATTGGGCTGGACCCGGTGCCATTTGCTGGGTCCTGAGATCACAGTGACTGTCAAACAATGATGACTGTGCGATATGGAGGTATCTGCAAGTGGCTGCAAGGTGAGATGAGCCATTGGTGTCAGTGCAGTTACTAGATACAATCTTTGGCTTGCACAAATCTGCTGTGCATATCATATGGAATAAGGATATAAGATGCAATCTCAACAACCATATATCATTGATGCAGGTTCAATAGGACCATCCATACAGGGACCTGTGAGTTTTGTGTGCAATAGGCATAGGTCTTTAGTTTGTACTTGCTCCCCCTAACCAAAAGTTGCCAGCTCTCCCCTGTAATCACTGACACATGCTATAGCTTATACATTTACATTTGAACCTCTAGAGCTTTTAGGTATTTTAATTGCCTGTCAACCCTATTGACAAACATCTCGATAATTCAGAAGTTTTCGGAGTTGGCGGAAAATCATATTGAGTAGGGTCGTAAATCATTTACGGACTAGGTGCTTTGTCCAAGATGAAGCAATTGCTCCAAATAAGTGACACAAAATTGGATGAAGCATTTTGGCAATCTTGCAACACTGTAGGGTGTGTTACTATCTGCACATTTCTTGACACTTGAATCCAAACCTGATGAGCCCTGTAGCAAATCAGTGTTCTTTATGGTTTGGGTGTTCATCGTCAAGGTTTTTAATTAAGGAATACAAATTCAAATCTTAACGTGTCACTCTTATTAAATTGGTGGAGTTTTAATAACAAAAATGAACCATACATTAAAAAAATCAGGTTGCAATTGCTTTGTTTATTGTGAGATTGCCATGTTCAGCTCTAAAACTTGAGGGTAACATTGAAGAATATATGTAATGTGTCTTTGCCTTTGTTAGTTGACACAACATTTTCTTTTAAAAATATATTAAAGATTTAGCAAATGACATCACAATCAGTTCAGACTCACTAGGGCACACATTTCATAGGCGGAGAACCAGTAATACTTATTCTGTTTCAATTCTCTTGGCATGCCTTTTTTTTTGACTGACAGATGTAAAGAGCAGACATTATAACAATGGTTGTCAGGGATCCAGGTTGGATGCACCACATTCTAGGATAAGAACCTAGGCTGGTTAAAAATGAGTTGAAATACAATTTCGATGAACTTCTTTATGAGAAGTACTTTGTTTCATTTCAGTTTTATATTGATTTGCATACTTTGTTATTTAGATTAATGCTGCTGAATTACACAAATATTCTAAACCTTCTGTTAGTTTTCCCTATCTGCATTTATTATCTTTGCCCATATATAAAAACCTGCTTTAATAAAACCTGATACATCTATATAAGTTTGTCCAATAATAACAATATAGTGCAATTAATATTCAACTGAATTTACTGTAACCGATGCCAATATTTGCACAAATTGATATAAAATATTTTCATGAATTGGTTAAGAGCCAGAATTTGCAACATGCTGTTTAGACTGTTATCACACGCACAAATCTGAACATTCTAAGCAGAATTTAATGGGGGAAAAAAGTCCACAGTGGAACACAATAGGGGTTTATCTATTAAACTGAGAGCTTAGAACAACTTTTCAATATTTCCAGCTTGGCTCTTTTGGCATAACATTTGACGTTGCATTTTAGATTTCTAATTTTAATAAGATACTTAAAACAAGAATTTAAGACCTTGATGGCCAGCACCCCAAATTTCCCATGATGCAGACTTGTGCAATTCTGCAAACGCCTGGCAAAGCATCGTGGGAAAGATTTAAACACCTGGATTATCAGTGTCAGCCATTGCTGCATTAAGATATTGAGCTCCAAAAGCCTTCTTATGTAGCAAGATGTGCTTATTGCTCTCCTTTCCTCTTGGACCCTTTGGATAGCTGTGTTTATTTAAATGATACGTTTGATCTAATGTATAGAGTGTCAAATATTCATTTTGTTATTCTATATAGTCTGTGTAGATATTAACTGGGTGGCCTGGGGCTTTGGGAAAGAATTCTATTAATTTTGCTCTGTCTAGAACCTGCTAAAAGGCTTTCTTCGTGTAAACTATATATTTTTTTCAAAATCTTTTCAAGACTAAAGCGTGAAGGTTGTTTAGCTATTTTTAAAAATGGAAACGTTTCTAAATAAATAAATCACTGTCAAATGTTGGTCCCCTTTGGGTACTTTTGACCGGGTACGGCCTTAAATACTATTCTGACCTTAATTTTACAACTCAGTTTGTTAGCTCAAAACAACCCAACACAGCAGTTATTTCACGAAATTACCCCTTTTGTATTCCACTGTAGGAGCCGGAAAAACAATGATGGTTTTTTAACAAATCCAATATTGGACTGTTTAGTAAACAATGATGGTTTAGTCGTAGTTCTATCTCAATTTGTCTTTTGAATATTTTCTTCCAAATTTCAGTTCTCTGACAGCAGGGATGGCCAAAATCAGATCCCAAAATGTTGTGGAAATTCCCACTCCGTGCTCAACTTGGACAGAGTGCTCTCTCCTCCCCATGCGCAGTCCAGACTCTTCCAATCATTGTACAGAGCGCAGATCAGTAAACCGTAACAATAGCAGATACAGTAGGGATTGCTCTGTCTGGTGTTCAGAGCAATTCCACTTGTCCTGGGAGAAAGAACTCTCACTAAGGGATAAACAGGACAAGAGGTTTTTGGATAAGAGCAGACACCAAAGTAACAGAAGCACTGGGAATTTTAAATGCTCTCTTTCTTTTCTTTTCTTTGTTTTTGTGATTTATTTTTTGCATTATTATTGTATGATCTATACAGTGCACTAAAAACAAATGTCATTTTTAAGTATACATTCACATTTGGGCCTAATTGTGTAATTCCCTTCTCAAACTCCACAATAAAGCATGTAGTGTGTCCTATCCCTGGGAAAGTTCATTGGAACTGGCATTATTTTTGTTTCCAAATGGCAGTTATCATTTGCACACAATATGATGAAAACTAGAGTTGTGTAATTTTGACATAAGTAGTAATCCTGCTCTCTCTCTCCCCCCCACCCCACCCTGGAACGTCTCATTAAACTCTAATTAAGGGCTCCCTTATCTTTGCTTTTCTAGAATTTGGTATCAAACAGAAAGATTCCGTATATCTGAACTTTTTTTTTTTTTTTGAAGGTTTCAAAATAAAAAAATAAAAAAGCAAGCGGATGTGTACTGCCAGACTTGGCTGCTTTTGCTTAGGCACCAAGCTTCACACTGTGAGGCAATCGGGCGTCAAGAATAGGCCAAAAACCTGTTTGTGAGACCTGAGTGGAGAGCTCTTTCCTGATTCGTGGTAATATTCCATTCCAGCGGTGAAGGGAGGTTAACTCAGTTAAGCCTCGAGGTCAGCGTCATGCAAAGCTAAAGGTCTATTCATTGTGGAGAAGTGCTTCGTTGCCCTGAAAAGAGATGGAAAAAATGTTTTTATGGATCAGTGTATAGGTCAGCCCCAAACGTTTTCACTGTAAAACAAACAAAATACTGTGACCGATGCATTAATGCGCAGTAAGTCCCGACAACGCGGTTTGAAGTTTTTATTGTAAGATCATCAGTGAAAGTCTTGTCAATATGAAAACGTATTTTCTTTAAATACTTCACATAGTTGACATTAAAAACATGGTTGATTGCTTTTGCGTGAATGTTCACTTTATTTTCTACATTTAAAATTGTTGGCTGAAAAGCGTGGCAAGATAGGCTAGTGACAGATATAAATTTTGTGCTGAACATATTTTTGTTAGTTTTTTAATGATTTTCCTTGTTTCTAATTGCTTCTTGGGAAATGTAATTCTCAAACATATATGCAGTAAGAAAAAAAAAACAATGTCTCTGGATGGCATTCTTAAATAGTAAAAAAATTTTTTTTCAAAAAATGCATAATTCAGGCTTGTTGTGATTTTACCGGATAACTCTTCATTTATAGCATTTAGTAGAGGACTAGGGAACATCCCTTAAGGTTAAGGAAAATGTGAATTTTTATGAATACATTTTCATTCTATTTGTATTTTTATTACTTTATAGTAAGTTCATTTGAGGTGTGGAATTCGCTTCAAGAAAGTTGTTTTAATGATTCAGTCAAAAAATGTAAAAAAAACAAAAAAGCATCTTTGTTTTACTCAATATAGGATTATAGTTACGAAACAAAACTGGGATAATGTCAGTCCAAAAAAAATGAATTTCTTTGGTGATAAAAAGAGAACTTGCTGTTTGCACAGTCTGAATGTGTCTGACAGAAGTGTCGTTTTAAGGGCTTTTTTCAAAGCGTTTGTTTACATCAGTATGGTTACCTAAGAAAAATGTGATTGGTGTTGTGTAACTTCTGACTTTAGTAACTATGTAATTTAATCGTCCATGCAAATACAGCAGACAGCTCAGATAATTTCCTAAATTTAGGAGTTTTATACAATGTATCTTATAAAATTCTGTTAAAGCACACTTGGGTTTAGTGTATGTTTTATCTTTAAGTAACATGGAAATGCACCATTGTTTCACTAAGACAGGTTAACAAATGAGTAACGGGAGACTTTGCAGACAGCTGTCTGTCTCTTCAGCTCTTGCTGAGAATCCTTTGTGGCTGGAGCCAATCTGGGAGGACTGCCTTCTCTGTACAGACCTTCGCAGAAGTGGTCCTTATCTCCCTAAAGAAAGGCTTTGCCTGCTATGCATGGGTTTGTTTTTATAAAAACAAACCACTTGAGGCTATTCCTTCTACAGGCGCCCCAAAAAGGCCCATTAAGGAACATATTGCTTATACTAGCAGGAGGGAGATACCAATCAGCTATACATTAATACCGTATGTGCTAGAAAATGTGAACATGAACTTGTTTCACTAAACATATATTCCAAATTAACTAGTGGAATGTATAACTCCCTGTACTATGTATGAGTTCTGTTATTATTCTTATTATTTAATATTTTTTTTAAATCTATTTAGCGTTTCTCAGTTCATATGTGTGTATCACAGATGCAACATAGTTCCAAAAATAGATTTTTAAAAACCCACCACGTTGGTTACTGTAGATTTATAACTGAGCTCACTAGTAGAACGGAATAAAGGTCCAAATATATGAAGCGATCACCTTGGAAAACCAACTGAATCAACATTCCGTTGGTATCTGCAATTTAAAAACTTTACACTCCACTTTTCTATTAGCAACACATTTATAAATCTCCCCACCCCAAGATTTACTTGTAAAACAAAACAAACAAACAAAAAAGTCACGTTTAATATATGATGTGTTTGTTGAATAACTTGTACTATAATTGCATTGTACTAGTGTCCAGTTGGCTTCTTTACCGGAGTTAGACTGTCTATTATGCTGGAGGCTAGGAGATTCATTCCTCCCCATGATAGGCAGCAAGCATGCAGAGACATACAGACCTCATGAAAAGTGCCCTGGTCTAAAAAGAGTTGTCAGAATTTGACTGATCTGCTGCTCAACATCTGCCTCTTCAACCCAGCTGGTTTTCCACCTGCCCTCTTAGAAGGTTGTCTCGACTGATCTAGAAATCATTTAGGACCATTTTAGAATAAATATAAGTATATTTATAATAGATTATTGGATTAAAATAAATTTATGTTATTAGCATTGTTATTTTTTAGTACACCAACATGTTCTGTAGCGCTGTTCAATTGGAATTTAAAACAAATCAAATAAATGAATTATGACAAACCAGTTGAGGTGAACAGGCGAGGAGCTCACAATCTAGACGATAAGAAACTGTCTTCTGTTATTGAAATGATGAAAAGTTTATTATAATTGTAAGATGAAGAATTGTTAAAATCTATATCCTAGTTATCTTTTGCTTCAAAGGGACACTCCATGCCCAAATACAAAATACATAACAATCACTGTTTAGTAGATATATCCCAAATGAAAACTTGCGTGTATTTAATTATGCATATTTTCATTAGAGGTAAATCTGAAAACAGGTTGCAAAACCTGCATTTTTCTTGTCTGCTGCCCTCCTCTGCTAACCCCGCCCAGACTTTCTGCGACTGTCCAATCACAGACTTCATAAAACAGCTCAATGAGAAGTCTTTGCAAGGCAGGTGCTCTGAGCAATTGCCCAACTCTTGAGTTTAGCTCCACTGAGCTAACCAAACCAGGAAGTTACTGGACCAGTTCTCTGACTGACAGCCGGGGATGTAAAAAGTTTAATTTATAAAAGTGCCAATTTGTATTGAAATCTGCACTTTTTGTAAAATGAAAAAAAGAGGACACACTCTTCCCACATTAAGCGTTTCAGCAAGCCAAAATGCTTTAGGGGTATAAAGTGTGTCTCTGTAATGTGAAAACATTAAACAATGGCAAGGTTTGGCAGGGTTATTTACTAAACCGTGAATCAACAGGAATTCATTCATTTGAATTTCACTTGTTTTTTTTTTTTCCACAAGTCCCAGATTGTGAAAAATGATCTTTACATATGTCATTATTTTGCGAGACGTCCTATCATCTAAGCACATGGTTATATATTGGGAGTTAAATCTCCGTTACACTTTATTGTGATTCAAAGAAATATTATTTTGGTCTACATATTGCAGGTTCTTTTTCAATTCTAAGCAGTCTCCAGTTTAGTGAATAAAACTTAGACGGGAAGCTTTCAAATATATCAGGGTTTACATGAAACTACTTTTGTGTGGAGAACTGCCACGGAATTGCTTAATTTAGGTCAAAATAGCAGGGGTGCGAATTCTCCTAGTTTAGCAATTTTAGAAAAAAAAATTTAAATTCTTTTGCAATTTTCCACAAATGTATAAAATAACCATATATCATTCCAAACTAACCCCTGTGGAACTCACGGAGTTAAACTTTACTTTATTACTGTTTTGTTTGTCTTCATTCCTTCAGGTTTCTTAGAGTATGAAAAGAAAATTGGCCATTTAGCAGGGGAAAACTGTTTATCACTCAGATAATTATACTGACAAGTTTGATCCTAAGGGTTGTATGTTGACAGGCCTTCTGGGCAGGTTTGAAGACCAAAAATATGTATAAATATGTCCTGACAAAAGCGTTTGACAGGAGCCATGAGCTTGGTATAAATCTCGTCACCATTTTCACAGATTTTTGTTTATTTAGATTTCCCCAAATTGGTGTACAGCACATTTACAAGCAAGGTCATTTTTAAATTTTTCTCTTTTTTTTTTTTTGTAAACTAAAACAAGGGCGATGGGGGTGAGAGAGAGAGAGAGAGTGTGTGTGTGTGTGTGTGTGTGTGTGTGTGTGTGTGTGCGCATACATATTATAATGTAATTTTAAAATCTTTTTTTAACGTGATGTGTGTGTGTGTGTGTATATATATATATATATATATGTATATATATATATATATATTTATTTTTTTTAACGTGAAGATTTAATGGTGCTGAAACTTTAACAAAAACAAATAAGTAAAACAATAATCATCATTTAATTAACCATGTAAGTGGGTTTGTTGGGGCACATTTACAAAAACTTGAGAAGACTTGTTCTGCGATGTAGTAAAGTTAATTAAAGTGAAGCATGTGTTTTGACTGAGGGTTTGAAGCGACTTGCTTGCCAATTTCGAGTTAAGCTGACAGGCATCTGGTGTGCTGCTGCTGCTGCCTGTAGGCATTTTAGATTCTCAGTATTGTGCTTAATAGACCTGCTTGCACTTTTTAGAGACTTATTACAGAGAAAGTGCTTTATATCCCCAGAGCTACCAGTAGCAGCCTGATTCATAGGGAAATTAGGTTTGGAGAGATAGTGATGGTCTTAAACAGAGTGCCCTACCTGCAGGGGACTCAAACTTTGGCTTAAAAAGTGCCGGAAATGGATTTTAGAAACAAAATGGTTTTACTCATTCAAGTCTTGGCCCCGTAGCTGGACTACAACTCCCATCATTCTGTCTACCAAAGAAATATAGAAGATTTTGCTATATTTACTTTTGTAAGATTTTATTTCTAGCACAGCTTTATCTATAACATGTCAGGGTTATTCACTAACATTAAACAATCTTGACATTATTCACATTATTTAACAATATCAATTTAAAAAAAAACAGTGAGTGGGCAGATATTTTATTTAGCAATAGTCAGCATTTTTTAAACAAATTATTCTTATCCACGTGAACAGTAATTTCTGGAAACCATAATCCCGTGTTGCAATCACTCAGCGATTTAGCGACATGGGATTTTAATATTGTTTATATAGACGTGTGACGATGTAGATATTACATTACTATGTCACCTTTTGAAAGTAACAGTCCACTGGATTGTTTCGCAAAGTACACACAATAAATAGTGTCTGTCAAGGTAATTGTCTTCTCCTGAGATGTTTTATCACCCTCAGAGTGAAAGGACTCACTTAAGTGCAGATTGTTGACATGACAATTAGAAGACTAGAATTAATTAGCTGAGGTTACTTTAAGATTGTCAGAGAAAGTTGAAAGAGCTTGGTAAAAATAAACATCTGTTTCAGTCATGTATTACCCTACTATCAAAATGTTCGATCGTTGTGTACATAAAAGGGGGTTTATTAACTAACTAAATAATTGCAGAAAATCGAAAAATGAATTTGCAAATTAAGACAAAAAAAGTGCTTGTTTGGAAGAATTTGCCATCTCTACTGTAGTTATAGCTTGGGTATTTTACTCTGAACTTAGAAAACTATGCCTAACATTTAAAGAGTTTTTTTTCTGATTCATTCTGCTGTTTGTGTGTTTACATGTCTGTTAAATAGGAAACCCCAAGTTTCTTGAAAAATAAATAAAAAATTATCCACTTAATTTTGAAGATTTCTGAAAAATACATATATAATATTGTGTTTTAAATGACGAATATCAATTGACCCTTTTCTCCTGTAATGCCGTAAGCACATTCTTGCAAGTCATTCTTCCATTGCATTCATACAACATGGGGTAACATTACGGTATACAACTGATTTACATAGAATGCCACACACATGCCTTGACAGTACTGCCTATAAAGTAAAAAAAAAAATGGAAAATCCACGTCTACCTTGAAAATAATTATATGGTTGTGCAAAATGTTCCTATCAAATAGATAGTCCTTATTCAATTGTTTTTAGCATTTTTCCTTATTTTAAGTGGTCCTATCACTGTGACCTTGCTTTGTCACAGTGATAGGAACACTGGAAACAACTTTATGAAAAAGTTTGGTGTGTAATCAATAAGATCATGCACAAGGTTGATGGATTATCTGACTGTTACATTAAACTGGATGGTTAACTATGTAAATCTATAATTTGATGTGAATTTAAAACAAATTCCTTGTTATCTGTAATTTTGTAACTATATATATATATATATATATATATATATATATAAAACCTTATATGAACTCTTTTACACATTTGCTGTAGTGATATAGCAATGCTAATATTTCCTGTTCTACTTCAGTTTATGTAAGTCTCCAAAAGTATTGCTTGTTGGCAGAGTTCCACCTGGGCCATTCGTTTCTGAGACCCCGTGAGGCTTACATTCTTAACCCACTGTTAAAGGAACACTAAACATTAGGAATACAAACATGTACTCCTAACACTTTATTGTCCCCGCACCTAGTTATAGTGGTAGGCAAAGCCTACTGCAAGACATGGCATCCTCCAGTTAATGGTCTAGTCCAATGCTCCTCTTAGAGAATATCTATTGTCCTACTTGGGTTGCACCGCCAGGTGACGGAGTTGTACTCGGTCATTGCAATAGTAGCATCTCCAGTGGTGGTCAGTGCAGCAGCCAATGGAGGTGTGTTTCAGCATTCAATGTAAACACTGTCCTTTCTGCAAGTCTACCGTGGACCACTGCACCTAGGTTACTTCATTGAGAAGAAGTGGCCTGTGTGACTTTAGTGGTCCTTTAAGCAGAACATGTCATTCAGAGATACAGATTGTCTTCTTTTTTTTTTGGTGGTGCATAGCAAGCATATGATTTGTACAGTACAGGTGTGTCCGACATTGGCCGAAAAGGTTTAACTCAGTACAGCAATAGCATAGCACCCCCTTTTTTTTTTTAAGAAAAAAGTACAATAACAGTATATAACAATTTGAGCGCATCTGAGAGGAGTTGTGAGGTGTCGTTTGCCTAGTGATTGAGCTGTTGGCATGCGTGGGTGTGATTCACTAGGCGCTTTACCATAATGCCTAAGGGGTGATGTGCTTCCTCCTTGCTATGTGATACCCCTGACCAAGGGGGCAGCGGGGGGTGATGTGGTAGTATGCGTTGAGACTCATGTCTCTGCGGATTCTAGCGCTCATGTTGGGTGGTAACTTGAACACGTGTGGGAGAGATCAAAGGAAAAAAACAACCAAATATACAAATGCAACTTAAAGCAAACATATAGAACAGCGTCTCGTTGAATTTGCCCCGGGGATGCTGCTCAAGTGCTATGGCTGTATTTGTCGGCCCAGTCCCCATGTTTTGTCAGGTTTCAGTTGCCTGTGAGCCTCCGGCTCTCGGGACGAAGGGTGGTGACGCGGGTAGGGTCCCAAGTGTCCATGGGGGTGGTGGACCAATCCCAGTGCTTGTAGGAAGGCCGGTGCCCCCTCGATCGACATGAGTGTATGATTAGTTCCGTTGTGGGTTACCACAAGAGTTCCTGGGGTTCCCCATCGGTAGGGTATGGCCGCGGATCTTAGTTGAGAGGTGACTGACCCCAATGATTTACGCCAGACCAGGGTGCTTTTTGTGAGGTCTTGATAAAATGTTAGGGAGGAACCCTCGAAGGTCAGAGGTGTTTTATTCCTCAGTGCCATCATGATCTGGTTCTTGTCTTGGGAGGTTAAGCAGCGACGAATGACGTCTCGTAGATTGTCTTATTTTTAAGGCAGCTTCCAAGGAACGAGGTGTACAGTGCTACTTAACCATCTTAGGCTTAATGCATGGCCACATCACTCTAGTTATGCTGTTTGATACTAGTATAATATTTGCTATAAACTGGAAATGGTTGAATTGGCAATATTGCAGTCTGCAGTTGGCTTTGCCTTTTAGATGGCTAGTGGATAACGTTCCATTTACTATAGTTCCAAGTTTCAGTATTGAGTACCTGCTATAGCCTTGTCAGATTTTCATCCTTCTGATAAAATGAATACAATTAATTTAGACAATAACATTTTGGTGGGGGGCAACCCATAGTATTGTGGATCCATACTTGTATCAGTAATCGATGTTTAATATTCAAGAGCATCCAGTGACTGTAAAGACATATTCCTAAAGAGCTCACAAATCATGTGTATATATATTTGTTTGATTATTTTTCTTGATGTTCTTATGTTAATGGATTACTGTCTCTCTTTTCAGATTATCTCATCGAAGAGCCTGCCCAACTGGATGAACTCATATTTGGGATTGGAGAAACCATAGAGTTGTCCTGCAGTGCAGAAGGTTCCTCCATGGCTACCTCGTGGTTTAAAGATGGTATTGCCATCTTTGCAAACAACAGAACACGTACACAACAGAACATGCTGAAGATAATCAATGTATCCTATGATGATTCTGGGATCTATAGCTGCCGAGTGTGGCCTTACAGTGAAATTCTCCGCAATTTTACCATAAGAGTATCAGGTAAATGCTAATATTTATCAGGAAGACCAGAGCTAATCATTTTAGATACAAATTACTGATCGGTTTAGGCTATTAAACCTTATATCACTCATCCTCGGCATTAATTTGGGGAGATGTTAACATTGTGTGTAGTAGTCAAGTTGAGTTGATACTATGTCTTCTGGTAAAAACATTGTTATTAATACAACATCTAAACAACATGCATTCAGAAACATCAGGAACCCAGCATTTAAAGAGACACTATAGTCACCCAGACCACTTCAGCTCAATGAAGTGGTCTGGGTGCCAGGTCCCCCAGGTTTTAACCCTTCAGATGTTCACATTCCGGGGTTAATCCAGCCTCTAGTGGCTGTCTTCGTGGAAAACGCATTCAGTGTGCAGAACGTCCATAGGAGAGGAGAGGTCACCAGCGTTGAGGGAGCCCAGCGCTGGATTAAGGTAAGTAACTGAAGGGGTTTTAACCCCTTCAGCGCCAAGGGAGGGGGGCCCTGAGGGTGGGGGGGGACCTAAGGATTGTGTAGTGTCAGGAAAAGATTTTGATCCTTTAAACATCCACATAATCATTAAGGCTTACCTGGTAGGCTATATGTTCTTCATAAATCAATTTGCAATATGTTCTCATAGAAATTATAAGGCCTACTCATCTTATTCACTTAGACAAAAACAATTAGAGATGCACGGGAGACACGGGTCAAAGTAAATTGTCGGCTACTTCCTTTACATTGCACAAACTGTTACCATCAGAATTGTCAAGTCAACTAGGTGTCGTTTGCTGATTCTTCATTTGTATTGTGAATTAGTGAGTTTGCACATACATGTATGTTGTCAGGCACACCAATACTCCAGTTGAAAGTAATCAGAGACCAAAGATTTGTTGCAAAAAAAGTAAATTAAGAGGTACTTTTATTTATTTTTATTTATTTTTTTTGTTGCATACATTTAAAAAAAATTCAAACTATATCATTCAACAATGCAAAGCAATATTTACGTTTAAAATGTACATTTCATAGTACAGAAAATGTAACATAAAAGAAGATAGTTTTATCTATACTTCTTTATACACATTATTTTTTTATTTATTATTATTATTCTTTATTTTTCTTGTGCATAGTTTAACAAGAGCGTGTAGAGCCACGACAGCTTCTACAAGCATTTCCATAACATTACAAAGCATGGCTGCTTAGACGGCACATTTTTTATATTACATGAAAATATCATACGATTAGACATCATGTTTGTAGTATAACTTGCTAGGCTAGACATGCATAGAACAGAACTAGTTGCTCTTTAGGTTATGTGTGTGTATCTTGGTTGTAGTGTGACATATAGGCATTAGGAGCACAGTGATTGAATTAACTAGATGTGCAGTTAGCAGAGGTAACAGTGCTTTCTTTAATGCAGGCTAGTTGTCTGAATGTATGCCTACATAGCGCATTAAAAATATTAAAAAGAAAACTTATTGTTAGTGATGTACTTTGCAGTAACAGTTTAGAGTCAACGAGTTAAGTAGTAAGAAGCAACGTCAGGGAGGTCGGAGACAAGTGCTTAGTAGTGGTAAGCGGTTTTGGTCCGCAGCGGGCAGACAGGCATAAGTAGGGGACACAGCCTAAATATATGTGATATATTATGGTATCCTAACCCTCAGTGCGTGTGTGTAGAGGCTGGGTAATGTTAGGTGAGGGGCGGTGAGTATGCGCTGGAACCCCTTTTGGTAACATGAGTAAATTAAACACATAGCTGCTTCCCTTGAGGATCACTTGGGAAAAAATCATACAGACAAAAAAAACCCAACGATATATATCGGAATATAAGAGGCAGGATAGCGTCTCTTGTGTGCAGCTGGTATGCCGTTTCCCATATCTCCCCAAAAGGTTAGGGTATGGCCATTAAGTTCCTCAGGCCCCGCTTAACTTATGCCGTCCCGGATGTAAGCATAGTCCCGTGCCCAGGGGGGATGCTGCCGACTTTCCCAGCTAGTAAGGGCTTGGTAGGGTGGGCCTCTCTGTCCCCATGGGTTTCCCCTTAATACCTCAATGAGAGTCTGTGTCCCGGTGTTGTCCCGCCATCGCTGTTGCTGTCTGGCAGGCATGGGCTGGACCAGAGTGGTGCTTGGTTCGTGGCTCGCTCGTGGGGCGCCCCCTCAGGTGCCGTCTGCTCGGTCGCAATATCCCTTTACTGTGTGGCCGATTACAGGGGGATCTTGCTGCAGCAACTCGCACCTTCAGGGTGATGGGTGAGTGGGCTAGTGCGCCTCTGCATAGGTACTTTCGGGTTCCAAGAGGCTGCCTTCTTGCTCCTGTTGCCACCAGACATATCTTTGGTCCCCTGCCTCGTGGTGATTTCCCGCCAGCTCCATTTTTCCATGCAGCCCAGTGGTAGGAGTTTCTGTGTGGTCTTTTGTTTGGGTATGCTTGTGGGAGTGCGCGGCAGGGTGTCAGGCCCTTTCTCCGGGGTTGTTGGGGACAGAAGAGCTTCCAGCTTTTCCCAGAAGGCTTGAAAGGCTTTGTCCAGCCGGTTCTCTGCCAAAGTCTGCTCGCCTCGAGTGCTGGTTGAGTACACTGTCTCCGCCATTTTGTGTGTGCTACTACTGCTTGGTTCAGGTCCCGTGATTGCTGTAGCGCTTTCGCCAGGTTGTGCCCGGGTCTCCCGAGGCCGGACCGGGATGACCCCCACCAGTCCAGAGGGGGGGAGAACATGGGCCTTGTTTCGGTCTGTCCGCCATGGATGTCAGCAGGGGAGCGGCCGTCTCCCTTGCGCCGATCATGTGAGTAGGCCATGCAGGAGGAGCGGGTGAGTTGCGCTGCACAGGCTGCTTGTGTGGCACCATCCTGTGCCTCTCTGTGTCACCTTCCGCCTGGTGGCCTTTTTGAGCCGATTGGGTCGCTTTTTTTATGGGTGAAAACCGATTAAATCACGGTGTGAAGCAGGAGCTGCACAGGTTAGTGTCTTCTCACTTCAGCGGTTAGGCCCCGCCCCCCTTTATACACATTTTTAAAACACAGATTATTATTTTATTATTTATATAGTGCCAGCAAATTCAGTAGCGCTGTACAATGGGATACACAGATACTCATTTGCACAGTTTTTTTCATCCTTAATTCATAAAATTTAATTAGCATCTCATTAGTCAAACTTGATACTAATTATTAAAAACAAAAAATTCATGAGGGGCATGTAAATGCCATTTTTACTGTTTATGTATGAACCATATGTATCTCAATTGATGGACAACATTTTTCCCATAAGTGATGGCTAGTAGCGGGATTTGTGATGTGCCTATGGAATCTCCATGGGAGTCACTGTCTGTGTTCAGGATTAAAAAGAAATGGAACAAAAGGTTTTAGTGGAAAGTCGTTTTTTTGTTGTTTTTTTCTGTCCTCTGACTCCCTGTCATACATCTGCTTTTAATCACACTTTATTTCAGAATCCAGCAGACATTTTGAGGTCACATCAATTAAATTGTAAAAAAGCATTTGGATTTTAAGAAGCTGCCCCTCCCCTTTTCTCTCTCCCTGTAAAATAGTAACAGGAGAAGAGTCCAGAGGACTTCTGAGTTCTTAAAAACGTGTTTGTGTCTATAAAATTGCATTAGAATGCTTTCAGAATCCAAGGGGCAACTTAAAGGCAGGAGTTAGGCAGCCAGTGGTAAATGGAATGGAAACCAGCTGTGGGTCCAGGAAGGTTAAGGAGAGAAAATGTTTTGATAGCGTGAACAATAATAATCTAAATGATTTAAAGTATCAAATCTCCAGGTATTTGTTTTATTTTCTCTCTTCTACTTTATAACTATGGAGGATGAAAGGCATGGGCAATAGACGTTTGTGGGGTTTTTTTTTTTTGTTTTTTTTACATGTCCTTCTATTACACTTTAAATTGCTAAAATTCCAGTAGGATTTTAATAAAAAATAAACATGGGTGTGTTCTCTTACAAATACATACTGCTCCTTTAAATATAGATACTTCTAATAGATTCATAGTGCAGGCTAGCAAAGTACTATCATGAATATAATTACATGCCAAAAACTGGACATGCTTTAAAATGGACTTACTATCCAAAAACATGTTTTAATCCTCTTCCAGTGAAATTAATTTATCATCTTATCACCTCAGAGGAACCGCTGTGTTTAATTTCACACCGGCAGTATATGAATTCTGCATACTGACACTGGGTTACAAGGTTGCCATTTGTTGTCCAGATGTCTGTGAATTCTGCAAACTATCAGACAGGACTTGAAGTACAGGCTTCAAGTGTGAAATTAATTAATTGATTTAGGATTTTGCAATCGATTTATGACTTATCAATGATTATTTATTGATTTCACAACGGAAGCACATGAATTCCACATACTTTCAAGCCCTGTTCGACATAATACAGAATTTGTAAATGTTCCTCTTACCAGCAGCTAGAATTTATATGCTTCCTGTAGAATCGTAGCAGACAGGCAACATTGTACTTCAGCCTTTATCATTCTAACATATATTTCTAGAATGATTAAAAAAAAAAAAAGTTTTAAAAAATATAAAAATAAAATGGCATCATTACATTTTCTTGCAAAGTTCCAACATGTGTCATTTGGATATATTCTTTTTTTCTTCTCTTCTCTTAACCTTATTTTTCAGTACGTTTTCTTCTAAATTAATTCTGTGAATAAGTAGAAATTGGTGTTATAACTTTTTTATTATTATTATTATTATTATTATTATTATTATTATTATTGAGCATTAAACAAACTGCCTGAGAGACATTATTTTTTTTTTTCCTGAATGGTTTTCAGGGAATTGCACCCGAATAGTGAAAATGAAATCTTTATATTATAACAATAGCTAACTTCAAAGAAAGACGTGCACTATTACCGCAGCTACTGTCATCACCCTTGACACCTCTTATACTGGATCTATGCATTATGTAGAAGGAATAAGAAATATATTTTTAAGTGGAAATGTTATGTTGAATCCCCTTAAGGCGAGTCAGCTTGATGGAATTCCATTGAACCATTATACAGATTGTATGGCATGAGAGGTCTGCACAGAAATCAAAATGTTAATGTGAGTACAGTGTGCTGGCTGGAGATTCTGTGTAGCAATGTGTGCAATACTCTTTGATATGTAAAGTAGAATTTAACAATTTCAGCGCCAGAATGAACCTGATTAACTTTGAATAGAAGATGATCATTTCTTTTATAGCTCAAATTGTCATGTTCCACATCCAGCTGGCTCATCTCAATTTTCAACCTTCCACGTTCAAAAAAAAATTGTACCATTAAGTTGGATAATAATAAGATATAGTCAGGACACACTTGAAAACTATCAAATGCTAAATGTATTCTTCCTGGCTTTATACATTGATATTGTTATATCGTATATTACCAAGTTGTACATTTGCTGGGTTTGGCCCCTGTCCTGACACCCAGAGGTAGCCACCCAGCTGTTGTAGAATTCTTAATTTTTCTGTATCCTGTATGCTGACAATAAATCAGATTGCTAGACTTTATTCTGTAGCAAGCCAGGTACCTGTTGCTATGGTTACTAAAAACATTTTTACTTCCTTTTCTGATAAACAAATAAGCTGTCATTATATCCTTTCATTTTATTTTATCTTGAGTGATAAGAAAATATCATGTAATCAAGTTAGATGTCCCATAATTAAAATGGTTTGCAAAACAACAGCTTAGTGATTTGATTTGAGTTATATAGTGTATTTATTAAGTTTGATAAACAAACCTGTCTGCTTGCCCTCTATGTCTGAGTGCATATTCTGAGGGAGAATCTCCTGAAAACATCCAAAAAATACATTTTAACGAGTAAAATAGTAAAACGTAGTATGGTTAAATATATAAGAACTCCTGTCATCTTAAAGTAAGTCCTTTAAAAATGGCTACAGTCTGTCAATAGTTCTCATTTGAGATTACCATCCAAAATACAAAGAATCTCTAGAACTCGACAACATTATTTAATCCATCATTCTTTCCCCACAAAGACACCATCAGCATTTTAAATAAAAATCATTGAATTTATGCGGGGATGGGCCAGATTAACAGGCCGTTTAGAGCTGGTCGTGAATTCCTCACAGACTTTACATGTGACCTGGGGTTCATGTTTTTAAACCAAGTCTGCAATGTTTATATGAAAAATCTTTGGATGCGCTGATTATTACAGTAGCTTCAGAGTTGGGACAAAGTAGCTCTCTGGCTATTTGTGAGACATGGTTGCTGGGCCACATTGGCTGATCACAGTGGACTCACTGGCAAACAGAACAGTCAACAGCCAGGCTGGAAGTGTGGCTCTCTAAGTTATGACATACTTGCTTTTTTTTTAATGGGAGCAGCCAATTGTTTTATAGTAAATGCAAAATTAATTTTTTTTCAGCGCAGTTTATCATCAGTTGTCATTTTGCAGTTCTATTAAGCAGGCAAAGTGCCATGCTCATATTTAGCCAGTGAAAACTTATTTTTAATGTGAATATTTTTCTTCCCATGTAAATTTGCAAAGAATAACCACATTCCTTAAGTTTAGCAACAACAATCCAATTTAATTAACAACTATAGAGCTTCTACAGTATTTAGTATTATTAGAATGGTTAATTCTAACAGGAATGTCAGCCATTTTTAAATCGCATGATTGTGGCATTAGTCAGACCTGTCAGGTACCTGATTAGTGACATTTTGTGTAGTTTTGAAGGGTTTCCCTGCTCTGCTTTTTGTTCTCTGTTAACTTTGCACTTGATGTTTTTTAAAAAAATATGTATATTTAGATTACACATATACAAGTGTTGAGTTTAGAAGTAGCAATAAAACCTCCTTTTTCTTCTTCTTCTTATAGACCTTCCATCATCAGGCGACGATGAAGATGATGATGAGGAATCCGAGGACAGAGGTAATTTGATTCCTTTGTATTTCCATGTATTTTATGCAGGATGTATTGTTGTAGATATGCTCAAATAATATGTATTTCCTTTGACGATATTGAGATTATTGTGTGTTTCTTGCCATTATTTATAATTTAAAAAATATAAGGCCAGAGTAACCAAATTAAAAGCATAGCTGACTTAGCGAATGTTTCCTGTTCAGCCATTTTGAAATTCACTTGAAGTTGTATACAACCCAAATATGTGATTTGCCATCAGCAAACACCCATTATTTCTTTTTCTTCATCAAATTTAGATATTTTATAGAAAAGTCGGAGCTTTATATATAGCTCACACTGATTAAAAGTTAAAACTAAGGTACCTGATATGAAACAACTGAACTTGTGTACTGGAGGATGTATCCATGATTGGTTCCATTTTGATTTTGGAACATATTCAATGAAGTCCACTTTGGTTCTGTTGAGGCCAGTCTGTTCTTCTTAAAGTAACTTTCAGTAGGATGGCCTTTATTCCCATAAGTCGTTGCTTTATCAACTGTAACCACACTGCAGGTAATGAATAGTTCTAGCTCATGTGCTGAGTGTTCTGTATCCATTAGTTGAAGGTTCTGTGACTATGGAACCTTGGTCCCCCTTTGCCTTAAGGAGTAGGAAAGAAGATGAACACAGTTAGATATCATTGTCGCATACACATCAGATTTCTAAAATTATGTTTCTCAACATTTGTTTCACAGTAAAATTTTTATAAACGTACCTATCAAAAGAGTACTCTAAGTCATATAGAGAGCGCATACTTTTGACATCATCCCTAGCATAAACTACTTCATCCCAACCTAATCCTCAATGTTACTCACTAATGCTATAGACCAGGCAATAGTTGGCACTCCACAACACTTGGTGTTAGAAAGATTGTCTACCCCTGCTATAGACCATAGCTCCAGAACAACCTTCTATCTGTGTCTGGTTATCCAACAAAACTTTGGGATTGGCTCAAGCAAGATTTAAGTGTTTCAGTTTGTGCTGTTTTGTTTCCAAGGTAATGCCTATTCTGTTTTTAGATCTTGCTGACTGTGAATACCACTTGTCCCCTTGTATGACTGTGGGGGCTTATTTTTCCATGATTGTGATGACATTCTGTGCCAGTAGACTGCTTCTGCTCTATAATTCATCCAGTCTTTGCCAACCATAGCAGCTTGCATCTGGCTCCTTTAAATACTTTGTTTAATGTGTTCAGTGTGGAATTCTTGCTCATCACTAAATTAGCCACATTCTCAAATGTTTCATCTTATTCTAACCACTTTACTTGGCTCATACTGCATCATTGATGCCTATTTAGCAATAACGTAGTTTAATACTGTAAGAATAGATTATTTTGTATTTCTTTTACTGAAACTGAGTTAAGACAAAGGACTTCATGATTTAAATGTTGGAGGTGTGGGGATTCTCCATTTGCTCTTTAATTGTACATTTTTACCAGCTCTAAGGCAAGGATTTTGAGGAGTAAAATCAAACATTAATGGCTACCTTTGGCACAAATGCATTATGGGAAATCCCCAGTTCCAAGATCTATTCATTTCAGCCTTAGGAGGCTTCATTTGCGTTCACAAGATACAGTTCCAGGTCCAGGTTGGACAGAATTGATATTGGTAATGTGGAAGTGTAAATTTGCCTTTATCATTCTGGATTGAGAGGGGCCAGTCTACAGGTGCTACATTTGTTAGGACTCTTTAAAGCTGTTTGACAAAATTATAGGATGACATACATAACCTCTTTGCACCAAAATGTCTGAGCAGAGTTATAACGTATGATGTTTAGACTGACCTTTACTAACCATAAGTTTTGTTGTGGCTACTAGTTACACTGATACAGTGTGGAATGACCAAGGACCATTGCATTTAGCCACGTACAGTGTGTGTAAGGACAGCAGTGGAATGTCTTGTGTTACTGAATTTTGTTGTTGTTCCCTATCTCAAACAATGTATGAGAGTGGTTTGTGAGAATGAACTAGAATTTTGTTTATGATGTGCCCTCTGTCATTTATCTCTACAAATGTTATACAGTTTGTTCTCTTAGAAACAAACTCTATCTTTCCTACAGATGTTTAAACCGGTTACATGGTTTCTGATACACACAGGAGAGTTAGTTCGGGTGTAGCAGGTTTCCTTGGCCAACACAACCTGTTTCAACTCGTAGCAATAGCAGTTTATTCCAAACAAAACACACTACTAATACAGTAACACAGGAAGATAACTTAGTATCACAACTTTTTTAATTCTTTATTTATTTCCAGTTTGTTTTTTTGTTGGGTAGGGGTACATAAAAGAAGTGGGGTCAGGTGAGGGATTTAAAACATTAATATTGCGAGTCAGAATTGTTCACAGTAAGTTTGCACGGTAACAGTGAAGAGAAAATTTTAATCCCTTGAGTTGCGTTAACAGGAGCTTGACGTGTGATTCTGTGGGATAGTGGTGTGTATAAAAGAAAACATATAGAATTGACTACATTATAATCTGGAGCATCAGTTGGGTGTTTCTTCTTGCCTGTTGAGATTGAGGCTTTCGTGTGTCTCATGGGTGTGATTGCGTCCGTCGTCTTATCTTTGTATGCTTTTCTTGTGGTCTGTCCTGTTTTATGTTGTTTAAGTTACGTGTGTCTTGGTTTGAAAGGTGAGGTGGTGGTGTATGAGAGTAGTTGGTAGGCGCTGTTCGTCCTGTGGACGGGGTAGGGGGTATCTTTAGAGGTCTGTCGGAAGTGTTAGGGGTTCATCCGTGGGCATGGGGGTGGGGTAGGGGTGAGGAGAGGAGGAGGGAGGTGAAGTGGGGAAAAGGTGTGTGGTAGGCAGTGAGGGGAAGTGGGGAGGTTGGGTGGGTAGAGGGGAAGTGGAAGGAGGACCTGAAGAAGTGGGGGTTGTTTTGGCTGGTGGTCGTTGTTTGTGGGCCTAAGGGGGTTAGGGTAGTATCACAACTTTAACCCTAACATTGCAAAATATTGTACCTCCTGCCAAAGACGAGTTACCTGTCCTTTTGCACTGGAGTAGCTAATACCAGCTCCGTTGTTTGTTTTATTTTCCGCCTGGCTGGCTGAGATCCTTACTCTTAACCTACTTTGTTATCCTTATAAGAAAGTCCAAGATGCTCGTTCCCTGGGAATACAGTTTTTTTTTTGTTTCTGCATGTCTCTTGAGATAAAATGCGGGTATTAATTGGGGGTGGTATGGTGCCAAAGCACACCACTGATGATGGCATGTGGTTTTTTGAAAACCAATAATTTGCTGAGAACCTCCTGAGTTCACATAAGTTAATATTTTTCCCTAAGGTCAGGCCAGCCAGAAGGAATCCAGTGGGCTGTACAGTACACTAGAAGCTGTTGTCACAGGAGGTTAACATGTTCTGAAAGAGATTTACCTTAATTAACCCTTCTGAATGTTCTTGTATTATTAGGTTTTCGAAATCTGTGTTTTTTTTTATACTGCATTTTTCTTATTTGTAATTTTTGTAGGACAATTTTAATGATCCTTTAAAAAAAAAAGTGTAAATTTTATGTAGACTCACTTGTGTAAACATATTCTCATACATTCATATATACATGGATATGCATATACAAACAGCCAATGGCCAGTTAATTAGACATCTTTTCACGTAAACTCAAGTTACTGTCATATTCAGATTCAAGTTACTGTCATGATCTTGGAAGCCACTTGAGATGATTGTTCATTAGAACATCGATACTAGAAGTGTCTATTGGAAAATGGCAAGAATGTGACCATAAATTGGTGCTTAGATTTAGTATCAAGGGGTTCCATAACACACCAAGAAATCATTTCCTATGCCATTACAAGACCCCAAGAAATCAGCATGCTCTTTGAAATCTAATCTATATATTTAATTAGGAATCCGTTGTCTTGTTTTAGTCAGTGCTTGTTTCCCCAGCCTCTGTCTTCCTTTTGCTTTCTGACAGCAGAGGTCCACTGTACTATCTTCTGCTGTTGGAACCCACTAGGTTCTAGGTTTAATGGATTGTTCTATCAGTTACCCTCCTGTACACTACTGTAAATAATGCTTCTTCGTTCTCGGTGTCTGGTGTCAGCTTGAATTGTTAAGCCTATTCTCCTCTTATCCCTGTAATTAATAAGGTGTTTCCACTCACAGACCTGCTTCGCATCTATAATTACACATTTTTATATATATATATATATATATATATATATATATATATATATATATATATATATATATATATATATATATATATATATTTATATATATATATATATATTGTGCCTTAGTATACAAGTTCCAGGCACCATCAATGCTACAATGGTCAAAGTTAGTTAGATTATGCATTTTTTTCCCATAATCAAATCAACCGTACATTTAAACACCTGCTAAAGCTATTGACCAAGATATGCTTTGAATATTGAGATGGAGTTATCAGATCTGCCGTTATCGCTCTATCAATCACTGTCTGCTGCTCTTTTGGCTTTTCTTGTACAAAATCAGGTACATATACAATATATAGTTGTATAAAAAGATATCTATCCAAGATAAAAAAAATATATATACAATTGGGAACAAAGTTAGATAAATAAAAAATAAAATGATGTAACAATAATGGATCTGCATCTACTCGTCCTGAGTTTGATTTTCGATGTTTTGGAGACAAAAAAAACAAAAGTAAGTGATGGAGGACAAGAGAAACAAAGAAGGAGGAGGGAGAGGAATGAAGAATATTGTGTGGGTGAGAGAATGCTAGTAGGTTGTAAAAGGTATTTGCATACTCAGGGGTTTCTTTAGGATTTTAAGTGCAGAAGTACCTACAGAAATACACACATCATTTTATTTTTTTATCTGTTTTTTTTTATCGTGAAGCCATTCAGGGCTTGCTGAGATCTATTGGTGTTTTAATGAGATGCGCAGGTAGAAACCCAAAAATATCATAAATCATCTCAGCATGTGTCCTGACTTGTTGATGTCACTGTGCATGAAATATATCTTCAGTGTTCTAGCTCTCAGAAATGTTTTTTTTCCACATTATTTATGAAAAACATCAATTGTCATTTGCTTTTTAACTCCAAGGGTGCAGATTATGTGGTCTATCAGTGACCATCCATGTTCTAAGTACTTAAGGAGTTAATCGCCCTATTGCTAAATGATGGCTGGAGCCTTTGCAGTGTAGAATTTACCTGTATAGCTCATACCATGTTTAGAAGTGCTGTTTTCAAGCAACTGATCACAGAATTTAGAATTTGGGTTTTGTGCAAGTGACTGATCAGTGATGCTAAAGAATAGGTGTTCTATAATTTTAATGAAATGATGACAAATTTGAGTACTATAAAGTCACCTAAAAGGTGCGAGCGAAAATTAAACTAATTGTTTTGAATATAGTGCAAACTACTTTGTGAAAACGAAATAAATAGAATTTATTTGTAAAATCATTATCATACCACTGCAAGACAATTTGCAGAACTAACACCAGGGAACTTTAAAATATTGTACATGCGAAAAATTACCTAAATTCATTTACAGTGTTACTTTAATTGAATTAATTCAGTATATTAGTTGTCAAACTGGGGTCACTCCCTGGTACCTTAAAAGGTGTTTGTCCGGATCATACACGAGGGACAGCGTTCAAATCTTTTGTAGGGAGAAATTTTACCACAATGCAGGAAGGGAGAGAAACCATTTCTTAAATAAAGTAACACACTTTATGAATCTGAGAAGTTATCATGTCTGTTTGACATGGAATTATTGCTTACTGCAAACTGTTCTGAGCTGGAAGAGATCAGTATGTGCCTTCCAAACATGGCTTTTAGCTGCTTTAGAAAGTTGAGAACCTTTCAAATAGAGAACTTCTTCGAATAGTAAGTTTTGGAACTGCATCAATGTACGGGAGCTTGTCAACACTTTAAACAGAGTTTATTGTATATGACGGGAAAGGGGCTGTCTGCTTGTACAGTAAAGTGCCTTGCCAAGTTTGGATTCGGCCGTATGCACTGAACATTTTGTTAAAGTAGAGACACGGTGTAATGGAAGATAGCCTAACATGCAAGGGGAAGCTTAAACTAACTGTGTCTTATCACACGATCATATTGGTGATTTATTTAAAATTTAGGGGGTGTTGTAATGTAGCAGGAACAATAAAAACAACTCTGCTCCTCTGTATTTTATATATGATTTATAATGAAATACATTTACCCAGTCTTTCATTGGGATGATTGGATTACATTATATAAAAGGTGTGAGTGGATATGTTTATTTCACAATTTCAGCACTGGTATGCAATGTGTGCTGTACATGCAAAAGCATTTTTTCACAAAAAAAAAGAGAGAAAGGGAAAAAAAGTATTTTTGAACTTTCCTCATAGAGATGCATTGAGTCAATGATTCTCTATGAGGAGATGCTGATTGTCCAGGTCAGCATTTGGCTCCGCCCCCGACCCACATCCTTGGCTGAGATCATCAGAATTGACTATCTCAGACTATCTCAGCCAATCCAATTCTTTCCTATGGGAAAGCATTGTGATTGGCTGAGATTATCAATTCTGATGATGTCAGGCAAGGAGGCGGATGAGGAGCAGAGCCTGTGCCAGCAAACCCGCACAGCGCTAGAAATTTTGGGAGTTTTTACTAGCTTTAAGGGTGGCAAGGGGAGGAGCGAGGGGGGGGGTAAATAGTTAGTTTAACACTATAGGCTCTGGGATGCGTGTTTGTATAGTATTCCAAAATATCTAGTGTACCTTTTAACAGTGTAATTTAAAAACCACTGTGGTTTTTAAAATATATATTTTTCTTAAGAAAAAAATCATCACCAATATCTGTGTTGCACTAAGTCATATGATATGTTTGTTTCTGTTTACAGATGTGAATTTTATATTGAGGCTATTTAAAGTCTTGCACAGCGTTATGCAGAATGAACAGGATAAGTGACAGATCACAGTTTCTGTGTGCTTTAGTAACTGAGCTGTGTAATTTTAAAGTCCAGCCGGTGTATAATTTGCAGGACAATACATGCTTTATTGTAGATATGATACCCCAAGCTTAGAGGATTTGTAGTATTCCATGTCAGATTCCTGTAAACTAGTGACTCCAATGATTGATGGCATATATTTACTGCCACAGACATAAAACGGTCATCTTTCCAAGCAGAAATGCACATCATCTAATAATGTTTAGCTTTGTTAACCCTGTGCAGGATATATGACTAAATTGTCTACTTGTCTGTACTTTTATCCTTTTCAGGATGGTTGAGCATTTACAAACATCTGAAATGCCAAGGTTCTACGTCTGTCTCAGTTAATTGCCAGATTAGTTTTTCTGATTAGTAACTAACAAGGATACCCTTATATTTAAAGGGGCTACTGTACATGCCGTCAATAGTTTCAATCATTTTTCATTGCTGTATTGTAAAGTCCTGATGGCGCTGTAACTTTTTGGGTCCTGCCACAGACCCAGACAGTCATGGCTTTAAAGAGCATAAATGTTGTAGAGGTGTAAATGTTGTATTCACTTTGTAGGCATAATATCTTGATACATACTCTGTGCTAAATTCTGCTCTGTTAGTGGTGCTTTTCGTTGCCTCAATATCACACTCAGGACAGTTTTAGAGGCTTTATTGCCATCAGAATGTTCTTGCCATTTATTTGTACTAAAAGGTTTAATTACTAAATCATAGAGTTATAGGGGAGTTAAATGCAACCCATATACACTATTCTTGGCAAACAGGAAGCTTGGAAGCTATGATGGTGAACCAGATTGGTCTATCATACAAAATGAGAGAGATGGCCAACATTGAGAATGAAAGGTTTCCCCAGACTGGTCAATATAATATTTGAGTGGTTCTTACAGCTGATGAGTAATGAAGAGTAGATTCTTGATGACGGTACTGATGATATGGCCTGTGTTATCAAAGTGAGAAAAAATGAATTCAACTCTCTAATGAAGTAGATTATAACGTTAAAGTATCATACCAAGTTCAGTTCAAGACCAAGTGATTTGCAAGATAACAAAAGAGCATTCTATACACAAATGGAATACAATTTGCTCAAAGTGGAAATAAAATGTGCTTTATACACGTTACGTCAGCTGTGAGTATACACCACAACTATCAATGACCTTCTTCAACTTATGACTGAAGAAGCAAGATGTCCTCTTGTGATCTTTTCTTCCTATATTGTTCCTGATACATTTTTCCCTGTTGGGATCCAGCCTACCTTCACCACTTATTTTTCCTGGACCTCTCTGTCTTCATTGATCTTCTGGCTTGCTTGTTATTATCCTGCTCTTCTGTATTCCTGGTCTTGGTGTTATAGAAAATCTGGTACCTTGGGTCCTAGAGGCATTAGACTTAGGGGAAAATAAAAAAAAACTCTGATGTGATACCAAAAGGAACATCAAAACCGTCTTCTGCATTTGTGGTTCTGATCTCTTCTCGTCAGTGAGAAGAAATTGGACCCCAAAAATGTAATGTGTGTAAATGTATTGAGTTGCAGTTACATGATATGCAACGGATAAAGCTAATTTTGCAGCAAAGTGTCTTAGAGCTTATTAGCGTATTTTTTTATAATCTCCTGTTTCTCTTTAGTGATTACATTAACCTCTGGGCAAAGCCACAGCCTTTCCAGCTATGTTTATATATCTTAAGAGAAATTAGCGAACAATAAATAAATAAATCTTCTGCTTATGCAGTAAGATCCAAGTAAAAGTGAATTTTATGCACCCTCCCTGCCAACGTGTAAGGATTGGCTGAAGGTAAACAAAGCAATAACATATTTTGTAATAGTGTCTCTACGTTCTGACAAGGAATATTTATATTAATGTGTGCTTCTGTACTGGTCTACTTTAGAATGTTAACGAATTAGCTTTAATTTAGCTGAAAAATATATTTCTGTTAATTCCCACATTACAAATGAAGTGGTTTATAACATTATATTTGTTTAAACATCTTTCCAATCTTATTATTAACTTCTTAAGGACACAGGACATGTGTGACATGTCATGATTCCCTTTTATTCCAGAAGTTTGGTCCTTAAGGAGTTAAAGGGGCACTCCAATAACCATAACAATTACATTTGTTTCCTCTTGTCAGTATTAGTTTTGTACAGCGGCTGATCGGGTTGGGGGGCACCAGGGCAATTGCCCCCTCTCTACTCTGAGATAGCATTAATGAGTAGCAAGAAAATATGTATAAAAATATTTCCCATTTTCTTCCCCCTACATCACTTTAGTATCGTGGCCGAGCGGCATTGAAATGACAGTACTGAGAGTGATCGCAGGAAGCTTCAGTAGAATTACGGCCACATTTGGATTCTGGATCGCCCCTGGTTTTGTGCAACTTATCAGACCATTCATTGGCTGAGCGCATCAATTAACACTCTCAGCCAGTGAATAACCTGAAAAAAATGTACAGAATTGACATAACTAATGAGAAATGCGAATTTCTCCTTTAGTCACTTTGTACAGACTAGAAGCTATGTGAATGCCAGGGTGATCCAGGCATATGTTAAATCATTAACAAACATTTTGATTCCTTATCTGGTGGCAACCCCAGGGGAGTCCTGGCTTCATCCTCTAGCATGTAAGCTCATTGAGCAGGGCCCTCAACCCCTCTGTTCCTGTGCGTCCATTTGTCTGGTTACCATTACGTGTCTGTTAGTCCGCCCATTGTACAGCGCTACAGAATTTGCTGGCACTATATAAATAATAAAATAATAATAACCACTGACTGTAGTGGTTATGGTGGTTAAAGGGCTCCTTTAAGTGAATGTAATTGGTTGACCACTGATCAGGATTCTTTTTTACCAAAACAAACTTTGAACACTGGGCTGGAGAAGGACGCAGCTAAACATTGATCAGAAAAGGGCAGATGTATGATTTAATGTGCTTTATGCCCCACAGCTGTTTATAGAAGTGCTGGTAGCAGTATAGTAATCTCCATTTACACCAGCTGAATATTCCTGCTGATTTCATTGATATCCATGGTGGTTACCCTATGATTAGAACTATACCAAAGTTTTCTCCTAGTAACACTTATATACGTTTCCCACACTGGTCCCACTCTTTCACCTCTTTCTATTGGTTTCTGCTCCTAGCTGTCTGAGGCAGAGCCTCGACGTTCAGAGCTATGGAAATCTCTGAAAAAGTATTGTAGGGTGTGATAAGAAGAGCTCAAGAACCTTGACTCAGGAGAGGAACACAGGGACATTTTGGAGACCATTTAAATTGACGTTCTTGACAGCTGCTGTTGTATACATTAGTTATAATTTTTGCATGAACTAAGACGCATATTTGTTCACGTTAAATGCAAGAAACAACCGATGCCATCTCTTGCCTCATTCTTACAAATAAAGGAGAACATAGATTGACGGGCATATCCCAATTAGTTCCTGGTTGACTAAACTGATACAATAAATGGATCTGATCTCTCTGAAAATCATTACAATCATTTTCTTGTATGATATTTAAAATAATGGAATCTTGTGTCTAATTATAAGGGCTCTGATACATGGGGATAGCATTATTCTAGAGTAAAGCTGTAGCCATTTACTAACATTTTTAGGAGTGATTTGTGTCAAATAAAGTTGCATATTGGGTTTAGTAAACACTTCGACATATCCAGGAATAATATGATCAGTCTCCAGCCTCATCTTGTGCTTTAGTGGAGTATGCAAGTCAAATTTCACATGAAATCAAACAATGATTTTTAACAATGTATCTTTTTACAAAATGTTCTCCATACCCTATGACCATCTGCTTTTGAGTTTTTTTGGCAAGTACCGATTGCCAGATGGTTCTTGTGTATTCCAAGCTTTTATGAGTGAAGACAGTAATGCAAACAAAGATGTATTTTTATATTAAACACACGTATTAAATGATAAGTGATTGTATAAATTTATTACATCGGTAGGGAGGCACAGGGTGTAAGCATTACTTGCCCTGCTCACCTGGGTGTGGGTTAGATAACAAACCCAGCTTTTCTTGTATCACTCACCTGCAGCAGACCTTATGCCAATGATGGATGACTTTTGGCACAGCACCCAGTAACACGGCAGTGGTGGTATACCTTTGGCAGAGCAGCTGTCGTGAGTAATGTTTTTCCCAATGCGTCTTGTCTCTGCTATCCAGATGACTGGCCAAGCCTAATGGCAGCAGATAGTCCAATGCAGGATCCATGCCAAAGAGTAGCTGTCACTGCCTTATGTTATTGGGAGTGAAGAGGCTATTTTTTAAAATAATCATCCTGTGTGTTCAAAGCATTATCGGAAGGATAGGAATACAAAGAAAATCATTACTAACACTCTTCAAGTAGGCAGAGCATCTTGGCTTCGAAAGACAGTGACTTTTTAAATGTAGCCATCGAATTGTAAGAGTTAGCCGTGTGTGCCTGTCAGTGCATGTCTGGAGAGCAGGGGAAAACCTCTGCTTCTTCATACAAACATTAGTTATATAGAGGCATATAGGCCTGCATCTGGCTATACAGGGGCTTTATGATTAACTACAGATAGTAGAGAGTAAGCGTAACACCAACGTCACATGTCGGTTTCACTTAAAGATTGAGTATGCAAGGAGTCCACCTCCTCGGGTATACTGCGCAGAGAATTCTGGGAATTGTAGTTCAACAGCAGCTGGAGAGTAAAGATTAAAACAAAGCAGATCTGCGGGAGATAAATAGATTTAAAAATACACTGTAAACTTGTATCACATCTTGACAAGCGTGTTAGAAGTTGATCTGTCATTTTTTGGGGGAGTTTGGCATAAAATTGAATCTTCAGATTTTGCCTTTGTGCTTTTGCTCTGATTTCTATCGTTTTCTTGTTATTTTTACATATCATCTAATTTCACAAAACCGAACACGTTGAACCTCTGGTTATTTGTTTATTTCCTAGCCTTTTTAGTACGTCTTTGATTGCCATGCAGGAATTGAGTAAAATCCACATTTGCAATGAAGCTTACACAAAAATAAATTCTGGGGAAAAAAGATAAAATAAAGGCGGATAGTTTAATAAAGATGAGGGGATTGCATAGTGCTAAATGTTTTTTTCCTGGAAACAGTTCAAGGAAAAACAAAGATAACAAACCTAATAAAATGGAAAAAAATAAAAAAATCTGCAAAGGAGTTTGAGTGTATATGTAATAAAAGGCTGGCTAGACGTTCGGATACTTACCTCCCTCACAGAGTGGTTTGTAATGCTTGTTTGCAATGCAATGTTTTATCTGTCTTAACTTTTAACGGATACATTATTTAAAAGCAATGAAACTTTGTACAATTCTTTTCAAATCCATCCTTGTTTGACCTAAATCCATCTGTCCATCATTCCAATCCTTGCCCCCCAATTTTATACATGATCAGATACATTTATAAAGTCAGCGTTCTTCATAAACCTGTGAATTGTGTCGAGATACCAGTTTAACTTTTAGGCCATATTAGCCAGTTTAGGGAAAACAAAATCAAAAATATCTTGTATTCAGTAATTTTTCTTTATTTAATTTTTTTAATCCCTTCGTCTATATTATTATTATTTATATAGCGCCAGCAAAGTCTATTTGTTGCAACAAAACCTAACAAGAACAATAGAGAACAAACAAACACCAGAATAAAAGCCCAAGAGGCATCCATTAAAGCTCCTACATAAATGGGTATTAAAGGATCACTATAGTGTCAGAAAAACAAAGTGGTTTTCCTGATACTATAGTGCCCTGAGGGTGCCCCCACCCTCAGGGTCCCCCTCCCGTGGCTCTGAAGGGGTTAAAACCTCTTCAGCAGCTTACCTTAATCCAGAGCCGGGCTCCCTTGGCGCTGGTGACCTCTCCTCCCCCTCCGACGTCAGCTCCCCCGGCCGACGTCACAGGAGCCAAATGCGCACGCGCGGCAAGTGCCGCGCACGCATTCAAGCTGTCAATAGGAAAGCATTTCTCAATGCATTCCTATGGACGCTCTGCGCGATGGAGGCATTATATACTTCCAGCGTCGCAGATGCGCCTCTAGTGGCTGTCCAGAAGACAGTCACTAGAGGCTGGTTTAACCCCAACTGCTATGTTTGCATCTGAAGGGTTGAAACCTGAGGGACCTGGCACCCAGACCACTTCATTGAGCTGAAGTGATCTGAGTGACTATAGTGTCCCTTTAAGTATCTTTCGAACCTAAGAACCAATTGCATAGTAAAGATCTTTGTGTTTTATTTTCCAGGGTGCTCACAAATAAAACCATTTTGCCCAAGGAAGAAAAAATATAAATTTTATTTAAATACTTTGATGTCTGAGCAACAAATTCACAGAAATATTGTGCACACACAAGATAGAACTTTGATAATTTTCCTGAATGTACTGTATTCAGTCTCGTAGTTTAGATACTTCTTTCTTACGTTTTTTTTTTTTTAATATTGTCTGCGGTAATCTACTGCTTCATTCTTTTGGCAAGCATGCAACCATCTTATCTGTTACATCACTCCTCCTTCCACCTAGTCGTCCAAGACGTAAATAAGAACACATGCAAATTAAAGTGTTTTTTAAAGACCACGTTTTATTTAATTTTAAGATTTATCTTGGTGGGATGTTAATTTTTGGCCTGGATCAAATATATTTTGAGCAAATTCCTTTGAGACCAATATAAAGTCCTGGGGTAGTAGCTGTTTGATTATTGAATCTATGCATCGTGTTCTATTGGTTAGATAGGCTGCTGTGTACTGAACCTCGATAAGAGAAAAGTAACCCGGGCCTATATAGCGGAGATAATTGGGATTCTTTATCTAAAAAATAATCTAAATTTGCACAATTATGTTAATTATTCATACATTTAGTATAAGTGGATTTTATCTTGGAATAACCAGCAAAAAAAAGGTTGTGAATTTTTCAAACATAAAAAAAAAAAATTAGAAAATGTTTAAATTGTTCTAAAAATCTATTGCCTTCTTACACTCTAACCCTTTCAGTGAGAGAAAGCAAGTGTCCTTTCTTGTTATGTGTATTTTAACTAAATGCCTCGATTTAATAAACTTTCCATGTGATTCAAAAGTTTCCAAATAATTTATCTACAAAAATAACCATTGACTTTAATAGTGATTTATGTCGATAATAGTATTGAATCATTTGGAGCTTACTAAATCGAGGCTCCTCTCCGTGGCAGGTCACGGAATGTACGACAGGAAGATTTAGAACTGAAGAATTTCTGATTGTTACAATCCGTGCTTGTTGTATGCTGTGATGTGCACTGATTGTCGGCCCTTGGCTTTCGGACAATAAAATGTAATCTTCCAGTGAAACTCTAATATTTATCACTTTACACGTTATCAATCTAAAAATTGAGCTGCCTTATACCAATATTGTTCTTGGGCGTTGACTGTGCCAATGCAGCATTGGTAAATAGACTGTGTGATAAGCTAACTCTCGGGTGATCAGTTGTGCTCTGCTATCTGGGTGCATTGCATACTGTTAGAGAGATTACACTAAAATGTCAATATTTGTAGTATTAGCGAACAGCAAACTACCTCTCCTCTATGACTGGCATCTAAGGATCTCATCAGAGCCTATTATGTATTAACAGTGCACCCAGGGGGAGATAGAAGGCAATGTTTTAGCCCCTGAATGAAGAATGACATTCTGTAATGTTTGTGATTTAAAGGAATATGGATGAATCACCTGTATTCCTAATGCTATGGTGCCGCTGACGTAGCTGTATTCAGGACCTCCCCTCTCTACCCCTCCGATTTCAAGTAAACGTTGAGAAAAATAAAATGTTGTTCCCAAGAGGAGCATTGGGCACCTGGTGTACATGTGTGATGAGTTTAGAACAAGTTTGTGTTCAGTGCTTTCCTTTGATGTTCGTTTGATGGGTTTATCAAAACGTATTGTTCACAACAGAACCCTGTTCTACAAGTGATATTATGGTACACAGAGGTTGGCAGAGCTGCTCCCTGATTGCAAGAAAAAGTTTACCGAAACAAAAACAAACAAGAAAAAAGTATATAGTGGTGAGAAAAAAATTCTGTTAAACCTTTCAATATCTCAATTAACTGAATTAGGAAACAAAAAAATCCTGATCCATGGTTTTAGAATGCACACATTTTATCGCATCACAGGGTTTGATCCCTGCTAATTCTTTACCCCTCTGTGTTTTTTTAGAACCTCCCTATTGGACCCAGCCAGACAAAATGGCAAAAACACTGACTGCCGTTCCTGCTGCTAGCACGATACGTTTCCGTTGCCCTGCTGCTGGTAATCCTACTCCTACCATTTACTGGCTGAAAAACGGGAAGGAATTCAAAGGGGAGCATCGTATTGGAGGCATCAAAGTAGGTTATATTTTTTTTTTAAGATTTGTATGTTTTATTATATTGGTTATGAATGGAAGCATTGTACATTTTAATGAAGTGGTTATGGTGCATGGACATCATGTGCCATAATGAGAAAGCTTCAGTCAGTATTTGTACAGTTTGTAGAGGTGTCTTTTCTATGACACCCTATGTCGGTTTGGAGCAGTTTAAAAGGTTAATGGCATTTTACCAGCCAAATTCTAATACACCCTTGTGTTTTCAGCTCTGCATTGTCCTACAATTTGTAGGTCACGTAATAAAAAAGGTTGAAAATAGGGTGGGCTTTGGATTTTGGGAAGTCGTTTAGTTTTTTGTTTTTTTTTCTTCTTTTCTCAAACTAGTTAAAAACTATTTTGCAACAAAAGACTGCACCCATAGCTACCCAATGCCATAACGTCTAAGGTTGTTATGGTGCTCGGAGTGTCCAAGTTTATGTCATGATGTGACTACATAGCATTGAATTGCACCATACTTTCTGTCTTCGGTATATTAATGCCATAAATAATAATGTCACAAAATTCAAGTTGAAATGGTGTGGCACTCTTGGGAAAAAGGTACAGTACTTGGAGTACTGTATTTGGAAGTAAGGTCACACAACCTCTCCACAGACTCAACAGGCACATCATGATTAACCCCTTAAGGACACATGACATGTCATGATTCCATTTTATTCCAGAAGCTTGGTCCTTAAGGGGCCGTTGGCCCGAAACGTTGTATTTTGTTGTGTTCATTGACTAAATAAATGACACTACCTGTTAAAGCTGTGGATTTTGCTTAATATGTCATAAAACATTTCAATTTGTAAGATTTTCAAACTTGAATAGAATGGAGTCTGTCTATATTTCAAAAGTAAAAGGCAAAGGATGGGCCATTGTCTTGTGCTTTAAACCCGCATTAATAATGTAAACTGATGCCACTAAATCAAACACATAATAAAAAAATACATAATTACTTATCAGGGTTATTTACTAAAGGGAGGATTTAAAGGAAATTTGAAATTTAAAGAACCACAATAGTGCCAGGAAAATATACTCGTTTTCCTGGCACTATAGTGCCCTGAGGGTGCCCCCACCCTCAGAGACCCCCTCCCGTCGGGTTCTCGGGAGAGAAAGGGGTTAAACACATACCTGTCTACAGCGCCGGCGGGGAGCTTTCCTCCTCCTCCTCTTCTTCTTCCTAGCGACGTCATCGGCTGAATGCGCATGCCAGTCTCATAGGAAAGCATTCATAATACTTTCCTATGGACACTGGCGTCTTCTCACTGTGGTTTTCACAGTGAGAAGCACGCAAGCGCCTCTAGCGGCTTTCAATGAGACAGCCACTAGAGGATTTAGAGGCTGGATTAACCCTCAGTGTAAACATAGTTTCTCTGAAACTGCTATGTTTATAAAAAAAAAGGGTTAAAGCTAGCTGGACCTGGCACCCAGACCACTTCATTAAGCTGAAGTGGTCTGGGTGCCTATAGTGGTCCTTTAAGGCCAAAGTAGCTGCAATGGAAGCATGGCTAACTTAGAGAATTATTGCTGGTTTGATTATTTTGACCTTATATTTGAAATTCACTTTGAATTCTCATTTTAGTTAATATCCCTGATTATGTTTTTGAATGTCACCATGCAGCATATATTTCGGTTTTAGAAGGTTTTTAATCTTTGATAATTATCTTTTTGTTTTTGCAATGAGCCCTGTGGAGAGATTTGCAGTTTGATTAACCTGTCACTCAAACCGTTCATATTTTTCATATAGTCCCTTTTTTAAATCCGCTCACATGCATGGATGTGAAAGTTTTCTGCTCTGGAATGTTCGGGTCAAAGTCTGGTCACATGACCCACGTGATAGCAAAAGTAGTTACAATGTATCTGGTGCCAACAGGCTCCGCATAATCCTCTTAGCACACACACGCATAGCTGCCAACTGCAGCACAGAAGGGTGAAACATTTCAAAAACAGATTTAAAATGGCTGTATCATACACATCTTCACGTACAGCATTAAAGGGACACTTCATGCAGCATAACAACTTAATTGGAGGGAAGTTGTTATGGTACGAGGCGGTCCCGGGCACCAGCCAACCTGTAGGGATTAAATGTTAACCCCGTTAACCCCAAATATCCCCATTGAAAAAGGAATGTGAAAACAGTAATTATCTAATGATTCTGCGGGAGGTATACCTTCACTTCTTTGTGAAACACTGCAAAGACTCCAGGCACTATAACCACTTCAAATATCTGAAGTGGTCATGGTGCCTGGACTAACCCTTTAATGGGTGCAGCATCCCAAAGGAGTTGTATATATCCCAGCTTACTAGATGTGACATTATTAAAGGTCTTTCTTTAAGCCAAGGGTGCATGGGAAATATAGTTTACTAGCATCTTGCGCGCCAAGCGTAGCCATCGCTGTGCTAGAACGATGATCTGCCTCTGTAAAATAAGGACAGTGCTGGGTCGGCAGCCATGGTCTGATTGTATGTGTGTGACAGATGAGCTGTAACCTCCCTGACCAAGATACAAAGAGAGGCTGCTAAATATTTTCCTTTCGCTCTCACTTTCTCCTTGAGAGTTAAGGCCAAAGGAATTCCTAAACAAAGCCTCTTCTGACAGGATATCAGGGCACAGGGAGCAAGGGGTGGGGAGAAGGGATAAACTGTCTAGCAATGTCTAAACCTTATCTGCTCCTTCCATTCTCTAATCTGCAGACTGCACTTTATAGAACACTAATTGATTCTCACTGTGCTGTTTGGAAACACCATTTCTTTCCAAAGGGATCTTCAATACACACATTAAAGCATTGATTTAACTGATGCGTGTGTGTGTGTGTATGTATGTATGTATGTGTGTGTGTGTGTGTGTGTGTGTGTGTGTGTGTGTGTATATATATATATATATATATATATATATAAAATCTTCTCTATATCGTAGAGACTGTTAAACTCTTTCAAACAAACACTGTGTAAAAAAAAATTAATGTTTTTTTGTTATTTTTTTTTAAGTTGGAATACTGGGCCCATGCTTACTACAAAAACAAACTAAAAAAAAAACACTTTAAAAATACAGTTAAACTATGGGCTAAGAGAAGCTTAGCCTTGACGTCCCTATGAGCAGTGTTTTCATCTGTATGGCAGGAGCAACATACAGATGAAAGGGTGGAAGTGATTTGGGTGATTAGACTGTCCCTTTAATTATACTTTTGTTGTTGTTTTTTTTTTTTTAAATCTAAATCGCTATTGTACTGAGAACAAGAAAGTGAGCACGTTTTCTGCTAGGCATGTGCATTCGTTTTCGAACAAACAAGGATTCGTCTTAATTTCGGTGGGTCGTCTGAAGTCCGTAACTCTGAAGTGCCACATGGGTTTATCACGAGCAAATGAAATGGACAGTGAATAAGCATGTTTGTTCGTTTGTTTCGTGATTCAGAAATCGGGGCGGGGGAGGGGAGAAATGACTGATGAGGAAAAAATATGATTGATAGTTAGGAAACAGCCACTAAATATTGATTTCATTCACACATCAAGGAAGAAGAGATCCTTAAAGGGAAAAAAAGAGGTGCAGTAAATAAATCTATATATTGGGGATGTCATTTTTAACTGCTAGAACCTAGTGATAGTTGGGCTGTTTGGATTTCAAGGTCCCCTTGCTTCCGCCACAAAAAATGTTAAATGTAACACAGCCTCTTCTTAGCAGTCTGGTCCACGTCTACCGAAATAAATTAACTTGACAATCATTTTGTCCAATCAAATGCTTCTCTTTGAGAAGCATTGTGGACCTAATGTGCACACAGATATCTCCACAATGCTCTTATCACATGATTATATCAGTGAAACTTAGTTCTCACTGCTAAAGCACTTTCTAGCGGCTGTCAGGAAGCAAACGTGATCTGAGTAACCGCAGTGGTCCTTTAATACATATGTGCCAATGGCCCTCAGGGAATTCTTGTTTGGTCTCAAACCGCTCAAAACTGCTAATGGGAAGTGTAGTGGTTGTGGTCCTTTAAGTGACATTTTAGTGATATTATTTTTTTTGACCCAAAATAATTTTTTCCCCATTGGCTTTTTTAACCAAAACGTTTTTGTTATTACCGTTTACAGTAACTCACTGTTTAATTGCTTTTAGGTTTATCACTTGAATCTCATGTTAAAAGGTAACAAGATGCCTTTTAGATTTGTATTTCTGTCCTATTTCGAGAGGCAATTTGCCATGCTTTCCACGCAGTCCCTAACCCCAGTCAGAATGTTTGGGACACCGTTTAAACAATCGCAGCTGTATGCGGGTGAGAGGCTCCAGACACACTTTCCTGACTGATAAAATCATTTTGTTGGAAAGAGAGAGAAATGAGAGTATCTGCTATATGTAAACATTGAGTTCATCAACTTATTAAAAACACAAACTTACACTAAGCATGCACATTTGATACATGTATATCCATAGGCGCAGAGTCTGCAGCACCCCTGCTACCGTGCAATATACAAACTTTCAGTGCGAACGTCAGTGTTCTAAACATCCCAGCATGCTCAGCAAGCCTTAAAGCAACAGTTAATGTTTGCCATCATTACACTGTGCAGTTTATTCTCACTAAACACTGAATTTCAGTAATCTGAAATGCAAGATATGGCTAAAGGCTAAAATATCTAAGCTGTGCTAAAGTCGTAGAATATTTGTAAACTAGATTATTTGCTTTAAATTCATTAGTCTAAAATAACTACAAAAAAATCTCTAAGCCACTTGTGTTTTCAGTTTGCATAACAATTTTAATTTCATTTTGAATTTACTTTTAATTTCTGACAATTCATCCTTTAGTCAAAAATCCCTCAGGGTTATTTACAAAAGTGAGAATTCAAAGCGAATTTAAAAGTTAAGGCCAAAATAGCAGAACGTTTGACCTTAAATTAGAAATTCACTTTAAATTTTCACTTTAGCAAATACCTCTAAGTGACGGTTATTCCCTAAACTCTGAATGATGGTAAACTGAAAACCAAATGGCTAAGGTTAGGCTAAGTTATCAAAGTGGTGATAACAGCAGTAAAATTTCTCCTAATCATTTGTTGAGATAAATTAATTATAAGTGTGTCAAGTGAAATACAGGCTAAAATTAATATATTTAAGGGGGGGTTGGAAATCTACAAAAACGAGAATTAAACAAGGGAATCGTATGATATATATCTAAAAGAGTGACTAATATGCTTTTTTCTGTGGCTAAGTTCAAAGGGATAATTCACACGACTTTTCAACTGAAATCTTACAGAGCTTATTTAATATTTTAAATCCTGGCTGGAATCTATATTACGGCAAGTCTGCGTACATTAAATGACCTAAAAATAGAAGGTGGAAAGAAAAACAAGCTGTGACGGATTATCCCCTCCAATCGGCTGCAGAGTGTAACTTGCTAGTGTTTCGTTTGTCTGGGATCTAAAATGTAACTGCAGTGTTTGTCTCCATGGAGAGTTGAACGACCAAGAATCATAACCCAGTGGACTTCACATTATTTAATGAATCATGGCTCAACAGCATGCACTCTCAACTGTTAGCGGTTAGATTAAACCAAATTTGTCTGTGCAATGTTAACCGGTTTATCACATGATGACAAATCCCCCCCCAAAAAATTGTGACACATTAACCATTCACAAAACTCACTTTCCAAACAAAGTGATTGCAAAACCCGGCACAGAAAGTGATACATATTTAGAAAATAATTGTAAGCATTCTTGGGGATCTTGTGATCCACCCATCACCCATTCAGCAGGGGTTGGGTTACAGCACACATCAGTAGGTCTACTTTCCAGAGGTTTCCTAACGTAAGTGCCAGATTGTTGCTGAACGGTGATAACTAAGATTTGATACCCCTATGGCACTCAACCGGGCAGCCAAGCATCAGGGACATGTAGTCTATGTCCGGCTGTACTATCAAAGGCTAACCATCACTGGTGAAAATGAATAGAGCCACCCAGCATAGCCAACAGCTGGTTACAACTCACTGGAGCCTCGTGCAATATTTGCACCGGCAGGCATGACGATTTGTGGACTTGTGGTTACATTATAAAGTGGAATTATTGTGCACAAATGTGAGTTACAATAATAATAAAAAAAAGTTATATAGTTTATCAAGTGAGTCATTCTTTCCTGGAAAGATTTGAAAAAGTTTCAACTAGATGCATATCTCATGGGGGTCTGACCCATGAATCACTTGATAAAGTATCTTTTGTGCCGATGTTATGTGCTTGTGTGAAATCTGATAATATTCAATAAGGTGTGATTTTATTTTTCTTTCCTTTAAATTACCTGTATGTGTTTTGAGTACATTTTCTGTTTCTACAATATATGTAGCATAATGGCCAATTTCCAGTAGAATCACGTGTCCACAAATATTAGCTTTATTTTTAGCGCTTTTGTTTATCGCATGGGCAGCTACATATTTAATTTAGGACATCCGTTGCACCTATTTTACAAATTTCCTCTTTGGGGAATATGTCCAATGGCAGCTTCAAGTATTGTTATTTATGCTAATGATTCACATTAAGCTTGATAGACAACTGTGATATACTCTATATATAAATCATGAATTTTATTTGTTCTTGTATTTAACAAAAGTCATAATTTTGCTGCGTTACACTCTTAAAATATGATTTATTTCACTTGTGTTAGATTTGTTATCTGTTGTTTATTTCACATTATCTAATCAGAAAGGCATAGAAGAAAGAAAGAATAATAGAGTTTTGTTTGATTTGTCTCAGCTTCGACATCAACAGTGGAGCCTAGTGATGGAAAGCGTGGTACCATCAGACAAAGGGAACTACACGTGTGTGGTTGAGAACAAGTACGGAAGCATCCGACAAACCTATCAGTTGGACGTGCTTGGTAAGTCTTCCCTGGGTTCTTTCCAGAGATTTGGAGTTGTTTTTGGGAGGCTTTTTTTATGCTTCAATGTTGACTTACACTCTGGCATGTATGGTAAATTGTAATATGGAAACTGTCATATAAAGATAGATATATATAATGTAAGGAGTTGGAATGAGTGGTACCATAAATTGATGTGTCGGAGAGTTTATGTACGGACTTTGAAGCTCTGTTTCTTTCTGTTTGGTTGAAGTCAAAAAAGTTTTCTAGTAGAGTCAAACTCTTCTAGGAGGTCAGTCCATATAATCTATTTCTGATAGGCTTATACCATATAATTCATATGTATGAGAGGTTGTGAAATCTTGCCTTGTTTGCTGCTCTGCCATCCTTCAGTAGTTGTTTAGAAAAACACCTTCTGTATATACAATACTTGGTTTGTTTGTAAAGCTGTTTATACTTTTACTGCTGAGGTCCGGTAAGGAAATCTGGTTCCTTGCTGCCATGGTTTAGCCCATTACGACTTGCAGAGCATAATGAGGTTGTTGGCATGTCTAAGGACTTTTTTCTGGACTAGCATACAAAGTCTACTTAGATGTTTGTGCCTAAGCTTCAACTACCACAATGATTCCCCTGAAAAAGTAGTTTTGAGTTCTCTAAGTCTCACGTAGAACAACATCTAAGTAAATCTTTAATGTGGGTCCAATGAAAGGAAGAGAAAACAACCAAACATTTTGGCAAAACTCCCTGATACATTTAATTTAATTTACTTAGGGACCTGTTTACTAAACATTGACATAAACTTGTATGTAGCAGAGTTGAGAGAAATAGAGGATACAATAGGATTATTTTCTAAATTACCCGCATTTCAAAATTTTTAATGATTGGGTCGGCAGTCGCTGCACATGATTTTATAGCTCCAAAAATAATTGAAATGGGTCAAAGCTGTCTTAAAAATGTGTTCTTCATTTTATTTAAATCCTATTAAAAAAATAAAAAAATTGAAACCAAAACAAAAAAACATCAACCAACAAAAAATAACAACTTTATAGACACAAGTTAAAAAAAATAAATTACACTAAACATTTAGGGAAATTCCTGTGTTAACTATTTCGTAAAAAAGCTTCATAACATTTTGCTTTGAAGAATTTGGATGAGTGCAGATTGTTCCAGTATTTGCCTTCTTTACTATGAGTTTACGTGTTATTTTGAATTTTGCAGAGCGGTCCTCTCACAGGCCCATACTCCAGGCGGGATTACCTGCCAATCAGACTGTGGTAGTTGGAAGTGATGTGGAGTTTCACTGTAAAGTCTACAGTGATGCACAGCCCCATATTCAGTGGCTGAAACATGTAGAAGTAAATGGTAGCAAGTTTGGTCCTGACGGTGACCCTTATGTCTCCATCCTACAAGTAAGTTCTAGAACTCATGATTTCTTATAGTTTGTTAATTTTACATTTTAAGGAGGAATCGGAAAGGATTATCATCAATGTTTTCCCTTTTTTTTTCTCACTGAATGCTTCATTGCCAAACTGTAACTGGGGTCTGAGAGATGTTGAGAGCGAGTTACCAAATCCATCATCCCTTCTTTAAGATGTTGGGCAGAACATGGCAAACTAACATGTCCATAAAAATATAGTGTAACTGGTACACCTACAGTTGTAACATTATTTTATTGGGCAAAAATGACACAAGATTTTCTCTGTAAGCATTATGGTCCTTGAGGAAACCCACTTCCATGTGCCTATGGACCACTCGGGTTACAACTCAATTTATAGGATGGAAAATGTAGACAAGTTGGAACAAAGTAACATTGACACCCCAAAAAAAAGAGTTGTCTGCATATCACTTTGCATTCTGGGAATTTGAATTCTTCATCACATGAGTGACCACTGATCTATAATCTGATCACTTTAACTAAGAAGGGGGGCTATTTTAAATTGATGTTTTTACATGTCAGTTTGGTCTTATACAGATTTCTGGGGTAGTAATCATTATGAACAATTGTCCAGTCTAATACGGTCTGTAAAAGAGAACACAATAATCATTTATCTTCATGGAATCAAGTACATTTTTGGTTGAAAGCAGGTGTTGTACTGCAATTGATATATAATTAAGCTAATGTCTTACTGATTCATTGTGTTCAGATATGAGGATAGAGCCAAAACCAGAGAGATAAATGTATTCTTTTTTTACCTGTAGTTGTCATCTTCCTTCGACGTGCCTGAACATTCTGTTCCCCAAATAAGTTATTTACATATTAAATACGGACTTTGCAAAATAAAATGGGGATTATTTAATTGAGGAAGTCAGGCGCAAATCAGATAAAGCCACAAGGATGATTCCAAACTGTTCTACAATTTAGGATGGCAAAGCATTATGGCCACTACTGCCTTACTAAATATGACACTATATTGTATAACCCTTGCTGTGCCTTTAAGGGCTGAGCTTTGCAAACGGCGGTCTTGTTAGTGCAGCAAGGCTTGGGAACATAGAAAACATCTGTAATTGAGAAGTTTAAGGGTCGACCCAGCGATGACAAATCACCCGTCACAAACTGTTTATGAGCAGGAAATGTCTGCTGATGTTGACCATATAACCGTAGCTATATTTTCGCAATAAACACCTTCCAGGTTGGTTTCTTTGTAGCTTTTTCGAGACTGCGTCCATTAAATCCTGAATCGGAATGCAGTTTCACATAACAATCTTTGAGTTCTAACATGAATTTATGGAAGTCTCCTTCCATAGGAGCTTGCAAAACTTACATTTATTTCATGTTTCAAAGCATAGTTTTCTAATAGATTGCGACAGAAATATAAACATTCTGGCAGACTTTTGTGGATTCTGTTTCCTACACAGCCATCTTGCTTGCTTGGTAAAAAAAAACAAAAACCAGTTTTGTGCTGTGGAAAAACTTACTGTTAATATATGATGGGTTAAGCTTAGCACAGTTACATAGCAGAATTGCTTATAATTTGTCTCCAAATCCTATTTTTGAATTGTGATAATTGAAACCGCATTTGCAGAGCTTGGTAGAGAGCTACAGTCTGCTGCTAAACTTTCCTAAGGCGTGTCACAGAAAGTGGTTAAAAAGACCAAATTAAATTGAAATTGAAATGTATAACTTTAAAAAAAAAAAAAAATTATTATTACATTTTTTATTTTAATATTAATATTTTAAAATAAACATACAAAATATGTAGGTGGGCCACGGGGCAAAGGGACACTATAGTGTTAGGAAAATCGCTTTATTTATAGTTTATGGGAATTTTTGTAGATAAATATATATACATTTTCCTCACAGTATTGAATCATTTGGAAAGCCTATTAAATCAAGAACGGAACTTATTTTAACTGATCTCCAATTTGGTCATTGTGAATCTTGTTTATTTAGAATCTTCTGAAATTCTCACGTTAGTGCATGCTTATGTCCGTGTTAATGATGTGGCAGGATCATGGTCAATGTTTCTCACACCTTGTGTAAAAATACTTTATAAATAAAGAATTTAATAAAAGCAATATATTGTCGAACATACATGTCAGTAACAATGACATACCTGGATTTTGAAAGGAAATCTATTTTTTGTTAAATTACTGTAAATGTAAAAAATTAGAAATACTCATCCCTATCTTTAGTATATGACCGGATCCTTCAGCCATATACATACACCTTGGGTCAAACAGTGTTTGGAAACCTCTATACAGTCTCTATGGTCTTCCCGGCTTCACACCATATACAGTGCCGTGATAATATCACGCCAACTCACTGTAAATTCAAACACTGTTGGAACCAAGACATATGCATATGGCCAAAGGATACTGTCATACTAGGGAGTACGTTTTTATAATTTTTTCTTTTTTTTTCTTCTTGTATTTCATAAAAAAAAAAAAAATCCTTCAAATACTTGACAAAAGTGTTATATTAATATATTAAAAATAGTTTTGAGGTGACAGTTGTCCTTTGAATCTCTTACATCCTCTGAGTCCCCATCAATGAATACAAGTTCTATGCATCTAGTTACATGATAGCGCCACCTTTGGGCACCTGCAGTTCAAGCATCAATTTGACTTAAATGGTGGTGTTGGGTGGTATGACTTTCACAAATTATAATGATCGTTATCTCACAGGATCTTTTTTTTTTTTTTTTCCTATGCAATCTGTTGGTTCTGTTTAGCTTGTTGCTATTTAAAGATTGCTGCAACTTGCGTTTGATAGATTAAAAAAAACAAATGGCAGAAATTTAGGTAAAAAGTTACAAGGTGAACAAAAATTCAAATTTCAGCTATTTTCCCAACTATTTCAACTTACATGTTGCCATTTAGATTACAGATCATTTGCGTTTGATGTATTCTAAATTTAGATTTAAAATGATAAAAATTTTTATTTTTTTGCATTGAAGTTGAAGTGTTTGTTTGTTCCTGCAGTCCAAGACCAGCAACACCACAGAAGCAGATAGTAGACTAAAATTAAATAATGTGACAGAAAACGACCAAGGAGAATATCTGTGTAGAGCCAAGAATTCCATAGGGTTAGCCGAAGCTTCTTATTGGCTCTACATATACAAACCATCGGCAGGTAAACCTTAGACTCTGTCCCGAGGTTTCAAATCATTAACATTTTCAAAGCGGAGTTGAAGAAAAAAAAATTACGCTCTGGAATCTTTCGGGATCCGACTGTCGCTGGTTTCATTTTTTTGCTGCTTTTGTTCATTACCCCCTACTATTTTCAAAACTCCCAAATCTGTTTTGAGAAGTGTGCAGTGGAAAATTACCCACAACAGATCAGACGTTTGTTCTCCAGAGACCTGACAGCTATTGGTGCCGAATTTGTAGAACCGGCAAAGAAAATAAAGCAAAATCCATTTACTAAATCACGTTCCATTTTGACAGTCAGGTGGCAAAGGGAATTAAACTTAAAACTGGTGTGGCCAACATGTAGACCTCTCTTATTTGGGTTTCTATCTTGTAATTTGCCGCCGGTAAGCAGTGTGTAATGTATGTATAGTTCAAATTATTTAATTATAACAACCATTAACTTAATATTTATTAACAAAATTCAACTTTGATCCGAAATATTTAGTTAAACCTGCATTTCACCTCAAATAAAATGAAGCCAGTCCATTGACGTATCCAATGCCAGCAGAAAGTGCCCTGTCAGTACTGGAGGGGTTTAATAACCCTGGCCGTATGTTGTGTTGTGGGTCCATTTTTCCATCACATTTACTTGCATGTCTTGTCAGTGGGACAGAGTATACCTTGCCTGGTGAAGGGTTTCTGGTGTCTATTTATTTCATTTTCTTACAGGTGGTAAAAATTTGGTGTTTGCAAATCTCATCTGCTTCAGTTCGTTCTTGAATTTTCGGCGCACTTGCATTGTGCTGGGATCTTGGCTTCCTTTTATCATATTTTTCTCCTGGTGTTTTCTTCTTTTGGTGTGTGTCCTGTTCTGTCCTTTCATTTTTATTTTAATCTCTTTCCTTTCTCTAGCCTACTGGTGTCTACTCTTCGGATAAGGATATTGAAATTCTGATTTTGCGCAATGTATCTTTTGAGGATGCTGGGGAATATACTTGCCTTGCAGGAAATTCTATTGGCTATTCCTATCACACTGCTTGGCTGACAGTGCTACCAGGTACTTCTGTCGCTGTCCAGGTCTTCTGATTTTTTTTTTATTAACAAATTTATTTTTTTGGTGACTCATTCCATGTGCCTGTGAAATGCCAAACTGAAGTCTTGCATCCTGCAGGGTGAACGGAACAAGCTGTGCGTAGATAGCGGTCAAACTTGCCTTTGGTCTGTTCCGTTTGATGCTGCTCAAAAAGAAAAAAGTAAATCTTAGCAGTTCTGTTACTTAGTGACATCAGTCAGTGCTGCCTGTTTAATGTAGCTGACATCTGAAGCTAAGCAGAGTTTGTGGACCACCTTGTTTCTCTCAAGAGGTTTTAATTTTCATTGGCTTTACCCAAGAAACACATTGTTAAACATCAGAGACACTTATGCCCACTCTTGTAGTAACCCTTTAAGTTCCCAGAAGACTCAGATCATTGCTTAGCCACAACATTTTCCATGTACAACAAGGTCTGTCCAATTGAGGGCCTCTGAAGAATGTTGGCAGCTATATGCAGTTGGGCAGTTTTGGATTATACCCCTTTAACTGCCACTAGAGGAATATAGAAAAGGAAAGTGATACAACCTATCATTCAGTTTGGCATTTCTGAACATGCAAACTCCTCTATAATCAATTTTTACTCCTGTATATGCTTACCTATCAAATGAAGGTTTAATTCCTTGATTAATATCTATAAAAAGGGAAATTATCATAAGAATTATGCATTTAAAATACATTTATCTTTTTGTATTCCATTTCCCTATTTATGTCCTTTGTGCTTTGCGGACATATATTCTAGGTTCCAACTGCTGCCATGGCTATGCATCACTCAGAAGTTATGTATAAGAGCAATTCTGGGGAAAAGTTCTAAGTGGCGCAGTCAGCCATTTGTTTCCATGGTGATTGCTCCAATTTACAACTTTTCTCCAAGATACCATAAGCAACATGGTGCTCGTGTCATCTTTTTAGGGGACAGAGGCCTATTGGCATTAATGGTTTATGTCTGCCGTGCCAAACACTCTCAAAAATAAATATATACACAGTGCATGGAAACTTTACATTTATATTCCCATAAACTCACAAGTTTTCAAGTGATAATTTCCCTTTCTAATGCAAAATGATTTTCTATAAATCACATTACCCTAAATATCAACGGTGTGATGTTTTATTTACATTGAAAGTGTCCTATTTAAATGTACAGAATGTCTCGATGTATCAACCTTTATTGTATTAAAAAGAATTAAACGTGATTATCCCACATTACAGGAACGCACACAATAGTCAGAACATAAACCCTTTATCCCTTTTAAATCGGCTTCACTCTTTCTGTAATCTGAGTGGAATTCTTCTGCTGCAAATCACCAATTATGCATTTCAATGTAATTAAAGTCACCAAGCAATCATGTCTTTGTAAAAAAAGACTTATTGCCTTTCAAAATTCTTTTATATAATTTACGAAAATTTTATCACAGTCGAATATGTATATATATAAATAAAACCAGGAGGGCTGCACTCACCTGGATATGCATGCATGAGAAGTGTGCTGCTGGGGCCAATTCATACAATCTAAGATCCAGCACACTCGCTCATTCACTAAACAGTGAATTTATGTATATAGATATATATATATCTGTATGTTATTAGTCTGTGAATTATCATCTATCTTTAAAAAGAGGTAAAACAATACAAAATGGATTGCATCACAAAACAATAACGTAACTACACATTATACGGAGCACATCACTGAACACTTCTTGGTTTCTTAAATCTTCCACATCCTGAATTATTTTGTATTTCCAGGGGAGCTTATAGAGAAAGTGAACACAGCACCCACCAGTTCAATCACCATTCTCATCGTTGTCACAGCTGCTGTTATTTTAATTTTGTCGATCATCATCATCGTCACCTATCGAATGAAGGTCCCTTCCAAGAAGGCAATGAACACGCCAACGGTGCAAAAGGTCTCAAAGTTTCCACTAAAGAGACAGGTAACAGAAAGTAGATACAAGATTACGAAAATCCATTTTAATCTCTCTCAAGTCATTTAAGTTTTTTTTTTTGTCCTTTGAGATGATGTGCGGGTTAGTTTTGCAGAGGGTTTTTTTTTTCTTTTGATAGGCTTGTGAAGTTGGTGAAATGCTATTGTAGAGTTTGATGAACATGTCTTAATTTTCTGACCCTGATCATTCTTATCTGCTAAATGTAGCATTTCAGCTTTGAAGAAGAAAAATATTTTTGTGAATGGTATTGTCTAAGAAGGGGTTTCCCAAGTGATAAGATCAATAGTTTGCAAACATTTCCTCCTCAAGAGCCACCTTAAGTGGTTGGCTCTAAACGATTCATTGACTGTCTATACTAACCAAATAGTAAGATAAACTTAAAATCTAGATCAAGATATTTTTATTTGGAAGAGCAAGTAACAATATTTCTCTTGTTCCTCTACATTCGTCATCCATATTCTTCACAATCCAAAGGGCTACCTTGAAAGATTTTAAAGGACCACTGTTGGTGTGAGGGCTTTAGTTTAGGAACACCAGAGAATGGGCACCACTCACTATATTACGGTACTATTTGAATCTTCATGGCATAATTCAGAACTAGCTCATGATTGGTCATTGTTCAGTTCACTTGTGGATGTTCTGATGAATGGCAGCTCCTGTAGTCCTCATTAAATGCGGTAGTCAGTGGATGTGGTTTGACAGTAATGAGAATGGGTGTGGAACATGTAAGCAAATTTAAAATGTAACTTTTAATAATATAGCACTTAATAAGTGACTTGCTTTGAGAACATTGTGTAATTCAGTGTTTTTGAATTTCAACAGCACATATTATTTGGCAAATTGAGCATGTGAACTGAACTGGCCATCATTTATTTTTTAATCAGTTTTGCCCACTTTGGTTGCCAATTTGTATTTGAAAAGACCAGCAATCAGCAATAATGCGTATTTTATTTGCTTTATTTAAGCAGGTGTCTCTGGAATCCAACTCTTCCATGAATTCCAACACCCCATTGGTGAGAATTACCCATCTGTCCTCCAGTGATGGAGCCATGTTGGCCAACGTGTCAGAACTAGGTCTTCCTCCAGATCCCAAGTGGGAGCTCCCAAGATCCCGGTGAGTGGGCTTTCTACACATTTTAATATAGAGTGGTATTATTGTATTTTATTGATTCTAATGGTCATTTTGTTTTTTTTGCAGCCTTACTTTAGGAAAACCTCTAGGAGAGGGATGTTTTGGCCAAGTAGTGATGGCTGAAGCTATCGGCATTGATAAGGATAAGCCAAACAAAGCTGTTACCGTAGCTGTAAAAATGTTGAAAGGTATGAATGCTTCTATATAGGTTTATAGGATTCTACAATGCTTGTTGATTTTATTATTGCTACAATGGGACTGTATCATAACAGAAAAAAACAACTCATCCTTAGCTACTCCATTCCATGTTTTCATACGGTCAGGTCTAGACTATACTTCCAGTTCACACCAAATAATTGAAATAGTGTGATCCAAAGACACTCCCTTGTATGCCCAATATGCTGCACAATGTGTATGGCCTGTTTGTGGCCACTTCACGTACAGACAGACCTAAAATTTACAGTGATTGCCGAAGCTATGTTACATAGTTACATAGCTGAAAAGAGACTTGCGTCCATCAAGTTCAGCCTTCCTCACATTTGTTTTTTGCTGTTGACTATAGTGTCCCTTTAAATATACATTTTTTTTTTTAAAAAGGCAAAAAAACCCAGTTTGAAGCACTTCCAATTTTGCAACAAACTAGGAAAAAAAATCCTTCTTGACCCCAGAATGGCAGTGTACTGTAGAAGTTGGCCATGGAAATCTAGATCTATACAGCAGCATGTTCTTGTCTTGATGTGGTCACTGATTGTGCGAAAAAAAGTGTGGCCTAGACCTGTACAATACATTTTTTTTTTTAAAAAACATGTTCAGCAGGGGAAACATCTCCATAAATATAAACATTTACATGAGAGCACACTCCATGATTAACGTGGTCAACAGATCTTTGTAAAGAAAAAATGTAATACTAAGCTTTTAATGTGAATAAGAGTCTATACACATCACATGTGTAAATGAAAGCCAGTGAGCAACTTCACAAGGAAAAGCTTAACGTGTTTCTGTAGACTTGGAACTATTCGCCTGCTAGTACGCATCAGCACAACTCTCTCGTGACTCACTACAGCTTCAATTTAATACTGTTGGATAAGTTTTTCAAATAATCTAATATTTTAGGGTAAACTTTTAAAATTATTTAATATTGTGAAATAAATTTAATTGTAGTGTTTTATGTATTGAGATATATATATATATATATATATATTTTTTTATTTTTATTTTTTTTTAATTTTTTAATTTTTTTATTTACAAGATTATCCAAAAATATTAAATAATTTGGAAACGCTAATCCAACAATTTTAAACCAAGGTAACTAGGTAACACGGCAGAGTACTGGTGTGATATCCCATCGCCTCCCTTCAGCACTCCTCTGGTCTCACCACCTAAACCTTGTGAAAATCTTTTTCTTTCTTTTATCTGCAGATGATGCAACCGACAAGGACCTCTCCGACCTAGTCTCTGAAATGGAAATGATGAAAATGATTGGAAAACACAAAAATATCATCAATTTACTTGGAGCCTGTACGCAGGACGGTATGTCCGCCAGTATATTCTTTATTTTGGAACACTGCACAAAATATTGAATTAAACAATATATACATGTGTTTATTATATCTCTGTTTATGTTATATATTAATTGCATCATTAATACGGACAGGCTGTAACTGTGCCGTGTAGGTAATATCCAACGAAGAAGGGATTAAATAGGCATATGGTATTCAATACAAGACAATTCTTAATCTCTTTAACAGAATAAATGTGTTAGAAACTTCACTGCCAGCTGGTTCTGTACCAGCCTCAGTCAACCTGTCAACCTCCAGCTGTTTTTTGGTCTTAGCATTTCTGGGGCTGGCAACGGTTGGCGGAGATTTAGAAAATGTCCTAAGAATAAGGCATGCATTCTGTTAAGAATGTTTAGTGTTTCACCATTATTTTCAAGTATGTAGTCTTCTGATCTATGTTATAGTAATATCTTTTCTTTTTTTTTTTTTTAAACATCTTAAGCACTTTTCCGTGGTATCTTTGCTAATACAGAACTGTATGAATTCATTGTCATATAGCTGGTACATGCCCAACCAAACAAAAACTGCATTTTTGTGTGTGTGCCACCATCGCCTCATTTATAATTTACCATGATAATGATGGAAGTGCCTATTTCTATTCTCGCCTTCTGCCTAAAAGACATAAAAACAAAGTTGTCGCAAAAAGAAAAAGGTTACCGAAAAAATAACAAGTCCTTTATATTAATGCATATTCCTGTATATGTTTAATGTATGTTTGTACATTCACAAATATTTTGTGAATGTACAACTTGAGAAATCGTATTTATTAAATGTACCTTTAAACGAATAGTTGTAAAAAATTAACTTGTCTGATCTAAAGCTGTCTCGCATCAAGGTTCAGAGTACAGGAAAAGTATGGCAGAAAGCAATGGTGTTTCTCCGCCAAGGAGTAAATAATGTTCAAGCTGGGAAAGGATACAGTTTTGCAATAAATGTGCCTTCGTCTCCCCTCCTAGGAAACAGAAAATACAGGGAAATCCAATAAATAGGGTGCTTTCCGAGAAGCTGCGCCAAGCAGTCATTTTGACCTGACGCCAGATAGGAGACTTGCATCCAGAATTTATTAGCCGCTGGAAAGGAGCAGTCTCTCTTAGGGAAAGAAAAGAAAAAAAAAGGAGAAAGTAACTGCTCATGTCAAATATACAGAGTGATGAAACATTGAACATTCTACACATTATTTCTTAATCAGCTGAACTTTTATATCAGCATATTTATATATTTTATAACAATATATGTATCTTTCTTATAATTTACTGTTGAGTTAACGCTGTTCCTTATATGCAAGGACTTATTTTGCTATATTAAATAAATATAGCCTTCAGCAAATGATTGATTGACAAGGACGAGCATGTTATCCTTTGGCATATTAACACTTTAATTTCAAAGAGTTGAAGAAACAAGTCTTCCATTGAAGTAACCAAATAGTTATGATTATAATTATATATTAAATATCAAACTATTGAACATGATTAGTGATGTCCCGAACGGTTCGCCACGAACGGTTCGCCATGGACTCATCATTGAGTAAACTTTGACCCTGTACCTCACAGTCAGCAGACACATTCCAGCCAATCAGCAGCAGACCCTCCCTCCCAGACCCTCCCACCTCCTGGACAGCATCCATTTTGAAGCTGCATTCTTAGTGAGCTGTCCAGGAGGTGGGAGGTTCTGGGAGGGAGGGTCTGCTGCTGATTGGCTGGAATGTGTCTGCTGACTGTGAGGTACAGGGTCACAGTTTACTCAATGATGAGTCCGCGGCAAACCGTTCGGGACATCACTATACATGATATATAGTTATATAGTGATTATACAATAAATAAAAAAATTAAATGATCATCAAAAAATCATGAATTTAGCCCACACTATTATGGAAATTACGTAACATAAAGAGATCATCCATAAGTTTACAATTATTGTAGGGTATCAAGGATCCTTTCCATATTTTAGGACTTGGCAAAGCTGTCCCTTCACCCTGCAGATTAAAATTGGACTAAGTAATGTTAGGATCAAACCCAAAGGATCCCAAAGCATGCTTCCTAAATGTTGTGCTAGATGTTATATACAATTTCCAATGGCCTAAATGGCATTACATTTCTAACAGAAACAGGGAACGATTGGACTATTATATTTTAGTGTACCTTCGATCATATGTTAAAACCTAGACTGCTGTCTCTGCTAATTAATTGTGGTGCAGGATTTCCATGTCTACGTTCATGAACTTGGCAGTCAGTTACCAGATAACCTAATCCTAAACATCTTGGGTCAACAGCTCTTTCTCAATGTACAATGCCCTTCACTCAAAGGGTGCACTTGATATTCTGACCCGTAATTGTTCTTTTAGAAATAGAATGGATGTTTGAATTTATACCACTGTAAGAGAACCATGCTGGTTTTAAACCGGCTGCACAGAAGTGAAATAAAAGTTTGAGCAATATTTATTATTATATTTTTTCGTGATATGGCAGCATCTGATACATCCATACTTTTCATGTGAATCTTCTATAATCTGAAAGAGGAATGACATCTAGTAGGTCTTGATGGCTAATCTTCACACCTAGACCTAGGGACCCCAAGTAGTCTACAAACAGTTTTTACTATACCTGGAGTGGCAAGGTTTGTCACCCTTGTTCTGGATATATGACCTAAACATAAAAAAACAACAAAACGTGCAAGGTGCATAATTTAACAAATACATAAAAACAATACTAAAAGAAGATGGGGGGGGAAAGATGATTGTGACAGTACAGTGCTTTGCATTCTTGCATATGAACTAGAACAGATGTATGTTAGCATATTTATTTAGGAAAACCTAAGAATTATTATTACATTTTTTCTACCCTATTTGTGCAGGACCTCTGTATGTATTGGTTGAATATGCTTCTAAAGGAAACCTTCGGGAATATCTACGAGCTCGACGCCCACCTGGCATGGATTATTCTTTCGATACATGTAAAATCCCAGCAGAGCAGCTGACTTTCAAGGATCTGGTGTCCTGTGCTTACCAGGTGGCCCGTGGCATGGAGTATCTGGCGTCTCAAAAGGTGAGAACCTAAAATGTAGTGAAGTATAGCGAAGATTGGAGTATCTCTTTGGTGTCCTTCTTTGAGGACATCTCTAGGAATAAGGTTCTGCTTTGCTAGAAGAAAGAAATATCCCACTGTTTGCATGCTATATAGTTTATGGGAAGGAGGGAAGGACTTTTACTCTGCTTCAGAGAGTTAATTTAAAACATAAAGCAGTGACCCAGGCAATAAAGCTACACTGCTATTATGATGGTAACATAGAAAAACAAGGAAGACAAACCAAAACAAAATATTATGACAGCTGGTACATGATGCATGTGGTAATAGTGGTTCTGTGCACCAAAGAGTACCGTGCGTTTTTTATATATATTTTATGTAAAAGATCACTAGTTTTCCTGGCATTATGCAATCCTAAGGGTCCCCCCACCCTCAGGGTCCTCCTCCCGCTGGGTTGAAGGGTTTCAAACGGGGTTAAAACCGCTTTAACCACTTACCTTAATCCAGCACCGGGCTCCCTCAGGGCTGGTGACCTCTCCTCCCCCGCCGACGTCAGCTCCCGAGTGGAGTGGAATGTGCATGCGCGGCAAGAGCTGGGCGCGCATTCAAACAGTCCATAGGAAAGCATTTCTCTGTGCTTTCCTATGGACGTTCTGCACACTGGATGCAAATTTCGTATCCAGCATCGCAGAAGCACCTCTAGCGGCTGTCAGGAAGACAGCCACTAGAGGTTGGATTAACCCTAGTGTAAACATAGCAGTTTCTCTCATTGAGCTGAAGTGGTCTGGGTGACTATAGTGTCCCTTTAAATATACATTTTTTAAACTTTCAGTACTTTATAAGTACCACACATAATAATGTAACTGGTCGTTAGTTGACAGCTGAAGTTTTAGAACCTCTCCCACCTGTACCATTTGAGGATATAACCTTTTAATAGTAGATGTACCGTATATACAACTATAACCTAAAAGGGAAATGCACTTCCCAGGCTTATACTTAATATGTTTGATAAATGATACACAAATGTTTTAAGATGTAACTGAGCGAATTCGCAAATTATCGAGTCTATGATTATTCTAGAGCAATGATTTGCAACCTGTTCCCATATCGTTCTTCTGATGGAGTTAAGGAATGCTTAAAGGCAAACGCCAGACCCCCTAAAGCATTTTAGCTTGCTGCAGTGCTTCATGTGTGAAGACTGTGTCCTCTTTTTTTTTTAAAGTGCAGATTTAGTAGAAATCAACACTTTTAGAAATTGACAGCCAGATGGGATGGAACAAGGTTAATCAGATAACAGGTACTGTTACTTCCTGGTAGTTTAGCTCAGAGAAGCGAAATTCAAGAGGCAGGCAACTGACCATATCACCTGCCTTGCAAGGACTTCTCATTGAGCTGCATGGGGAAGTCTGTGATTGGACAGCCACAGAAAGTCTGGGCGGGGTTAGAATGGGAGGGCTTGCATAGGCTGCAGACGAGAGATCTGCGGCTTTGGCACGCTGTTTTTACGTATAACCACAATTAAAATACTGTATAATCATTAAGGGTATATTCACTAGTTAGTGAACTTTTTTTTTTTTGGACAGTGGAGTTTCCCTTTTAAGAACCTGTTCAATTTCAGATACTCTTTCTGATAGGTATGAATCAGCTTATTTTAGGGATGTTTATTTTCTAAAAAAGATTAATATGAGAGGTACTTAGCATACCTCTGTACTACTTTTTTAAAAGAATTTGATTGACGGTCTTCTAGAGGCACTTATATAGGCTTTTCTGGATTTGCCAAATGCAATAATATAATGGGACAGGCAGGTTTTATCTGTCATCAAATTCTTTGGTATCCATGCTTTAATGTATGCTATATTATATGGTGCTGGCCAAAAACATTACACAATGTTCAGAGTTCTGAATGTATAGAATTTCAATTGAAATGACTGTGTTAATATGTCTAAAGCGTTCTCCCAAAAAGAACGCATTACATTGAACAAAGACACATGTTACTGGCGTGTTCCCCATAATAAATGTGGATGCTTTTGTTTTTAGACTTTGTGTGGTTTAATATTGCATAATTTTGACGGTCATATTGCTGTTTCATAGACAGTACAATGAGTGCACCCCCCCACCCCAAAAAAAAAAAAAAATTTTTTTTTTTTTAATGTTGTGGGCATTTTTTTCTGCTCAGTTAATCTAGCAAACATTTTGCAAGTCATTCCTCAAGTCAATTAAACTCACTTTTTAGTCACTGGATTATTATATATATATATCTGTTATCATAGCTCCCCTGGATGGTGGATTTCAGTCATTATATTAACATTCAGCCTCGTAGAGTTAGATGCAAACTACTGATTATCTCATTCCAAATTAGGGCATTCCCAAACCTCATATTCTCCCCTGGAGTAGCAGCCTGGAACAATGTATTTAAATTATTGGGGATAATGTAGCAATATGTAGCAAAGTTTCATCAAAGTACCTTCAGGGCATTAATAATTCATGAGTTGGGCATAATGAAATAGAAAAGGATGGCTCCTTTACTTTCTTGGATAATCACGAGTTACAAACCGAGAGGTTTATTGGCTGCTAAATAGGTTTAATTTTTTTGTATATATAGTTTATAAGAACTCAATCATCCAAAAATATATAATATGTCATATATAAGAAATAAATAAAAATAAAGTAGGTTACACCCTTAGGTTTCATCTCATAATTCCACTTTAAAAACTGCATACAATATGGATGTAAAGATGGTGTAGATCTAACACTTCTAACACATTTCCAAAATGGGATCTACCAGGAGAACCCTGGATTATGCAAGTTATATCTTGCATATAGGACTCATTTGGGTTTAGGATGAATTCTAGCTGTGACAGAGATATATTGCCCTCACCTTGTGGTACATATGAGCAGTCAAAATTATTGTAGTGTTATAACTGTATCAAACTGGGATACAATACAATGGATGAAAGAGTTATGTTGTCCTTAAATAGTACCTGACCAAGGAGAGTATGACCTGTAGTAATATGTATGAATATCTTACTTAAGTTCATTGAAAGGTCCCTATTGGTCATCTTACATATTATACAGAACATGAGGTTAGCATTAGCGTGAAAGGCAGAGGAAAGTCATTTTTAGTCCTCTCCATCATTTTCTCTGATAGAAATTCACCCAATGTCAGTCAGGAAGTTGTTGAATGACTATTGTGCTAATTGTAGGTAACAATTTGATACCAGGATATTGATTTACAATTGGTGGCTGGTAACACATCTTTCCATGCCTGATCATAGAGTGAAATTTAACAGCAAATAATAAATATTATCATGAGATTCTGTGCATTCCAATGTGTACATATACACATGGGTATATATTGAAACAGATGAAAGATGGAGTTGTGGAGAATCTATATTCTCAAGAGTTTAGCAGTTTATAGCAGTACTCTTCAAATCTGCCTTCAGGACCCATCAATAATAAACCAGTATCTCAACATTACCCTGCTCTAAGACACGTGAGTGACTCAGTCATAGTCATCTGAACACTGAAAAGGATATTCTCAATCTCGGCCGCCTGTTGGGTTCAGAGAGCAGAATTAAAAAATACAATGCTCACGTTCAACAAACGTGTTGTCTACCTTTTGGCCAACCTGTTCTGAACTGATAGGTCCAAATAATAACAAAGTATTTAACCAGGAAAGGTACAACAGATTGCTCTGGTTTTCAAGCACGTCCTGGGAAAGTTACTTTTGCCCAATTTAATGGTACTCGTTTTAATTACCTCAAAAGTATGAAGGGCTGAGTTGACCCTGCCAGGATTTGAACCTGCAACCCAAGGGTTGAACAGATTCAAGTGTTGATGCATTAGCCCACTGAGTTGTCTCAGTATTGTTGTTATACTTATGTAAAACATTGGTGGAGCAATTGTCCTTCTATAATTTTGTATCTCGCTGCTTGAAACTTTAAATACTGCACTGTAGTTCAGTTATTTCATTAGCATCATTGATCTTTTTCATGTTAATAACTAGTTTGTTGGTTTATCAGTGTATTCACAGAGACCTTGCAGTTAGGAACGTGTTGGTAACAGAAGACAGCGTCATGAAGATTGCAGACTTCGGACTGGCCAGAGACATACACAACATAGATTACTATAAAAAAACTACAAATGTGAGTATATTTACCTGACTGATAATGGAGTATGCAATATCAGCACAGTACTGAGCAGACCGAATTTTAATTAACTATTCTTCTTATTACTATCCAATATACCCTGCTGCTCAGGACCAAATGTCACTGCATTACAATCAACAAAGTCTATTCTCAGATTACAAATGGATTTGCATATGATACCTGTTATGAAAACTATTCAACACATTTTTACCCTCTTTCTGTGATAGAAGAAGAGTCTTTTCTGGCAGGTTCAAATCAGCCTTATGGTTTTCTCCAGGTTATTAAAATGAATACTGTTTAAAAGATTCATAATAATATTGACACCCCTATGGCAATAGCAAAAGCTACATATACCCTTTTCAATTGATTGATTAATATTTTTCTGCACTGTCCAGCAAATAGCGCTTTTTCTAAACCAGTTATATTCTTTGAATTGGGGCGTGGAATACAGCCTTTCATTTCAGCTAATACCCCTAAAATCAACATATCAGTTAACTTCTGTACTTGTACTTAAATATCACTTGCCCATTTCAAGGGTGCCCTACGATTTGTATGAGTTACAGAATGAGAACCTGGAGATTAAGGCATGAGAATTGCCCCCAAACAATGAGAATTACCCTCATGGGTTGATATTTTAGCTGATTAACATGGTCATTCTTTTTTTGTTTTTTTTACCGAGCAACCAGTCTTTTTTGCCCAGAGGATAGCTGAAGTCAGCATGTCCAGTGGAAGCTTTGGATAGTGGATTAATAGAGTAGATTGGATGGTGCCAATGTGGCTGCACAAATATGCTGATGGATTAGTCTTCTTTGTCTTCCCAATTATAGGGTCGGCTGCCTGTGAAATGGATGGCTCCAGAAGCATTGTTTGATCGGGTCTACACTCATCAGAGCGATGTGTAAGCATTATCATCTCCCCCTTCTCTCCCTCAGCACATTGCAGGAAAATCTGCCAATGTGTATACAGTCTAAAGGCTTTTAGAAGTTGCGCACCCCACTCATCCTCATATTAGCTTAAACTTTTAGATGCCAGATTGTTTGACCAAGCATTGTAAAGTCCCAGAAATGTCTCTGCATGGGCCACAAGGTCTTTGTAAATGTATTAAGGTGTTAGGATTCAAGGTAGTAACACTCTGCTGCTCTTTTAAATAAGCCAGTGGCTTAAGAGAACACTTCACACACCTAAAGCGCTTCAGCGTTACATGACAGATTATAAAAGTTCTGATTTCAATAGACATCAGAACGTTCATAATAAGGGCAGAATCACCTTGCTGGCTGTCAGTCCGAGATCCAAGGAGGTTTTCTTCCTCTTCCATTAGCTTCAGAGAGCGTTACAAAAGTACCAGTTACGCTTGACCAGGGTGCGCCTGCCTTCCCTCCTGTCTCAGTGAGTTGTATTACAGCTCATTGAGAAAGCCTCTGATTGGAGCATTTACCGGCACAGTCCGAAACGGTTTCTGGTACCCTACAGAATTTCGGATTTATGTCTCCTTAACCCTTCACTGTGTAGTAGCACATCTAGCTGTTTTAAGGTTCCACAACTTGGTCATTGTCAACTTAACCATTCAGTGTAAAGTTCCAAAACTAGCTAATTGTCAGCTTAACCCTTTAGTGTAAAACGTTGCAGCTAGTTATATGTAAAGCTTTCTTGCTTGCCATATATGTAACTTAGTCCTCGATTTAATATTTTGGCATATGGTTTTCAAATCATTTCATATTTTGGGCTAAATATTTTTAAATTATTTTTTTTCTTCAAACTTTTAAAAGATCAAAAAAAAAAATCATATATATATATATAAAAATTCAAAGTATTAAAATATTTGTAAAAGTTGGGTTCAAATTTTAATGTTAAATATTTTGAAAAGCTTATCCAAAAGGATTCAATCAAAGCCTTTATCCTTAGTCATAAATTTATCCAACCCGACTTTTCTTTCTGTCTAGCCCTTCATTGAAATTTGCAATATTTTAAGCCTCAATAGAAGGATCCTAAGACAGCCACGTGTTGACGTAACCCTAGCAAAAAGCCCGTATCATTGATGACATTTTTAGCAGTGCACTGGACAATAAATGTGCTGCTGACTCCAAAGATTAATCTTTGTTTTCTGGACGTGGTAGTAATTAGCATTTATAGTTCATTGTTCTCATGCACAATTTCTCTTTTAACCTACTCATTAGCCTTGTGGGTGCAACGGATAGGAAATTTGTGCACTTAGAATTACAAACTAAATATAAATGACAGGAGCTGCTAATTTTAAATGCAGCATGATAACTATATAAAAAAAAAAGGTTAGGAATTAAAATATTTTATTAAATTTTGTCTGCATACAGCATATGTGAAGTCGTTCTTAGACTGCCCTTGTTCCCTACATTTTCTGCTCCATAAAATGAAATATTCAGGAGCTATCTCTTAATTAATTTTCATTTAGTTGCATATTCCTGGTTGTAATCTAAAGGTCGGTATCACTTTTCTTCATTCATGTCCTGCGGTGCTGTATTCCAGCGCGGTGAATCTGTGCATGAATAATTTGATTTGTTCCATTGACTCAAGCCTGTGGAAGTCTAAGCAATGAATGAGTAAAATAACGAATGGCCTGTCACCCATCTGATTAAATGCTCATTTCAATTTCAGACTTGGTGCCTAGAATTATTTTTTTCGGTTCTTTTGAGCACGATCTGCAGAGATCGCTAAGTAACCAGTGAAAATGGCCCGGCAATTAGTAATGCCATTGATGACTCTGTTAGACCCGCATGGCTGCACATAAATAGCCAATCATTTTTTATTTTTTTTTTAAGTGGAAAAAATCCTTGTGAATTTTACATTTCGTTCTTTTATTATCCAGATGGTCATTCGGGGTGCTGTTGTGGGAGATATTTACGCTTGGAGGGTCACCATACCCAGGGATCCCAGTAGAAGAACTCTTTAAGCTCTTAAAAGAAGGTCACAGAATGGACAAGCCAGCAAACTGCACTCACGAGCTGTAAGTCACTGAGCCGTGCCATCTACATGAGGCACATCATTGTCAAGGTCTTTCGTTGCTTTTTTGCTGGTGTATTAGCCCGTTGAGTGACAACAATGGGTCACTTGGGTAGTCACAGCTCTATCAGCTTACAAAGAAACACTGTTTTCATTTACATAAACATCCATTTCAAATTATACTATTTTCATAGGAGAAAACATTGGCACCTCTATGTTTAGAACTTTGAACAGATGACTTTGTTATTGTGTAACTGGGTGAGATTCCAAACAGTATAGAATTGAAGAAATGGACAAAAATAGCCTAGTTGGGGGGATTTTTACAATTCGTTATGTGAAATTTCCTTAGTAGTTCTCTACAATTCCCAGTTTAGGGAGTAACCAAAATAAGTCTATATGTGTTTATTCCTAATGATCAGGGTGGTATTCTAAATAGCATCAATAACTGGTACAACTGGTGGACTGAAGGCTCCTAGTAAAGCTTCTAGGGTCTTCTTATATAGCAAATTATGTAGCACTAGATACATTGAAATTCCATAGCACTAGATATATTGAGTAATGAGAATATGGTATAGAAATAACTAGTTTTAATAGGACAAAACTGAGCAGTACAGCAGGTTTTGAGAGCTGTGACCCAGAGCATAAAATGTGGAGGACAATAATATGCCTGAGAAGTTGATACCTCTTTGGGTGAAATATTGAATCAACACCGTAAAGGAGGAGACTATATTCAAAAGAAGAGGACATAGTCTTAAATTAGAGGGGCAAAGGTTTAAAAATAATATCAGAAAGTATTACATTACGGAGAGGGTAGTGGATGCATGGAATAGCCTTCCAGCTGAAGTGGTACAGGTTAACACAATGAGGGAGTTTAAGCATGCGTGGGATAGGCATAAGTCTATCCTACATATAAGATAAGGCCAGGGACTAATGAAAGTATTTAGAAATATTGGGCAGACTAGATGGGCCGAATGGTTCTTATCTGCCGTCACATTCTATGTTTCTATGGAGGCTTGTTGCAGGAAATAGAAGCATTCAGTATATATTTTTTTCTGTTTATTGTTAATATGCCTCTATTTAAGGATAGAAGAGACACAATCCCTAAATTATATCTGTTTGGATATAGAAATGTCTTTCTGGATTTCACAATGATCTGTATTTTTTTTTTCTGTAGATATATGATAATGAGAGAGTGCTGGCACGCTGTCCCATCACAAAGACCGACCTTCAAGCAGCTGGTGGAAGACCTAGACCGTATCCTCACTGTGACATCTACTGATGTAAGTATAATTGGTTTTACAGATGGGTTATTGTTATGTTATATTTAAAATACAGGTTAAGTTCATTCTTTTTGTTTCTGATCAATGTTTAAAAGTTGTGATAGTTAAAGGGATACAATAGTGCCAGGAATACAAAACTGTATTCCTGGCACTATCGTTCCCTCTGGCTCCTCGCGCCCCATCCCTGCGGTGGTAAATAAAGGGCTAAGAACTGTTTAATTACTTACCTGATCCCAGCGCCGATGTCCCTTAGCGCTGGGTCGTGGCTCTGCCTCCTCCAATGTCCCTCGACAAGCGGACGCTAATGCACATGGGCAGCAAGTGCAATAGGAACACTGCACCCAGACCACTTCAATAAGCTGAAGTGGTCTGGCTGCCTATAGTGTCCCTTTAAACATGGCACTACATTTTTCATGATGGCAACCCATAAATCTTCTAGGTCCTAATACATAATGTAGAAACAAACTTTGTTTAGTATGATATTGGGTTTTCAAAATAATTAGCAAACCAGCTAAAATGTATCCTTGCTCTTTTTGTTGTTTCAGGAGTACCTCGACCTCTCAGTGCCATTTGAGCAGTATTCGCCTGCTTGCCAGGATAGTCACAGTACCTGCTCTTCCGGAGATGACTCTGTGTTTGCCCATGACATTCTTCCCGATGAACCATGTCTTCCTAAACACCAGCAATACAACGGTGTAATCCGAACATGATTCCAGAAGATAACAAACATAGACGAATGTAGACTTGAGGCACGTGGACAAAATTGTCCAGTTTGGCAAGGATTGTAATTTTTTTTTTTGTTTTTGAGCCGTAGAATTTACTTGCTGTACAAGAAGTCACGAAGCACTGTTTGGCCTGAAGGAACTAATCTTGTGTCAAGATAGAAAAAATATATATAAATTAAAATATATACTATAAATATATATATATATTTTAAAGAGATTGTTGAAACTTGGGAGTCTCGTAAAAGCGACCTCTTGTTATCCACTGTTGAGCGACCATTCTGTGCCTGTAATGCAAAGAAACGAACCAGAAAGAAAAGACAATGCAAGACATTGTGTAGAAAGAAAGACTACACACTTGTAAAGAATGTAAAGAAACAAAAACCTTAAAAGAATGTTTTTTTTTATATGCAATCTCGTGAACCTTTTTGGGTGGATCTCAAAGGCTATTTTGAGGCCTGGCAATCTCATTACTTTTTAACCTCTTGGTTTTTTACATTTATGGTAAAACAAACCTGCACAATCACAATTATGATAAGCCATGATTTCCATGAAAAACATTCACAATAATGACATAACATTTAAAGCTACCACCAATGTAACTGTAAAAAAAAAACCAAAAAAAAAAAAACACAGTATAGTACTTTTATAGTTTGCTCAAATAACATAGTAAGCGCACACCACTCCACCATTTTTATTGTCTGATCTTATGGGCAAACTAATTTTCCTTTGAGGGTTTCAGCAAAATATGTTTCCCCAATAGCTACCAGGCCTCTAAACAAAATAACAAAAAAGATCTTATTTTTTTTTTTTTTTTGTGAATCTTTCTATAAGCTAAAAAGTTGGAACATGAGCTTGTCCGTGTTCTTCAACAGAATGTCTGTCCAAAAAAAAAATGAAAATATGATCTATAGCATAGCGCAGGCACTGAAAAAACTAAATTGTAGCTCCCTTCCACTGGAGACTTAACTAAAAAAATATGTTATGAATAATTGAAAGTATGAACTAAATTGGACCGCAGTGCAAGACATTTGTAATAATATTGCAAAGTTTTATTTGCCAAATTGCCAAATATGGTATAATTTGTGGAAAGTATTAACAGACTGAAAACAAGGTGTTGTTCACATGTATATGTATATCGTTTTAAAATTTAAAAAAATCCCCATTTTTGTTTAAGTTAAAAAAATATTTTTATTAGTCTGTTAGCTTAACACAAACCGCTAAAAATGTCATTAACATTGACACTTTAGCATTGTCAATTTAATATATTCTCCAGTCCTTTTCTATATATTTTTTACTCACATGGAACCTATATTTGCATATGCTTGTAAGCGTGCAATTTCAAAAAGGTTTGTTGCAGTAAACCATGTACATATTCATACATGTATAGTGTATATAATGTTTATTTAAAATCAGAAATATATTAAAGGGACAGTAAAAGTTTTTTTTATGGCTGTGTTAACGTTTGGTCATTTTGGCAATTCTACTACATTCTTGTTCTGAGATTAAAGCATGTGCTGCATTTATTCTGTAGTATTATATGGTTTCATTCTCTCATAATGGTAACTGAGAATGTAAAGTGTCTAACCAACATTTTATATTCCATTATGCCTGTAGGTGCCAAAAACATCTTCATTTCAAAGTGTATCTTTATACCACCGATTGGAAATGTAGTACACTTGCCAGACTAAAAACACACAGCTGTATTCAAAACGACAATAATATAATTCAAAAGTAATTTTTTTCTATACTGTCCCTTTAAAACAGAGCTGTCACCGGAAAAAAAATTAAAATCACATTAATCAGAAAAACAAAAAATATGCTTACGAGGGGATATTTTAGAACACTTTTGAGCCATTTTTAATAGTAATTTTTTAGGTCTGCTTTTAAGTACTAATCCACTCACAGAGATCCTTCGAGAAATACCTTTTCACATTTTATAAAAGCATTGCAATCTACGATAACACTGATCTGGTCAGTATATATTGGTTTTTATATGGTCACAGTTTTGTTTTAAAAATTGTATTTTTGTTAAACTTGTATATTTGTAAATGTATTTATAGACTTTTACATATGTTCTATGGCTTAAATAGATTTAACCTTACTGTAAACATCTTAATTCACAGATTTTAAGTTTTAACTTATTAACAGTCAGAAATGCTTATATAAATACTGCTTTTATTTTATTTCTGGGGTTGAAATTGAACATTTATTAAAAAAAAATTAAAATAAAAAAAAAAAGTGAGGGAAAAAAATGTATATTACCTTCTATTAGTTAAATTTAAATCGTTTGAGTGCCAGAGAGTTGGCCAGCATTGGACAGTGTTGGCTATCCCCTTGGCACACAATGGATTCTTTGTATATGTTAATGTATATATTTTCCATTTTTGTAGAAGCAAATGGCACGGAGTCAAAGTAATCGATTCACCACAACTTTAAAAAGAATAGTCTAATTTATATTATCTATTTTTTATCTTAATTTACATTGTAAGAGATCTCTCCGGTTTCCTTATTTGTTTAACCCGTTAGGAGTGCCGAAGCAGTACATTGCTGTGCAGTGCGCTGCTTCTCCCTCTCGTGCAGTAAGGGTTAATGTTTTGGCCGAACTAGCAAGATCATGCAACCGAAAAAATGTATAAAGTCTGTTGAAAAATAAAATCTTCGAAACAAGTCTTTGTGTATTTTAGAGTCTTGCTCACGGGACGCTAATGTTCAGCGGCCAATGCTGACCTTGAAAAGGGTTTGTCAAGGTCACATTTTTAAAATAAGGCTGCTGTAAGGGTTGTGATGTCACTGAATCTGTTTGGGGTACATTACATGTATTGGTTTATCCTGGATTGCAATGAAAAAACAAACTTGTTTATTGCAATATATTCATTGATCAATTTAGGTATGGTTTTTTTGGGGGGGTTTGGGAGGAAGGGAGTTAATATTTTGTGTTATGAAGTATTGTTTACTATAACTTTCTTATTTTAAATCACGGTTTGGTGTTTACATGCCTTCTAGATGTAGTAGCAACAAAGCACCATATTCAAATTTCATTTTCTCCTTAAATGGAAACTGTTGCTAATAAAAAAAATTATAGTTAAAGCAAAAAGTCTTCTGAGTTTAGATCTTTTACACAATCTTTAGATTTAGATTCTGTAAAAATCTCTAAATAATATGCCTTGAGTGTACCAGAGTGCCAAATAGTTTGAACGCACACTAGTGTGTTCAAGAGTGATTTATGCAGACACGATTTGTAAAATGACACCTTTTGTTCTCAAGATGCTAATTTTGACCTTGACAAAGTTAGCATATAGTCCGCAATAATTTGGATTGGTATTGTCTATAAATAATGTGATGAGAAGTATACCCTAATTTGCTTCTTTAGGTCTGTGCCATATTAAGCTCTTCCAAAGGAGGATGCAAGTTTATTACAAGTGTTTTTATTTTAATTGATTTTTTTTTTATTTAAAAAAAGAAATATTAATATTTTCTTACAAATGTCTGCTAATTGTGTACATTCCAAGTACCTAATGCTTTGTTTTTTCAGTACTGAAAAAAAAAATTGTACAAAATTGTGCATGATTTGAAATGTTACTAGATATTATAAATATATATAATTTATTGAGGTTTTACAAAATGTATCTGTTGTAGACATTGACCTAACATTTTCGTATTGAATGCTTATATAGTTTTATAGCCGGAATTGCTATCTTTAAAAATTAAAAGAATCTGAATTTCTTACATTTTATACTGTTGAAATTGCGTTCTACTGATTTTCCTGCATAGCTAAATTTTGTTAGGGAAAAAGGATCAGTTTTATCTGAATAATAGACTATGTCTGACCAATGCTGCTGTAGTGGAGGTGTTATCACAAACACCAAACCCTGTACCATTTTGCCCAATTTTTTTTTTGTTTTGTTAATGTCGCTAACTTAACTTTTACCAAAACAATAAAGACCAACATTACTTGTTAAGAGTATGGTATTATTGTGTCGAAGCACCCCCACCCAGTTCACACAAAACAAACCTTTTTTTTTATATATAATTTTTTTTCTGTTACCAGTCATTTCTCATGCAGTCCGCACCATTCACTAGGTAAATATCTGATAAATGTACTAAAAAAAATCTGTCTACTTTTTGACGAAGGGAAAGTGGCCTTTTTTCTATCAATTATCTTTATTGAAAGATTTAGTAAAACACGTTTTCAAAGTATTAAAAAAAAACAATTAAGCATACATATGTCTGTGGTGCATTGAAGAGAAACTACGGGATATCGTTTTAAAACCATTTTTATTATATAGATAATGCTTTAAAAAAATCTGTAAAGTTCAAAATACAAATATACTCACCTTAGAACTTCATAATTGTATCACTGTTTAGTGGACATAACTGCAGCTGCAGGCAGACGTCTCCAGCAACAGCATGCGACGTCCAATCAGGTGCATGTCTTTCTGATCTACAAGGTGTATTCTTATTTTTTGAACCCCAGTCCAACAGATGTTTTAAGGATTCAATCAATGTATCCTCAAAGAATAGTTTAAATCTTCACATGGGATGATACATACTGTTTTATAATCTGATGGCAACCACATTGCAGCTACTATCAGTTTGCCAGGTTAAATCTTTGGTGAACTGGACTACCTTACACTCCTAGCAGAGTCCCTAGCTCAGCATGTTTATCCCAAGTTGTGCATGTTGCTTTCAGAAGCACACAAAAAAAACTTGGACATCATTATTGGAACTAATGTAGAGAGGGTCCTGGTGCAAGCAATTATTTTGGGCAACCCAACCTCAACGGGTAAATGAAATAGAAGAAATAAAAAACAATAGTGTAGTATTTTCCAATGGGGTGGATGACATACAATAAGATATATAAATGCAGACTCACATGGTATAGAGCTTCATACAAGCTTCAATGATATCAGCATAAAGCGGTATAATCCCCACTTGTCGATAAAAATGTCATATGGTTGACTCCAGTGGTTCCAATGAGATATATGCAATGATAAAATAGGAAATGTGTTAGGGCAATATTGGAAATATAAGTGAGTATTGTGCAAGCAAAAGTAAGAGACATTCATAAGAGAGGAGCTTACATCTAAAGCTCAAGGTTTCAAGTATGAGGCTGTACAAACCCAGCCTAAGGACATATCATAGACCAGGCATAGGCAACCTTCGGCACTCCAGATGTTTTAGACTACACCTCCCATGATGCTTTGCCAGCATAATGGATGTAAGAGCATTATGGGGGATGTAGTCCACAACATCTGAAGTGCCAAAGGTTGCCTATCCCTCTCATAGACTCTTCTCACATGGCAGTGTAGATGTATAAGTGTAAAAAAAAAAAAAAATATGTAGTGCTCACTGCAATCTATTATATAAAAACAAAACGTAAAATCCTACTCACAGTTTTAGAGCAGTAAGACAAGCTCAACCTTAGTGTAGGTGGTGCAATCCTCAACAAGGATAAGATGTCCAGGAGGTGTGCTTCACACACTTAGCCAGGAACAAATAAATAAAATTGTAAAAATAAAACAACATTCATTTATTTCTGTTAAAAACAGAATAAAGACCAGTTCACAACGCATTTCACCTAACATGGATACTTTTTCAATGTTAACTGGCTAATTCAGCTTTATAGGGGCAGCACAATTGAACATTTTGCTATGATTTTCAATTGTGCTTCCCCTATAAAGCTGAATTATTCAGGCGATTTGAAGCCCTTTATGTTGGATGCCCCTGAGGAGGTCCAAGTAGACTAAAAGCATAGGGTTGTTTTTATTGTATTAAATTTAGCTTAAATTTTTGTATATATTCTGATTTAACCTGTCCGACATAAGAGTATTCTGTGAGTACCTTTTGGAATTTGAGTTTTTAGATCCTTGTTCCTGGTAACAGTGGTACCACGGTCACAGGGGTCGCAGCCACGACCGGGCCTGTCACTCCAGGGAGCCCGGCCTCCCTGCTGACCCCTGCATCTGTGGCCCACCAAGGGAAGAGCTGTGACAGGGGGCCCACATAGGGCACCCCGAATTGCCGCATGGACAGTGAGGCAGAGTAGGCACCTGTTTACCTTGATGGCAGGTTCCTACTCGGCCGATATATACCGAGGGGAGGACAGGAAGCAGGCAGCATTCACTGCGGCGAGGGAGCACTGATCTGATTGTTCCTTTCTCCTCCCTCGTGTGCCCTCTGTGATGCCGGGAGCCGGAATATGACGTCATTCTGGCCCCGGCATACTAAACAGTGTGCAGGAGGAGAAAGAAACTGTCACAGCACATCCCAATGGAGAGGACCCACACCAGCTCTCCCAAAGGTAGGGAGGCTGGATGGACCTCAAAAAACTAAAATTAATTTGTGAGAGTGTGCAAGAATGTGTGTGTCAGCGTATGTGTGGCTGTTAGTGTGTGTATGGGTCTGTGTCTGTCAGCGTATGTGTCTTTGTAAATGTGTGTCAGTGAGTGTGGTGTTTGTCAGCGTATGTGTGGCTGTAAGTGTGTATCTGTGTCTGTTAGTGTGTGTGTTTCTGTCACACACGTGATTGTGAGAGACACATGGAGAGGTTGTGGGATGGCAAGGACACATGAGGGAGGTGGGAGAGACACATGGAGGCACTGGGAGCTGGAGGGTTGGAGAGACACATAGAGGCGCTGGGGGGGAATAAGACATGTGGAGGGGCTAGGGGAAGAAAGAGACATGTGGAGGAATTGGGGGTGATTGAGACATGTGGAGGGGTTGGCTGGGGGGTGATTCACATGGGCGTCCCCAGGGCAATTTCTTTGGTTACCAGTTACGCCTCTGGATGCTACTTAATGTGCATGAACCACAAATGTCCCAATTTAGGCAGGACCACCTCAAATTTAGAGCTGTGTTCCACCGATCTATCCCGATTTTCTTTGCCTTCCGTCTCAATTATTGTTTAAAAAAAAAAAACACAACAACAAAAAACAGCTCACTTATAGGAGGATTGAAGTTACTCTTAAGAGTGAGTACCAGTTTAGTCGGCCCTGCTTCACAAGGGTGGAGAAAGTCACCGTGGGAAACTGAGCTCTGTTTTAACCTCACACTGGCGGCTGTGGATTTTACATATCCCTGGGTCCAGTGACAAATTTAGAACCAAAGCCTCAGCAGTAGCTCTGTATCATGGTACTGTACAAGGTACTAGACATCTCCCCTCACAGCTCAGACTTTGTGTATTCCTTACGAACTAGGTAAAACACACAGTGGATACTTCTTTAACCCTCTGGCAAAAAGCTTTCTTCTCTGTACTTTATGCAGTTTGTTAATCATGCAGTCTTTCCACTTTCTAACATACTATATATCTCTCACGTACTCTCTCTTACTCAGTTTACCTCTCACAAAAACAATGTGTAAAATATGCTGGTAGGGAAGTCATTATTATTACTTATTACTAATTTCGTGCTCCACTTTTCTGGTGCGGCCTTCCTATTTACAGACAGGGTTGCCCATTTTGCATGTCACTAGTGATGTCATTGACATGCCCATGTAGCTCCACTCACCCATGTCTTTATTTCTTACCTCTCAATATTGGTAGCTATGACTGTGTGTGATGTAAAAATAATCACGGCAGAGGTGATACAGCACGCTCTATAATAACAATAATGCAAAGTGGTGCTGGTGCTTAGATTGACCCTCAAGGAAGCTAACACAATTAACTAACAAGATAACTTAAAAATAGCAATAATGTTTAACCCATGCTGTAGACACTTATTAAAAGAGGATGCTATAACATGGAATACAAGCTACCAATCGGAACCCTGGAATTCTAAAATTGAGCAGATTAGCTCCCAATTTTTACACTGTGCAGGGAAAATTGGATTATGTACTTGTACAGCCTAATAAATCAGAATGCACGTGGTGTCTTCCAGACATCAAATATTTTATTCAATTTTCCATCTTAGAATTTGTGGACTGTTTAGCGAGTATACCTTTACGGTTCTATAGATTTTTTAAATTTTATTTACTAAAAATTATAAACTATTTTCAAACTGCCTTTATTTTATTTTTTTAATTCTTTATTTTTGAGTGACATACATGACCGTAACATCGAATGTAAACACAATCTTGGTACTTATTTCGTGCCGACAATGAACAATCATAACAGTATCTGCCTGCTTAGAAGTATAATCTGCCAAGCTTGTGGCGTCTCGATCGCTAACCTGTCACATTTTATATTTTATATAAAGCACATGCAACAATGGAACCTAAAACATTTGTGAACATTGTTTTAGCTCTTGGTGTTGAAAATAGCCCATCTTGTGGTCTGATAGGAAATGTCAGCCACTGTAGTTGATTTGGTCAACTCGCAACCATACCACCAGTAGCACCACAGTATTGTGATACTGGTGGTAAATCACATGTCTTTGATATATCCCTATCTGAGTGAACAAGAGAAAAGAGTGAAGCGAGGAAAGGAAAGGAGAAGAAAGGTACAGTCCAAGAGAAGCAAAGTGGGCTGAGGTTATAGGCAGGTCTGTGGTGGTTCCTGATTGGTCGGGTGGTTGGCGCTGGGCATTCTACCATGAGTACTTATCTAGGTAGTCTGTATATAAGGGTTATCTGGTTTTCCTTCTTTGTCCTAGAGCATTAACTACCGATGCTAACCCTCCTTTAGTCTGACAAGCTACTGTTTAACCAGGGTTCCCATATTTTCTCAAATTTCTTTAGGGAACCTCTGACCTGTGCAGTCAGATTGTCCATTAAGTGTGTATCCCTTATTTTGGCTTGCACTACCTGTGTACGGGGTATTTTGGCTTTGAGCCATGATTGGGTTAACGCCCTCCTGGCTGCTAACGTGATCTTGTGTAGGAGCAATTGTTCGTGTTTGGTCCATCCCTCTAGTGGTCTATTCAGTAGGAATACCCATGGGTCGACATCGAGTGAACGTTGAAATATCTGGCCCATCCAGTCCTGTATCGTTTTCCAGTATACTTGTACTAGGGGGCATTCCCAC